GCTATTCGGATATTTATAGTATTATTTGTGGGCCAAACAAAATTATCAACTTTAAAATTAGCCTGCTGGGGCCAGCGCTGTGGCATAGTAGGTAGATGTTCACCTGCGGCACTGACATCCTATGTAGGTACCAGTTCGTGTTAGGCTGTACCTCTTCTGATCCAGCTCTCTGCTTATGGCCTGAGAAAGCAGTAGAAGATGGCCCAAGTCCTTGGGCCCCTGTGACCATGTGGAATATCTGGAAGAAATTCCCGGCTCCTGACCTCGGATGGGCCCAGCTCTGGTTGTTGCAGCCATTTGGGGAGTAAACAAGTAGATAGAAGACCTTCCTCTCTGTCTTTAACTATACCTATTAAACTTGACAAATAATATCTTTTAAAAAATTAGCCAGCTACAGATTTATTGAATTGCAAGTCCCACCTGTGATTTCCTTGGCAGGGCCAGATCAAAGGGTTTTGCATGCCTTGTATGGCCGCGGGCTGGATGTTCCCCAATCTGATATTGATTTCATGGAAGTTAAGCAATTTCAGTGGCAGCAATAGTCTAATTCAACGTTCTGGGGTGCAGTCGCTAGCCTGGAGGGTATGGAGGGTGATTATGACAGCAGTGGTGCTGGTTTCCTGGACGACAGCTGTAGTGGTGTGTGCTGGACCATTCCAGAGGTGGCTGGGAGGCAGCGGATGATGGTTCAAGTACTTTGGTCCTGCCCTCCACAAGGAAGAGCTGGATGGAGTTCCTGGCTCCTGGTTTCCACGTGGCCACAGCTGTTGTGGGCATCTGGGAAGTGAACCAGCAGATGGAAGATATCTCTTTCTCTCTCTGTTACTCTGCCTTTCAAATAAATAAAAATAAATAAGTAAATTTTAAGAAAATAAATACTTGTCCTCATTTAAAAAAAGAACATTTGCAATATATAAGAGATTCACACAACAGAAAAACACCAAATAATCTGATTTAAAAACAGGTAAATGACCTGGATAGACATTTCTCAGCAGAGGATATACAAATAGCTATCAAACATATGAAAAAATGCTCAACATCAGTAATCATTAGGGAAATACCAATCAACAACACACTGCATGAGGAAAAGCTGAAGGCTTTCTCTCCATGATCTGCAACAAGACAAAGATGCCTGCTCTCACCACTTTCATCCAACATAGTGCTGCAAGTCCCACCCAGAGCTATTCAGCAAGAGAAAGGGATAAAGGACATCCAAACTGAAAAGGAAGAAGTCGGATTGTCACTGTTTGCAGATAACTTTTTATTTTTAAATACAAAGTGACAGAGGGAGAGACAGAGAGATCTTCCATTCACTGGTTCACTCCCCAGATGGCCACAATAACCATGGCTGGGCCAGGTAGAAGCCAGGAGCCAGGAACTCCATCTTGGTCTCACACTTGGATATCAGGGGCCTAAGTACTTGAGCCATCTCTGCCTTCCCAGATACATTAGCAGGAATCTGGATCAGAAAGGGAGCAGCCAGCTCTCTCACCAGGACTCTGATATGGGGTGCTGGCACTGCAAGTTTAACCCAGTACACCGCAACACGAAGCCCAAGGACTTGAAAATCCAAAATACTTCAGAAAAAAACTATCAGAACTCATAAACAAATTCACTAAAAGTGCAGGATACAAAACCAGTGCAAAAAAATCAGCAGCCATGTTATACACCAACAGCAAATTATCTTACAAAGAAATCAAGAAAGCAATATTATTTCCAATAAGCTATAAGAGGTAAAATAAGATACTGGAGTAACTGAGTCTCTGCCACTCATATGAGAAGCCTGGATTGAGTTCCTGATTCAGCGTCAGCCTGGTCCAGCCCTGAACACTGCAAGCATTTGGGTGTGAACCAGAAGATGGGAGGCTCTGTCTGTCTCTCAAATGGATTGATTAAAAATCAAAAATTAAAAAAATAGGAGCCAGTGCTGTGGTGTAGTGGGTAAAGCAACTGACTGCAGTGCTGGCATCCCACGTGGGTTGCAGATTCGAGATCTGGCTGCTCCACTTCCAATCCAGCTCTCTGCTATGGCCTGGGAAACCAGTAGAAGGTGGCCCAAATCCTTGGGCCCCTGCACCCACGTGGGAGACCTGGAGGAAGCTCCTAGCTCCTGGCTTCACATTGGCCCAGCTCTGGCCATTGCAGCCATCTGGGGAGTGAACCAGTGGATGGAAGACCTCTCTCTCTCTCTCTCCCTCTCTCTGCCTCTGTCTCTCTGTGGCTCTGCCTTTCAAATAAATAAATAAATCTTTAAAACAATTATAAAATAAATAAATAGCCATACGTCAATCAAAGATGAAACATTGATGAAAGAAATTGAAGAGGACACATACATTTAATGTTCATGGACTAGAAGAATCAATATCATTAAAATATCCATAGTACTCAAAGCAACATACACATTGAATATAATGTCTATTAAAATACCAATGGCCTTTTTTCCATGGAACTAAGAAAAAATATCTACTAAAATATACATGGAACCACAAAGACCTCAAGGACCTAAAGCAATCTTGAGCAAAAAGAACAAAGCAGGATGCATTACCATACCTGGCTTTAAAATGTTTCATGCATGTTTATAGTAATTTTAAAAACTACCATATGATATAGCAATCACCCTACTGGGTTTATATCCAAGAGAAATGAAATCCATCTTTGGAAGAGATATCTGCACTCCCATGTTTACCATAGCAGTATTCACAATAGCCAAGAAATGGAAACAACCTAAGTATCCCCGCCACCAATGAACAGACAAAGAAACTGTGGTGCATCTACACAATGGAATACTCCTCAGTCAGAAGAGAGGAAATCTGCTCATTCATGATGGTCATTATGTTAAGTGAACTAAGCAAGCACAGAAAGACCATACTACATGACCTCACTCATGTGGAATCTAAAAAGGTGATCTCAGGAATCAAGGGTAAAATGGTGTTTTCCAGAGGCTGGAGAGTGTAGGGTCAAGGGAGGGTTGGGGAAAGATTGTTTAATGGAACTAAGTTATAGTTAGATAGGAGTAAGAAGTTCAGATGTTCCATTACACAGTCGGGTGACTACAGATAATGAAAATGTACCATATGTTTCTCTAAAAACCTAGAGAAAAAAAATCAGACAGCTATCACTTAGGAAGCCATTTAAGCATAGTGAATAATTTTAGAAGCAGTTATTCAACTATTTTTTGTTATATCTAATATTGTCATGCATTTTAAGCTACCTATTTTCTTTTTAAAAAGGTTTTGGGAGTTTTATTTTTCTAGAATTTGTCTTTTAAAGATCTTCCACATGTTTATATTGTATACTCTATATGTATATACCAGTATATATATATCTGTATACCTATATATATATAGATAAATAGGAATATACATATATATATATATTTAGATACATAGATAAAGATAGAAATTTCTTAAAAACTCAAAGCTACTGGAGCTGGCATTGTGGAGCAGTGGGTTAAGCTGCCACTTGTGACACCAACATCCCATATGCAATGAGCAGTTTGAGTCCTGGCTGCTCCACTTCCAATCCAGCTCCTTGCTAATAGCCTGGGAAAGCAGTGGAGGATGGCTCAAGTGCTTGGGCCCCTCCACCCATATGGGAGACCCATATAGAATTTCCTGGCTCCGGGCTTCAGTGTGGCCCAGCCTTAGTTGTTGCAGTCTTTTGGGGAGTAAACCAGCAAATGGAAGATCTATCTCCAACTTTGTCTCTCTTTCACTCTGCCTTTAAAAAAAATTAAAAGTATGATATCATCTCACCCCAGGTAGAATGGCAGTTATCAAAAAGACAAAAAATAGCAGGTGCTGGCAAGAATGCTGAGACAAGGGAACTCCTATCCAATGTTGGCGGGAATGTCAATTAGCACAGCCATTTGGGAAAACAGTGTGGCAATTCCTCAAAAACTAGAAATAGGACTACCAAACAATCCAGTAATTCTACCAACGCATGTAGCCACAGGAGTTGAAATCAGTAGGTTAAAATGGCATTTTATGCTCATGTGTGCTGTAGCACTATCCACAACAGTCAAGATATGGAATCAACCTAGGTGCCCACTGACAAGGTGAATGGATAAAGAAAATTACTTACATACACTCAGCCAAAATGAGAGTGAAATTCTGTCATTTCAGCAATACGGATGAACCATGGATGACCCTGTGAGAACTGAAATAAGTCAGGAACAGAAAGACAAATATCATTTGTTCTCACTTCCATGTGGAATTTAAAAAGTTGACCTTAAAGAAGCAGAGGCTAGGACAGTGGTTCCCAAATCCTGGGAAGGGTGTGGAGAAGGAAGATAGGGAGGGATGGCTAATGGGCGTGAGGGTGCAGATGGTTAGGAGGAACAGCTTCTAATGGTCTACAGCAGAGTAGGATAACTGTGGTTGGTGACAATTAACTGAATATTTCAAAGAGCTAATGGAGAGGATTTTGATTGTGCCCAATACAAAGAAATATCTGGTTTAATAGATGTCATTTGCACTGATCTGATCATTAAACATTGTATATGTATATTGAAATGTTACACTATACCTAATAAGAATGTACAATTACTTTGTGTCAATTAAAATTTTTAAAAAATATATAAATAACATGTGCAACAGAGATATTTTTAACCAAACTCTCATATATGTTTATTCTTGTTGAACAATTTCAAAAGAAGGAACTTCCATAGTTGACATGGGTATCAATAAGACTGGAAAAAGAGTTGATGTTAACTGGATAGTCTTGCTTTATATGACACATTGATAAAGGAATGTGTTAAAAATTTATTGTAAAACCCACCTTTTTTTTTTAGGTTTTATCTGCTTATGCTCATATTTATCTCACAGAAGCCATAGATTTTTTCCCCTTCCTTTACCCCATTATAATGTAAAAGTATCCTGGTTTCCTGGTATAGTCCTCATAATAATATCTGCCCTATTGAACTCTGAGCCAGTTTCTGCAATCCGTTTTTCACAAATGGTAAACATTAACAAGAAGTTTCAAATAAAAGCAGGCCAGGGCCATGCAAGCGCAGCCACTTGACTGGTTTCTAGTGGAGCTGGGTGTAACGATGACCTGCTGTGAAGGATGGACGTCCTGCAATGGATTCTGCCTGCTTGTGCTACTTCTGCTGGGAGTCACTCTCAATGCAATACCTCTGGTTGTCAACTTAGTTGAGGAAGAGCAACCCTTTCAAAACCCCATCTCTTGCTTTGAGAGGTGGTTCCCAGGAATTATAGGAGCAGGTTTGATGGTAAGTAATAATTATTTTACTTGATTTGGAGAAGGGCCTGTGCACTGTTACCAAACTCCCAGACTCTCTTTGAGCCTTGAAATTACAAGTTAGGAGCAATGTTATGGTATTAATCTATATTGATAAACAGTGAATAATAGTAATTTAAAGAGAGTAACCTACGTGGTATGGGCTAATGAACTCAGGAAACCAAAAACACACGGGTAAAAGTTAGTTGGGTTATTGGCTATCACATCTCTCCAGATGTCGAGTGGCTCTTCCAACCTTTATAGTGGGAAGGACCTTTTACTTTCATTCCTGCTACTTTCTTTTGCCTTAGACCAGTTTCTCGGCCTTCACTAATAGGATTAGGAAGTGTCTCAGTAGGAATGACAAGAAACATTCCCGTGCACCTGACTCTCCTGGATGATGGCGATTGTGAGGCAGGAAGGTAGCATTGTCTGTGTCTGATGAGCTTTCCACCAAAGAATATGGACTTGAAATCCTGGGTCTGTGGTCTCAAGGACGTTGACTCAGCTACAACGTAGATACCAGAACTTCAGCCTGTGAACAGGTCTGCCTTTGCTGGAATCTGCAGCAGAGCAACACAGTTCAGAACTCCTCAATGTACCCGACCATGAATCACTTGAGGCACTTGCGACAGATTCATAGGCTTTCTTGTGGGAATTCTGATGCAGTATGCCTGGGTAGGACCCACTGGCGTATGAAATGTTCTTTCCAGTTCTGGCAGAATATCACAGCTACAATTCCATCTCCAACAGATCCCCATGAGCACAACGTTTATCCTATGGTTTTGCTTCCACGCTTGTAAAACATGAGTGTGGATGTTGAGGTTGGAAATTTACCATCCAGGAGGCTTGCTGCTGTTTGTTATTCCACTTGCCTGTACCTCAGGGAGTCTGGTTAGTGCCAGAGAAAAGAGGTTGTGTATGAATGTATCTGTGTGTGTATGTGAGAGAGAGAGAGCGAGCGAGCGAGCGAGCAAGCACTGCAAGGACTGATACCAGTGTTGTAGAGATAACAAACATGAGATGATTTTTTAAGAAATTTGCTTCTGAACGTATCCCTAGACTTATATGAAAGCACCCTTAGGTCATATATATTTAAGTTTGGACACAACTTTGTACTTTGGCTGGTACACAGGACCTGAGGCTACTCTGGCATCAAAAAGTCATTTCAGGAGGCATTCTCCAAAGGCTGATGGCTCCTTTCCTGTCACCATCTCACAAAATCTATTCACCTGTTTTAGGAAGAAAGCTCACAGGAAAAGCAGGTAGCAAGTTTTGAGCATTGCTTCAAATTGCCATGAATGCTCCCTTCCGGACTGAAAGAACACACATTGCTCAACAATGTGAAGCAACTGTGAATCCTTCTGTCTGCTTTCTCTCCTTGTAAAGGCTTCTTTCTGCTTGAGTAATGGTGTGAGCTTCCTCTCCATCTGTTTACACCACAAGCCGGGAGCAGGTGGCTGAGTACAACTTAACACTGGCAATTTCTGGAAAGCTCCTTTCTGGTCCTGAGTTAAGATCGCCCATTTACAGTAACTCCTGTGGTTTTAAATCTACATTGGCACTGCCACAGTCCCTGTGAAAAACTTCTTAATTCTTACTAGCATTACAGGAGCCTGAGGTAGAGATAGCACATACCTGCATTCCTGGTATTCTTTTTGGGAAGGCTAGGGAGGTGGGTGAGGAGAGAGAGAGAGGGAGAGAGAGAGAGAGATGGAGTACAGGGGTGGGGGTGTAAATCTGTTACTTATCGATCATCTGCTAAGTACTAATTACTGGGCTCATTCTTTACACCATTATCTCATTTAAGCCGCATGATCATCTAGGCAGATGCCATCATTTGTACTTTGCAGCTCAGCAAACAGAAGGGTAGGCAGGTTAACAAGGTCGCACAGTGGGTATGAAATGTAATTCCAGGTTTATCTGACTCCAAAGCTTTTTAGAAAAGATTTATTTATTTGAAAAGCTGAGTTAGAGATAGAAAGAAAGAGGGAGAGAGAGAGAGAGAGAAAGAATTTTCCATTTGCTGGTTCACTCCCTGCAACAGTCAGGGCTTGGCCAGTCTGAAGCTGTGAGCCAGCAACTCCATCCGGGTCTCCCACCTGGGTGGCAGAAGCCCAAACACTGGGACAATTTTCCGCTGCTTTCCCAGGCCATTAGCAGGGAGCTGGATTGGAAGTAGAGCAGCCAAGACAATCAGCGCCCATTGGGATGGCAGCGTCTCAGGTTAGCCGGCTGTGCCACAGCGTCGGCCCTCTGAAGCTGTTTTCCACAAGTGTTCATACCATAGTCCTCAACACCCATCCCGGGTTGACAGACACAATCAATAATTTAATCCATGAATTTTCTCAGGAAACTGAGCTGTAAACAAGTTTTATACACTTGTGAAACAGTTTCAGAGCCGGGACTTCCTCGTGCTGCAGCCAAATGTACTTTATTTCCCTCAATAAATATTAACGAGAGATAGTGATACCAGGTGATCCCTGTTAGTCCGCAACACAGCAGTACAGGGGCTCAGCCTACAGGTGTTTGTACGTGATCCTCAGCTATATTTAGAATATTGAAGATGACCTTTTCCAGAGGGCACTACGTCCTCTGTAACATCCATCAAAACGCTGCCTAGTTCCGAATACTGAATTGTCAATATGCTTACAAGTACACAGAAAAGTTTATTAAAATACTCGGCCTGTCATAAGCGCTTTGGCCATCATTATTGAAATCTTTCCAAAATTGCTGTAGCATTTCAAATTGGTATTGCTTCAAAGAGAGGAGATTTTACAGGAAGTAGCTAATAATATGAAGTTCATTATTGATTTCTTCAATACTTTCATTTTATGGTTTTATGATTTACCCAAAACAGATAAGAACTGTTTCATCTTTTGAAACTATGTCTGAAAGTAAAAATATTGTGTAATTAATTATTTTTATTCTGCTTAATGGGAAAATCAATACAAATGCTATTTGTTCAAATATTTTTAAAAGGACGTGAAATGTTTCTTTGCAAAATAGAAACAGAAGGGGCATTTTATTATATAGGAAGTTAATTGCAGACCTGAGTTTAATTATTATATAACAGTAATTCATCAAAGTCAATTATTAAGGTCTTAACAGAGAATACATTGTTGAAAGTTGAATATATTAGGAGATATTGTGTATAACAAACAATTGCAAAAATCAGTGTTTATGTTTATGATGAACTATTATGGCTTTGTGTGTTACTCTCATTTTCAAGTACTTAGAGACTTCCCAAAAGCCTGAATTATATCACAGAGGTTTTAGCTGCCTAAATGAAAATGTTATGGTTTCTAAAATTGGGTGAAAGTATAAGTTTCTGCAAGGAAAAACAACAATATCATTTTTCTATATAAAAACAAAAGATTAGCAAGACTTAATTTCATAAAAATTTAAAGTTTTTTTTATTTCTTTGCATTTTATTTGAAAGGCAGAGAGAATGAGAGAGCAAGAGAGTGAGAGAAAGAGTGAGAGAGAGAGAGACTTTTTACATCCACTGGTCCACTTCCCAAATGCACACAACAGCCAGGAGCTGGAACTCATCTACGCTCTTGTGTGGGTGGCGAGGGCCCAAATACTTGAGCCAACACTTGTTGCCTCCCAGGAACCTGGACAGGAAGTGGAGTAATAGGGACTAGAACTAGGCACTCTGATATGGGATGCAACCATCTGGAGCAGTGACTTAACAGCTGCACCAAACTTTGTCTCTGATATTACAAAAACTATCATGCATTCAAATTGCTTAGGACTCAAAGAGAAAGAGCATTCTCCTAACTACCTATTTGAGCAGGCAACTACTTGGATGACTCATAATTCAGATACATGAATACACACACTTTCACATTCTAGTGGCCACCACTGAAAATTCGTACAATTTTCAAAGTTCTGAATGGGTGAAACGACTGAAATCCATTGACTGACCAAACTCTCAGTGGGGAGCAACTCGGACTAGACTAAGTTACTGGAATTAAGACTTATTCTATGCATCTGCTCTCCCACAATATGGTGCTGGGAGAGGAGGAAACAGCTTCTACACAGCTGCCTCCAGTTCAACCAATAAACTGTAGGACCTGCTCCTGATTGGAGGAGAGCAGCGTACTCGGTGTGTGGGTAGCAGAGTTGGGATTGGTGGAAGAGGACTATAAAGGAGGAGAGAGACACATGCACCAGGAACATCTATCTGAAGGAACACCTGAGCAGCCCCCGAGAGAGCGGGCCGGCGGTGTGCTGCTCCCCCGCGGAAGTGGGGAAAGTGGCAGGGGGAACCGCCCTTCCACGGAGGTGGAAGGGACGGTAGCCAACCCGGGAAGAACCAGCAGCAAACCCGGGGAGGGCCGAGCCGACGAAAGAACAACGCAGGGTCCTGCGTCGTTCCGCCACGAAGACGGGGAGTGACATAATGGTGCCGTGACTCGGATATGAAGCCTAGGCAGGGTTTAGTGTCGTTCCTCCATGAAGACCGGGAGCGACACTCTCTATAAAGGTGGAATAAAGATTTGCTAACAGGGGCTGGAGCTGTGGTGCAGCAGACTGAGACACTGCTTGTGACGCCAGACCCCGTGCCAGAATGCCCTTTGAGACCCAGCTACTCCGCTTAAACCCAGCTACTTTGCTCACAATCCAGCTTCCTGCTAATGCACCAGGGAAGGCAGCATAAGGTGGCCCAAGAACTTGGACCCCTGCTGCTCATGTAGGAGAATAGAATGGAGCTCCTGGCTGCTGGCTTTGGTCTGGCCCGGCCCTGGCTGTTGTGACCATTTAGGGAGTGAACCCCTGCACTGAAGATCCTTCTCTGCAACTCTTTCAAATAAATAAATAAATCTTAAAAAGATTTGTTAATACATCATGAATTCAACTGGCTGTTACTGTTACTTTATAAAACCCCTTTGCAAGGGAACCATAAAACAAACATCTCTGAAGTGAAGCAATTCTAAAGAGAGTAGAATTCACACCAATAAGGACATGGAATGATTTATGCATGTCAGTTGCAATTGAATGTTGCTTTACTTTCTTTTGAAAGATTTATTAATTTTCTACAGCAGTGGTTGGCAAAATTGTGGTGTAACGAGCCCAATCGTGAATATGTTAGGCTTTGTAAGCCATTCTCTCGCACAACTATTCAACTCTACTCTTGGTGTGCAAAAGCAGCCACAGACAATATGTAAACGAATGGGCACGACTGTGTTTCTTTTCAATAAAACTTTGTTCACAACAAAGAGGTGATGGGCTCTAGTTTTCAAGTTCCTGTTTCTGGATGATGGTTCTGTAAGCTCAGGAGGCAGTATAGCTGATAGGTACAACAAAAACTTAGTGTTTGTTTCCTGACACCCATCTGGGTGCAAAAATTCCTTCCCCCTTTTCTTCTGTGCTTTCAGCTATGCCCTGTGGTGGCTGGTGGCCATATACACGTGTGGCCCTGAATCACAAGGGTGTTTGTGCCCACGGTGATATGTAAATAGGGACACGGAGTCAGTACAAGGATAGATGAGGTAAAGCTCTTTAGGAAAACTGCCTTGTAGGCAGAGTGAATGGTAAGAACAACAGTAGACGTGGCCTTGGAGAAACCGAGGAGGGAAGGAGCAGGTTGAAGGACGATGAGATGAGCCAGGGAGCTGGTGCAGGGACGAGAGGGACAAACTATTCAGGACTAGAAGAGAATGCTTAAGAGTTGTGGGATGGTGGCAAAGCCTCAGCTCTGGAACTTGAGGGCCCCCCTTTGAGTACCAGGTTACTCAAACTTTGTGGGCCTCAGTTTTCTCTGTATAAAATGGGATGAAAACTGCACCTACCTCATAGGATAATTGTTAGGATGGAATGAACTAGAGCATGCAAATTATCTCTGCAGTGCCCTGTCATTAGAGCCAGGAGACAAGAGCAAGGGAGAGGAGGCTACTCAAAGACAGCTGGGCAGAGATGGCAAACACACACACACACACACACACACACCTAGGGCCAACATTTCTCAAGTGGAAGGAAGTAGTTAACACCTTACTGGCCAAGGATAAACTCCTTGCTGTAAGAATTTCTGGTCATAGCTGCTGAGAATACAATATCATTTCTTTACAGCTTTCCCTCAACACAGAAATGCAATAAAGATTTCTGTACATCAGCGTAAAAGGAGATCATTTCATATCATGGATACAGGAGCAGAAAGGAGAACGGGAAACAAAAAAATAAACTTCAAATATAAGCCATGGCAGGGGGGGGGGAAGGGGGTACTCATGAGATGGTAGTGACCTTGGAAGAAGAAAGTTAGGTGAGTGGGAGGGGGGTGGCGGCAGAATTACCTGCTCCCAAGTTCTGGGCAAACAAAACCATCATTTTCTTCTACGGAGGCTTGCCAGACTAATACATATAGTTAGTAAAAATTGAGCAAATGGCTGCTCTAAAGAGAGAGAGATAGGGATACAACAAGGGAGAGCGAGCGAAGGAGGGGGGAGGGAGAGAGAAGAGTGAGCTGTGGATGATGCAACCAACTCTTTCAGAAACATTCTTCCCAAAATTATTCATCCATGAGTCATCTTAATTAAAATCCCATTCTCTGTAGATGACAAAAAGGAAAAGTAAGAATGTAGATGGAAGACTTTTGAGCCTCAGCCCCACCCTTTTGGCCTTTGTGGTTTTAAATGGGGTCACCGGGTTCTCAAGATAGAGGATGTTGCCAAATTCTCTTTTTGTCCCTTGAGCCTTGACTTCCAACAACTGGTGGTAAATGCCAGGCGATTTCTGCTGTTTCTTCTGATGGGAACTAATACTACTCCTTTCCTGTTGCAATTTCTAGGCCATTCCAGCAACAACAATGTCCTTGGCTGCGAGGAAAAGAGCATGCTGCAACAACAGAACCGGAGTGAGTATGGAGAAATCGCTTGGGAGCGGAAGTGCACAGGGCTGTGACATCTCAGCAGTCACCCCGAGTCATCAGCGTCCACCCAATCACAGGAGGGCTTTGCAGGCAGGGCCAGTCTCAGAAATGTGATTTAGGATCACGTGACAACAGGCCAAGTGAGAAGGCATTGGTTTTCCTCCATGCAAATTTAGCTTTGCAGCTGGCCCTCACTGCTTTCCTCCATCTTCCGTTCAGCAGTCTAAGGATTTTCAGAGAGAGATTCAGAAGTCACACCCAGAGCTGGGATCAGCTGCACGCTACTCAAACATGTGCTAGTTTCATGGTGTGTATGAAACACTCTGGGAAAATGTATCCTCACTTCTGATTCATATGAAACCCTGGTCTTCTGCGATCAGAATAATAATTATCCTATGCAGTCAAATTAAAGGAGGCATCAGTTATTTTTTCCCATTTAACACCTACCTGAAATGTACAAGATAGTAACTAAGCTTAAAATAAATTCTCATTAACCTAAGTGTCACTCTGCTTGGAACACTTTTTCTTTTTTTCTAAGTAGAGCCTTTTTAAAAATATTTATTTATTTATTTAAAAGGCAGAGTGACATAGAGAGCAGAGAGAGAGAGAGAGAGAGGGAGAGGGAGAGGAGAGAGAGAGTATCTTCCATCCACTGGTTCACTCACCAAATGACAGCAACAGCCAGTGCTGTGCCAGGCCAAAGCAAGATCCAGGAGCTTCCTCTGGGTCTCCCATGTGAGTAGCAGGGGCCCAAATACTTGGACCATCCACCATATCTTTCCCAGGTGCATTAGTAGGGAGCTGGATTGGAAGTGGAGCAGCCAGAACTTGAACCAGCACCCATATGGGATGCTGACGTCACAGGTAGAGGCTCAACATACTTTGACACAACACCAGCCTCTGGAATACTTTCAAATATACTATTTCATTTAATTCTCTCAAAACCCTTCAGTGGGAAACACTAAAATCTTTGTTTCCTTGACCAAGAAACTGATGTTCTGAGAAAGCAAAAACTTAGCATACCACAGCTTGTGAGTGGATTCGGATCCAAATGCAGCAGACTCCCAAATTCCGACTTTCCACTATTTATATCATGGACATTACTATTAAGCAACTATAGCTGCTATATTTTCCTTGGAACGAGTGGTACATCAATAACCAGCAGTCACAGTATATGTGCTTGGCGGAGCTTGACGTTTTACAGCAATGTTTCTTGATTGCATTGAAACATAAGAATCATCTGGGGAGATTAACAGAAATCCCAGTGCTTGGGTGGCCCCAGACATTCTGCATCAGTATTTTTCAACAGCACCCTCTCCCCGCTCCAAGTGACACTAATGTGCTGCCAAGGGTGAGGACCACTGCTTAGAAGGGAACATCCATTATAGTCAGAAAACTCTTGTGTTTTCAGTTACCATTTTCCAACATTTGGCCTTTATGTAGGATTACAAGAATCACTTGCCGTACACTTTGGTCTACCTCTGTTCCTGTTACACTATAGTATTTAATAAAAAATGGTTTTTGGTTTCCTTTCCCTGCCCTTTCTTTATAAACTGTGATCAGTTGGAGTTTGACTGTGGATGACTTCTCTGAAGGCTCAGAGAAGAAATGGAACTAAAAGATAAGTTTACTTGAGAGCAAGAACGATTTTTAATGCAGGTGTGCTTTTTTTCATAATACACATTATGAACTTGAAGACCCCATGTGTGCTATACTCACAAGATTCTTTTGAGAGGTATCCTATTTCTGAATCCCTGAACTCAAAAAATAGCAAAACATTTACATAGGTTTTTCTCTCAAATTGCGTTTTCATTAACAATCTTTTTCCCTCTGTTCATACCCTTTCATGAAAATTAAATCATCTTTTCAATGATCACTTCGCTTTCTGCCCCTTTGAAGGTGCCACCAAGTGAGAATAACTAAGTCGCTCCTCATGCAGGTGTCAGGGTTAACTCACTAGGAGCTCTTGCTCCCCTATCCCTACCTTAAAAGTAACTCAGTCATGCTTCTGCAAGATTAGAGCTCATCTCGTGTTGAGGGCTACTGAGAGCTCTGGAGTGCCAAGGGAGTACTAGATGATACTGCTCATGCTCTCCTAACAAGTGGCACTGGCTATCTAACCCAAACTGCCCACTTCTGTGGAGTAGATGTTCTAAAACACTGTTAGCCACTTTTCTCAAGTGAGCAGCCAGGTGAGGACTAGAGTCTAAGATGCGCCTGGGATCTGTAAGTCTAGGGAAGATGAAAGCATCGCAAGACTGACAAAGGTTAGATCTTGGGAGCGTGGGAAAGGGACCATCAAGCTTGTTGCCTATTTCAGTGGCTCGTTGCTTCTTCGACCTTTTTCCGACTTTTATTCCATTCCTCAATGTGGGGAGCAACTGGGAGCAACCCGGACTAGACTAAGTTACTGGAATTAAGACTTATTCTATGCATCTGCTCTCCCACAATACGGCGCTGGGAGAGGAGGAAACAGCTTCTACACAGCTGCCTCCAGTTCAACCAATAAACTGTAGGACCTGCTCCTGATTGGAGGAGAGCAGCGTACTCGGTGTGTGGGTAGCAGAGTTGGGATTGGTGGAAGAGGACTATAAAGGAGGAGAGAGACAACATGCACCAGGAACACCTGAGGAACATCTGAGCAGCCCCCGAGAGAGCCGGCCGGCGGTGTGCCGCTCCCCTGCGGAAGTGGGGAAAGTGGCTAGGGGGAACCGCCCTTCCACGGAGGTGGAAGGGTCGGTAGCCAACCCGGGAAGAACCAGCAGCAAACCCGGGGAGGGCCGAGCAGACGAAAGAGCAACGCAGGGTCCTGTGTCGTTCCTCCACGAAGACGGGGAGCGATACCTCAACACAAAGTGGTTTTGCTGAATTGTTTAAACAAACTTGAAAGAGAGATGCACGGAACCATGTTCTGCATCCAGACCCCTTCACAGTGAGAAATCAGACACAGTAGATGAAAAGTAAACAGAGTAGCACTCCTTGATGAGTAAATTTAAGTAGCTTGCACAGCTCCCAGCAGAGTGGAACAATCAGGATCTGAATTAGACTCCAAATCCCTCATTTCATGCTTCCAACTGGAAGAAGCACAGTGCAGTGATTCCGGGTGTGAGAGCCTGACAACTTTGCCAATCTCCTCAAACTGCAGTTTTCTCATTCATAAAATGAGAATTATAGTATCTAACTCTGCCACTTTATTCTACTGACTCATTAAAGCTGAGAACACAACATGACTCCTCCAGGAAATGCCACGCTGTTCCACCAAGGGAAAAGGAGAGGTGCTCCCATGCTTCCTTACTCATTTTGAAACAATCAGAATTGTCACCGACTGCTAACTTCACTGGAACAACATAGAGCTGCTTTTTAGAAAGATCACACACACATTTGCATTTCATTTGCTATACCGAACTCCATGTTTTTTTCCTGCTTTGGTGGCTGACTCATAAAATCAGATGTTTACAATCCTTTCCTCTACAACTGTTGCAATTTTAGTGCCCAGCCTTTATCCCAAAGGGTGCTTGACGTCTGGAGACAGTTTTGGTCAACACACAAGGCTGGGGAGAGGATGATGCTTGGATCTAGGGGTAGAGAACAGGGTTGCTGCTAAACATCCACATCGCATGGGAAAGGCCCTCCCAGCAAAATGCCCAAATGACAGTGGTGCCGAGGTTGAGAAATCCTGCTCGACACCAGGCTGTTGATTGGTCACTGCAGGACGCTGGCTAGTGATCACCTGGAGGACAAGGACTAGATGCAGATGAGAGGCTTGGCCCTTTAGATATCAGACAACCAGGCTGGCATTCTGGCACAGCAGGTTAAACCTCTGCTTTTGATGCCAGCATCTTGTGCCGGTTCCAGTCCCAGCTGCTGTACTTCCAGGCAAGATCAGGTGTGTTCAGGGTGTTATGACCTAGCTGCTCTGCTTCCAATCCAGCTCCCTGCTAATGCACCCTGGAAAGCCACAGAATATAGACCAAGTATTTGGGCTCCTGTCACCCATGTGGGACACCAGGATGGAGCTCCAGGCTCCTGGTTTCAGACTGGCTCAGCCCCAGCCATTGTGGCCACCTAGGGAGTGAACCAGCAGAAGGAAGATCTTTTTCTCTGCTTTCCAAATTAAATACACCTCCAAAAAGAGAGATCATATACTAGAATGTGAGTGGGTAAGGTTTAGTTGAGGTTCCATGAAGTAGGAGGTACACAAAATAGGGAGGAGGAAACAGATCTCAATGATTAGATGAAACTGACCACGCTCAAGAATAGAGAATTTCTCACAGTGGTGAACGCAACCATCTTGGCCTGAGTGCAATCCAATGACAGAGATTTTGATTTCTGCCTTCTTTTACAATTCACACCTAATGAAATTGTGACCTTGGGCCGGCGCTGTGGCTCACTTGGTTAATTCTCCGCCTGCAGCACCGGCATCCCATATGGGTGCCAGGTTCTAGTCCCGGTTGCTCCTCTTCCAGTCCAGCTCTCGGCTGTGGCCTGGGAGGACAGTGGAGGATGACCCAAGTGCATGGGCCCCTGCACCTGCATGGGAGACCAGGAGGAAGCACCTGGCTCCTGGCTTTGGATCGGCACAGCGCCAGCAGTAGAGGCCATTTGGGGAGTGAACCAACGGAAGGAAGATCTCTGTCTACAACTCTCAAAAACAAACAAACAAACAAACAAAAACCCTGTGACCTGCTGCTGAAACTTGAAACACACCACAACCACAAAACACTTGCCAGTGACTCTACTTTACTTTCCAGATGTTTCTTTCATCACTTTTCAATGTAATCACCATCATTGGGGCTGTGTACTGCACATTGGTATCGCTCCAGGCTCTCTCAGAAGGACCTCTCATTTGTAACTATCAAGGCAACAGTACTGTCACTTGTGAATTCTCACTGAGAAATTTAAGGTAAGTAACTGATTTTCCTTGCCTTACTGTTTTGCACAGCTGCAGCTAGTTAAATTAGAAGAGTGGCACTAGACAGTGCCATGTTTTTCTTTGATGAAACCACTGGGACATTCTTAGGGATTTAGCACAAGAACCTCAATGGGCACAACCTCACTTTAAAATGAAGGAAGCACTACATTCAGAATGGCTATGGTCTTGTTTAAAACAATTAGTTGATCTCAGATGGTTTCTGTTTGTCTTTAAAAAAAAAAAACAACTATGGTGAACCATGTGTCATGTATATGTATATAAAAAACTTCTGGAAATGCACCGCAGAAACTTAACTTTCATTACTGGAGAATGGTAATGGGGGATCCCCTGGGGGAGTGAAGGGAATACTCAAATGTTTTATTTTTTTGAGAGGCAGAGTGACAGAGAGAGGGAGAGACAGAGAAAGGCCCTCCATCTGCTGGTTCACTCCTCAAATGGCTGCAATGGCTGGAGCTGGGCAGATCTGAAGCCAGAGCCAGAAGCCAGGAGCTTCTTCTGGGCCTCCCACATGGTGTGGGAGCTCAAGCACTTGGGCCATCTTCCACTGCTTTCCTAGGCCTTTAGCAGGGAGCTGGATTAGAAGTAGAGCTGCTGGGCCTCGGACCAGTGCCCATATGGAGTAACTGCACCACAGGCAGAGGCTTCATGTACTACCTTGTAGCACCAGCTCCAGGAATAATTACTTCCTACATTTCTGAACAAAATAATTTTGAAAATTATGATCATTTATTGCTTTATACTTAAAAATTAATAAAAACATAGATCTTTGTGTGTAGGCCCTGAAAGAAATAAAGCAGCCAATCAATTTATGCAGATACACTCTAAAAGTACTGGAAGACTGCCATTAAGAAAAGATTTGTCCTGAAATAAGAAATAACACTGAAACTACACGGCTTACTGTGTTCTTTTATGAGAGCTCTATGCCTGGATCTAGGCTTACTTTGTAAAACTGGAAGAAAAGAACAACTTACTGCATTTAATACATGGGCCACTCAGGAATACAACTAGATTTTACTTCTGGAGTTACATGAGAAAAATTGTTCCCCTCCTTCTCTCTCACCTTGCTATGTTAAAAATGAAAAATCTCAAGATTTGTATAGGACTGTTGTGAATAAAAACCCAAAGAAATTCTCTTTACTAATAGATTTGAATAAGAACATCAGAGATTTCAAATATAGATGGTGTATGTATTCCATCTCATAGAGTGACAGTTGCCTCCAATGTACCAGGCGGCAGGTTAAGCCTGGCAGGTAACAGTACTCAGGTATTCCAAGTCTATCTGGGGAGATAGCAAAAGGTAGTAGGCAGTTACAACACAGTGATCCTATGCATGCTGCAAGTTTCATTAAGTGACCCTATTCCACATGCTGGAAACACTGCTGTTTTCCTCAGCTGAATGACAGCTGTTGGTGTCCAGGAATGCAAGCTCCCTGAACACTCCACCTTACTCTATAACAAGGAAAAGAAAAATAGACGGGCTGGGTGTGCTTCACTTCTAGAGTCCTGTTAGAACAGGTGCAAACCACTTTCATCACATTTAAAAGGCCTTTGGCAAGCCACAGCTCTACATCTGGCTTAGGAGCTAACGCCCTGGATACTGAAGTTCTGCACTAAGAATTGAGCTCCCTGAACAGGGGAGCGCCTTTATTTTGTTTTCATTTCTTGTCGAAGAGCCCCTACCTAGATAGCTTGAACCTTGTGAAGTGTTGATAAACAACCATGTCTGAAACAGCGGACCAGCAATTTCATACAGTGCAATCTCAGATGCACCACAAAAATGCCGGTTGAGTGATGGGACGCATCATGAATCAAAGTTTTAGGACTATTACACAGACGCACTCGAAAAACCTCATCTTCATTACAGTTTTGGGCACAATATTTCCAAAAAAATGCTCTGCTTCCCAACACTTGTTTATTCCCCGGACACAATGCTGCGCTCCTCTGGTGTTCAGGGATGCTCCAGAAAATCTCACTTCTGTTGTTTTCCAGTAACATTCATCTAGAATCCTTCAGTCTCCAGTGGTTCCGGAATGACTCTTGTGTACCTCCTGCTAGTTCTGCAAACTCCATCAACGGCAACATAGCAAATGAATGGGGAAACCATGGCCTGCACTTCAATTCCATCGAAAACAAACACAGGATTCTCCACCTCTCAGTATTTGTAGGTCTACTGTCTGTTGGAATCCTTGAGCTCCTGTTTGGAGCCAGTCAGATTGTCATTGGCTTCCTTGGCTGTCTGTGTGGAGTCTCTAAGAGAAGAAGTCAAATTGTGTAGATTTATAGTAATACAATGAAGTATCAGTACTTTGAAAAATTGGAAAATCACATTTAAAATACACCAAGTCCAATAATGGGACATTATCTAGAAAACTGTCAGTCCTGTTACCTCAAAAAAGTCATCTGAGAGATGATTTAAAAAAAATCCATCTTTCATATATAAATCATGTTGTAAATGCGTAACACTTCCATAAGGAAAGGAAAAATCAAGAGTTGACTTTGGGGAGAAGTAAACAGAAGCTTTCAAACGGTTTTGTATCTCTGTTCTTCTAGCTCTGAGTATTCTTGTGTGTGGAGAAATAGAGAGGGAGGAGGGGGGTGAGGAGGAACACAAGGCATCCCAGAGGTGAAAGCATGGAACCTTTTCACTGCATTTCTATACACTTGAAAAAGTAAATACGTGAGATGAATGCAATCAAGTCTTTAGACCAATTTCTCACTTGCGGGGGCGGGGGAGAGGAAACAGACAAGGTGGGACAGTGAAAAGAACAGCCTGTTTTCAACAACAAAATATTACAGGACGGTGAGTTGGGTTCACGGAAGTGTTCTGGATTAAGAGGAGATGTATTTTAACACATTATGCAGGCCTTGTTAGGGAAAATTGGAAACATGTGCAAGAACTGGATTAGAGAACATTACAGAATTTTTGTTAATTTGATTAAGTTTGATAATGGTTTTATGGTCACACAGGCAGATATTCTTGTGTTTTTTTTTTTTTTTAAGAAATGTATGTATATATTTTAAAAATGTCATGTTTTCAAAATGCTTTGACCAATAAAAGGAAACAACAGAAAAGTCTTCATTTTTATATTTAGGTGATTACTATTTAGCATTCATTATATTTTTCTATTATCCTATGTTTACATTTTTCATAGTAATTAAAAATACCTAGAAAAAAATAAGTCGCCAAAAGCTGATTTAAAATAACATATGGTGTATCTACCATATTAAAATGCTATAAACAAGCAAAGCTAAAAATCTGGTTTTCTGAATACAACCATTCCTGCATTTTAATTTAAAAAATTAAGGTTCTAGAAGTAATTTATAATACCTCTATTATAGCTGCCCAAATGAATTAGTAGCATCAAGAACTTATAAGCCTTGGTTCTGGACCCATTTACCACATAAAGGCATTCTTCCTAAACACCTTTTTATCCTTGAGGTCTCATTTAAATATTTCCAACTTTAGGAAGCCTTCCCAGTGTGCACGGCTCCAATAAACAAAGTTAGCACATATGTGCACCACATTATCCTATTACAGTGTAACATGTTTTTATGCATATATCACTATAGTCATTAAGGGGACAGCCATGCCCTTATCATCCATGTACTCATCAGCCCTTTCCCTCTTCACACCCTTGGCAAGGCCTCTCCTTTTCCCACGCCCAGCCTGCACCTCCAATATTTCTGGTTGAGTCCTCTTTGTTCTTCAGACTTCCCACAAATACGGCTTTTTCTGAGAGGTCACTCCTAGGCACCTAATGGAAACTAGGTTTTTTTTTAACATGCTTTCGTGTGTAGCATTTATGACAATGAGGAGAGTATTTTCACTTGCGCTTGTTTCTTACATTTCACTACGTCTCATAAGACCCAAAGTTCCACCGGTGAGGGATGGACATGTATTTTTTTTTTTTTTTTTTTTGACAGTGAGAGAGAGAGACAGAGAGAAAGGTCTTCCTTTTGCCATTGGTTCACCCTCCAATGGCCACCGTGGCCGGTGCACTGCGGCGGGTGCATTACGCTGATCCGAAGCCAGGAGCCAGGTGCTTCTCCTGGTCTCCCATGCGGGTGCAGGGCCCAAGCACTTGGGCCATCCTCCACTGCACTCCCGAGCCACAGCAGAGAGCTGGCCTGGAAGAGGGGCAACTGGGACAGAATCCGGAGCCCCGACCAGGACTAGAACCGGGTGTGCCGGCGCCGCAAGGCGGAGGATTAGCCTATTGAGCCACGGCGCCGGCAGAATGTTTCTCTTATACATTCCTGGTACAATCAGGACCTGGCACAATGTCTGGTACAAAGTAGAGTCATTAGAAATATTTCATTGAATACATTAGTGAATTCTGTCTTCAGAACCCAGTTTTTAACTGAGAACTCAATGTTTACTAAATTAATGTCACATTGTTCATAATTATGAAAGAAAAGTCAAATGAAAGAGAGCTCAATGTACTTGAGTGAAGTGTACGAGGGTCTGAGATAATGTTTACAATTTTCTCATTACCCTGAAAACAGAAGAGAGAGGATTCCAAATTTTTACAAGGTGAGGAAGGATCAGCGATGAAGTCTCCATTTCAGAAGGCAATAGAAAGGATGGCCGGCAGTAGCACGATTAGCTGAAACAGCTCACGGGTTGTTTCTCTGCTTTTGTTATAGAAATTGCTGCCATGGATTAAGTGTGGAAAGCCCTGGCCACCTGTGGGTAGTGTCTTTTGGGGGCATTCCACCTTCTGCTCCTTGTACAACCATTACAGTGCAAAACTCCAGGCTATGGTATTTAGAAAAAATCATAAGGAGAAACAGGTTTTACATTTGTTTCCAGGTATTCCTACTTTTATTTCATGTTTGGCTTTGTTAAAAGCCTTTTCACGCATGTTCAGAAAAACAGGCATGAGTATTAATCCATTATTTTTGTGTTTTCAACTGGGAGGATCACCCATAGAAATTACCTGGCGATATAAAGTCAGAAACTGCATCACTAGGCTACTCAGATACTCAGTATCTGGATGAGTGCCTAAACTTGCCAATGCATGTCTGGACTCACTACCTCTGCCCCTCTCCCTGAAACACACCCCTCATTTGCAAACCTCACTGATTTTCAACTTTCACTGCAACACTGTACCACCCATATTCAACCACCTTTTGGAATCTGCATAGTTTTTTTTTCTTACTGTATCTGCCATCTAAACTCCCTCTCCTCCCATACTTCAGCACATCCCAAGTTCTTCTTCCTCATAAAATACTGCTCTTACAGTCTTCCAGTTTTTAATAAGCCTCATCCTCCCACTGTCCCCACAAATCCGGTCTTTCTTCAAGAGCAGGGCACGTGGCACACTTTCTGCAACTGCCCACTTCTTAGCTCAGTGAACGCACTGGAGGCATCACTGAGGTGCCCATTCATTGTTAAGTAAAGGAGCACTTACGATAACCTAAATCATTTCAAACCCAAGGTCCAGAAAAACAATTTCAATGTCAAATATAGTTAAGAAGGTGAAAAACAAATATTCTTGCCGGAAAAGAAGGAAGATTCTCTTGTAAATATACTCAAGTTCTATCTTAACAGTTATCTCTTGAAGTGTAAACATTCTACACATCCTTCAACAGGTATTCCTAGAAATGTAGAAACAAAATAAACCGAACAGCAGTGTTCTGAAACTAAGGAACAATAAAACACCTTTATACTTACTTGTAGACTTCTTTTCTTGACTGTATCCTTTTTTTCTTGTTTCTTGCATATGGAATCTCTTTCTTCATCCTCCACTTCTTGAAATCCTATATATATTTCAAGGTTCGCTTCAAATATCTAAGAAGTATTTCCTGATTATTCTAAACAGGACTGATTAAGGTCCCAGCCTCACTCATGAGTGTCTTGCTAAAGTTAGCACTTGATCAAAAGAGGGAATTCCATCTTTATTTTTTTTTTTTTTTAAGATTTATTTACTTTATTTGAAAGGCTGAGTAGAGAGAGGGACAGACAGTGAGAAGGATTTTCCATCTGTTGGTTCACTCCCCAAGTGTCTGTAACAGCCAGGGCTGTGCAAGGCAGATGCCAGGAGCCAGGAACTCCATCAGGGTTTCCCACATGGGAAGAGGGGCCCAAATACTTGGGCCATCCTCCAACGCATTCCCAGGTACATAAGCAGGGAGCTGGACTTGAAGTGGAGCAGCCAGGACTAGGATTGGCACTCACATGGGAAGCTGGTGTTACAGGTGCTAGCTTAGCCCACTATGCCACAACACTGACCCTGGGGACTCCATTTGCTGGTCCTTGTACAACTATTACAGTGCAAAGCTCCAGGCTAGGGTATTTAGGAAAAATCATCAGGAGAGAGACATGTTTTGCATTTGTTTCCCCGAATTCCTACTTTTATTTCATTTTTGGCCTTGGTGAAATCCTTTTCATGTATGTTTAGCAAAAGAGATATGAATTTTAATCCATCATTTTTGTGTTTTCAATTTGGAGGTTCACTCACAGAACTTACCTGGTGATATACCTAAACCTAGAATTAATGTAGAAATTGCATCATTAGGCTATTATCAAGTCTTCCACGGGCAAAAAAAATTTTTATCCAAACTCCTGATAAATCTAAGCACAGAGGGGAATCTCTGTCTTACTACCTTCTTGGAGGGATGAAAGAGAAGCAAGAGCAGAAACATTAAAAGCTGCCACTATCTAAGGAGCTCCTGTCAACCACCTTGGGAGAAGGTATTGAAGATGTATGCAGACTATTGACTTAACTGAATTCTACCTGTTACTGAGCTGAGAAAGGGAAAACAGAAGTTCTGAGCACTAAAGGCACTCAGGGCTTGGTTTCTATGTGTGTTTAATTTTCATGAGGTTCAAATATTAGCAAGTAAATACTACAATGGAAAAAGCATTCAAACTCAAGGTATTTAATCTTAATCACTTTATGGATATAATGATTTAGAAAACCACCTACATGCAACCAGTACCCACCACTACCAGGATGAAGATATGAAAGTATTGCAGGCTCAAGTCAGCAATTACTTGATGGGAAGTAACTGATGGGAAGACTCACACAAGGTAATGTGTTGTGAAATTTAGCTCCCAGGATAGTATGATAAAATAACATTTTTCAGTACACAAACATTGCTTTGGCTGACAGTTTATTAAATACACTACATTTGTACCTTATTCTGTAGTTTTTTAAATTGTTCACACAGGGACTTAGTAAAAACAGACTTTATAGAAAATCATCTGCAAAACTCAAATGAAAATACGAACGTACACACTGCACACGCACTAGATAAACGGAATTGACAGAACTTATTTCAGCCTGTACAGGCGATCATGAAGTACTGACCATGGAATATAAGTTGGTTTGGTTTTCTTAAATCTTACACCAAACCACGACTTCAGAAGTGTTAATGTTGAAATGTGGACGCAAAAATGTCTAACAAAACTGTTTAATAGTGTTTGAGAAACAAGACCAAAAGTACTGTTTTTCTTTTACAGATTCTTTTCTAAATCCATTCTCTATGTACTCTCCATCCCATTCTGAGAATTAGGTGCAGACTGATGAGGCCAAACATCAATTCTTTCTAAAAAAAAAAAAAACGACTTGAGCCTATTTACAAAACATGCAAAGGGAGCATTTTAAGTGTTACTGCAGAACTGCATGAAAGTGTGCACAGCTCAGTGACAGAACAGAATCTACCTTTACTGCTGCAAGTGCAGGTCCTTCCCACCTGCTTTCTAGAAGAAACACGTTTCCAGGGCCTGGACTATCAAGCGGCATACAATGCAAAGACAGAGACAGAGAAGTTTGTACATCCTTTATATTTCCAGCTGTTGAGACAGTACTTTTGAGAGCTAAGGTTACCTCTAGCGGCGAAACCAGAGCCAACTATTAAGCAGCCAGAATGCTACAGTAATTGAATACATGACCATTTCTCTTTTAGCACGTTCTTTGTTTTCCTCTTCTAGAAGTTGTAGACGTCTATTTAGTTTGATAATCTAATGAAAAACAAAATTGGAATTCTTAATAAACGTAGAAATCAGATTCTAATACAGTGTAAAAACTTGTTAAACGAGTAATTACAATCATGGGAAGTCTGAAGCGAAACAAACTATAAAAGTTACTTATGACAGCTAACCTAACCCTAACCCTTCCCCATTTCTCTTTTCTGTATTTGAATCCTTAATTGATTCGATGGAGAGGTAAGGAAACTGTTGCATACATATTGTTACTCTAGCAGCAAAATCTAGTTGCAGGTACCATAGCAGAACTGATACAGGACTCCTGCCTCTTCCAAGCCTTTTCTCTGAGCTGCTCATGACTCAGCTTCAGTTGTTCATCTTTACCTGGAATAACTGTCTTCTTGGTCTGAGTGGCACTGGGCGTCTCCTAAATCTCCTGCTGCAGAGAGCCCTGTGATAGGCCACCCAGACCCGTCAGGTCTGAAAGCCTCGTCATTCCCCAGCTGCTGCGAAGTTACTGGCTGAAGCACCATCCTCAGCTGCTGGACTCGCCTGTCAATGGCCCTGGGCTGAACAACTGCTTTGCCTAAGCTCATGCTGCCTTACTGATGGTAACAGAAAAATACTTTATTCCATCCTGTTTCCCTCTGCATCATTTGGTGCAGACATAACAAAAACACCAAATACAACTTCCCCAAATATGTTCTTTGTTCTTTTGTTTGTTTGTTTTTGAGCTGAACAGAAGCAGGAGCCAGGAACTCTGTTCAGGTCTCCCAAGTGTGAAGCAGTAACCCAACCACTTGAGCCATCATCACTGGCTCCCAGGGTGTGCGTTAGCAGGACGCCATAGCAGCTATCGCCCTCATGTACTGATGTGGGATGCAGGTGTCGTAACTGGCATATTAACCACTAGACTAAATGCACACCCCTGGCAACAATACTATTATGACCATAAAAACATATAAATAGTGGTTCAGCTACCACTTTAAAATCCCATATAAATAGGATTAACACCTTAGGATGTACTATTTGGTACATTAGATACCTGTCGTCTTAATGAAGCTGCATCTACAACAGTCATGTCTTCCGATGTTCCTTCAATGGTTGTATCTATGTTTGAAATGCCATACCTAGCAAATAAGAAATAAAAATACAAATTAGTATGGAAATTAATTAATACAATATGGAAACAGAACCGAGAATTCTAAAATACAGAAGCTAATAAACTAAGGAAATAGAACTAAGAACGAATTGGCAAGTCATGCTGTATAATACTCAAAGAAGTATCACAAAGATTGGAATTTACCAATAGGAATTAGTAAAATAGTTTACTCATAAAGGAAAAGCTGAAGATGACAACTTTCTATAAATTTTAGGGAAATGTACCAAAATTTGAAGAATGAGACTCCCTAACAATTTTCAGGCCAGAGGGACTGGCAATGCTAAAAAAGACCCTTGGCTGAAACGTCTGGGAGCTGCCAATATACAATTTTTACACAGACTCACGTCCGTATGTGGAGTTCCATAGCAGAGTCCCAGGTAGGGAATGCAAAGTAGACTAACTCTTAGAAAAAGGAGCAATCACTTTGTATTTCTTCTCTTCTCATTGCCTCTTCTCTTTCCATATCCACCCTTTACTTCTTATTCTCAATTACTTACTCTCAACTGTGTTGTCTCACAGAAGCAATTGTAAAATCTCCTGAATATATCTTGCCACTATATTTAGATGTAGAACTGACTCAATAATAAATACAAGGCTATGTGTAAAATAATACTAGAAAAATACTACGGCAAAATCCAAAGAAAGCATTTTCAAATACACCTTTTGCTTACTATGCTCCTCAATCTGTCTATATGAAATACATGAAATTTGTTCACCTTAAAATAAGTAACTAAATAAAAGGAAGTACTTTTTGTTCAAATGCATTTACTTCAAAAAAGGGTATGGAACTTTAGTGAATGACAATAAACTTCTGAAAAGCAAATACAAATGCCATTCCTCCCCTCTACCCAGATTCTCGTATTTCAAAACTTAATTAACAGCTTTATTGGATACAACTTATATACCACACAATTCACTTCACATGCTTATCTATTTTATATCCTATATGGTTATCAATAGTATGGCATAGTAACTTTTCTGAATGAATAGAATATAAATATATTGAATTAAAACTTCCTTCTGGGTAATCTATAGACAGTTAGCACACAGATCGTCTATTCCCAGAAAGTCTCCATGAAAAAAATACTCAACCACACAAAAGAATATGAAATCAAATTATATTTTACATCCTGAAATGTTAGAGGGGAGTCTACTCAGAAAACCCTTTTGTTTCAGAAGTTGCTGAAAATAGTCCTAAAATACTTTAATAAAGTAGGAAAAACAGAATTGAAAAGCAGGTGGTGTGTACTGACTTTAAGCAACCTACAACAAAATGTTCCTTTTAGTGGGTCAATTAACTTCCTTTCTCCGTAACAGCCCCTTCTTCACGGGAACAGAGTGAAGATCCTGGAATACTGAGGGTACTGCATCAGTCAGAGAAGCAGACTTCTAAGTTAACCCATGAATGCTGGACCATGGGCTTTACAAATATCCGAGTTAATTATTCTTTGGAACATTAAAACATGATAAAATATTAATATTAAAATTAAAATAGTAAATATTAAAACACGATTAAATTATTAGTGGAAAAAAATAGGGGTTACACTTTTCTACACTCCATCCCCAAAATAAAACCTTTCTATTTCCCTGAAGTCACATATTAGATGAATAATGGAGAAAAAAATCAAAACAATCACCTCATAAGTAAAGGGGTCCGATGTGGCCACAGAGAATGAAGTGTTAATTAAGGGATTACTCACGGTTTAAAGCCAGAAGTTACTAAGGTTCACCTATCTGTAAATGAAATCTTCATTGCCAAAATTTTATGTACATAACTCAATTTAAAATAATTGAATGTGGGGCTGGTGTTGTGGCATAAGGGAGGGTAGTCACCACCTGTGCCAGCATCCCATATGAGTCCTGATTTTGAGTCCCCGCTGCTCCACTTTTAATCCAGCTCCCTGCTAATGTGCCTGGGGAAGCAGTGGAAGATGGCCCAAGGGTTGGGCCCTTGCCTCCCATGTGGGAGACTTAGATGAAGCTCCTGGCTCCAGGCTTTGGCCTGGGCTAGCCCTGGCTGTTGTGGCCATCCGGGGAGTGAACCAGCAGATGGAAGAGCTCTCTCAGGGCCGATGCTGCGGCTTAGCGGGTGAAGCCACTGCCTGCAGTGTCGACATCCCATATGGGTGCTGGTTCATGTCCTGGCTGCTCCACTTCCAGGCCAGCTTTCTGTTATGGCCTGGGAAAGCAGTGGAAGATGGCCCAAGTCCTTGGGCCCCTGCACCCACGTAGGAGACCCAGAAGAAGATCCTAGCTCCTGGCTTTGGATCGGTGCAGCTCTGGCCATTGTGGCCAACTAGGGAGTGAACCAGCAGATAGATCTCTCGCGATCTCTTTCTCTCTGCCTCTGCTTCTCTGTAACTCTGCCTTCCAAATAAATAAATAAATTTTTAAAACCAAACCTGTTTTCTTAAAAAAAGATCTCTCTGAAACTTTCAAATAAATACATAAATAGCAAAAAAAAAAAAAAATCAAAAAGAATGTTCCTTTACAATGTGCTTTAAACTAAAACCTGTATTTTTCAGAACTAGAAACCCTAGAAGAAAATGGTCTTTTAGACCACTGGCTAAATATACTTTCACAGAAAGATAAGATCACAAACAGAAAAATACATGCTGGGGCTGGCATCATGCTATAGCAGATTAAGCTGCCGCCTGCAATGCCAGTATCCCACAGGAGTGCTGGTTTGAGTCCAGCTCCTGCTCATGCATTTGGGGAGGCAGTGGAGGATGGCCCAAGTGATTGGGCCCTCACCACCCATGTGGGAGACCTGGATGGGGTTCCTAGCTTCTGGCTTCGGCTTGGCCCAGCCCAGCAGTTGTGACCATTTGTGCAGTGAACCAACAGATGGAAGAATTCTGTCTCTCTGTTTCTCCCACTCCCTGATTCTGCCTTTCAAATAAATAAATAAATCTTACAAAAAAAATTAGAAAACTACAAGATACAATTAAGAGCATAAGGACATAGACATAACTGAGAGCGTAAAAGAGAGACATCTGGGCAGGCACTGTGTTGCAGTGAGTTAAGTTGCTGCTTGTGAACCCAGCATCTCATATCAGAGTGTGGTTCAAGACCTGGATGCAGTTCCTGGATCCTGGCTTTGGCCCGGCCTAGACCTAGCTGTTGTGGTCATTTGGGGAGTGAATCACAGGATGAAAGATACCTCTCTTCCTCGCCCTCCCTGTCACTCTGCCTTTCAAATAAACAAATCTAAAAGTAAACAAACAAGCACAAAGAAGTCAGCAGAGTGATAAGGGCCCCTGAGGGTACACTTTCCAATTTCTCCAACATAAATTCAGTACAAACTAGAAACAGATGTCTGCCCTTTTCTCTTCCTTAGATGGATGTGACAGTTCCTTCCAATCACAGAATTAATGCTGCCAGATTTAAATGTGCTGCCACAGATAACACATTTCTGCTTAAAATAAAGTGATTCTGAAAAAATTACAGTAGTGGCATCTGTGGCCATAAACCAGTTTGTGTTTTTGTTTTTCCAGAAGATGGGAAAACTAGATGAGATCTTGGCACTGGAGAATCTCAGGCATTTGTACATTCCATTCTCTCTGCCTTTGTGCATGACAGGAAGAAACAATTCCTCAGGGTAAGCACGTCTGAAAGGAACAAAAATGAGAGTGTCCCAAGCTGACAGATGATAAAAAGGCTTAAAATTAAATTCCCTTTCTGTATGTTCAACTTGCCAGACTACTGGTTATCAGTGCTCACTTCCTCCCACTTCAGACGGTGCCCTGTAACGAGGTTTACCTCCACACTTGAAAGTGACATTATAGATAATTAACAGCTGAAAAGGAAATGCTGGATAGGATCTGGGCAACAATGGAAGCAATGCACATAAAACATGCTTTAGCTTTTCTGTGTTAGCGTGGTCTCCTGAAAGCTACTAAAACTGTATGCAGGGGTGGGCACTGAGACACAGCAGTTAGGACACTGGTAGGAGTGCTTGGATCCCGGATCAGAGTGCCCTTGCTCCCTACTCCACCTCGGATTCGGCTTCCTGCAAACGTGTACCCTGGGGAGAGCAGATGATGGCTCCCACATGGGAGACCTGAATGCAGTTCTGGCTCCTGACTTTGCTGCCAAGTCCAGGCTGCTGTGGGAATCTGGGGAATGAAACAGCAGACTGAAGATCTCTGTCTCCCTTTCTCTGTTGCTCTGACTTTCAAAAAAAAAAAAAAAAATGAATAGATACAATTTTTTATAAAAATCCACTGTATTTAAAAAAAATGTCCCAGATGTCCCTGTCATAATGATTACATATCTGTCCTGGCACTCTGTTGCCAAAATGCCACAACTGATCAAACTTCCTGTTCTTAGCCGCAGGATGCACTCATTCAGAAAAGTCACCGAAGCTCAAGCTACGACATAAAGGAATGGCTATTACGTGCGTTATGTCTGTAAAGCAGATTTTATCAACGATTTATCCTGTTAATTACAAAGTCTCAAAATTTACCTGACGTTGTCATGATGAGGATTAGAAGTGGCGGCAGCAGACCCACCACGCAACACAGGTCTAAGGCAGGTTTTTGCGGGAGAAGGCACAAGACAGAATCAGGAAACAGAGAAGTGACAAAGGCAAAAACAAGACAAATAAATGTCAATTTGGATTATATTGTATATGTTAATACAATATAATATCTCTCACTTTAAAAATGCTAGTCTCATATGTCCTCCATTTTATGATTTTCATAAATTTCACATCTTATAATTGCTCCAAGTAACAAAGGGAATCTATACTTAAGTGACAAAATAGCACCAACATGTAAAATTATTCTTTTGGTGCTTATATTTTTATTTTATGAAATTCAAGGCAAAGGAAAACTCTATTTTTTGGAAATTGTAATTCCTCTCTTCTAGTTGGAAAAAAAATCACCAGCAGTTTTATAAGCATATCAAGAACTGGACAATAGCACCTGTATGATCACAGTTCCTCATATTAACAGCTCTATCACATAAACTATAAATTTCAACAAAGTCCCACTTCCCACAGTTCTTTCCCTCCCACCTCATTAATATTGATTATGCCTGATATCATACTGTAACTGTGCCTCATTTAAACCCTTTCCAGAGCAAAATCAGAAAAATTTCAGTTCTGGAACCAGGGACATCAACGTACACACTGCAATGAATTATGAGAAATGGAACCAAATATGGGAGTGAGTCTCATTTTGAGACAACCAGGAGTGACATACAGGGCTGCTGGCAATGAAGACTAAGAGGCACTGGAAAACTTTGTGGGGATTTTTTCAGTTGCTCTCAGCACATACTTTGGTTCTAGAGGAAGATGTGTTTTCTTTCTAATACCTTTTATTTTTAAAATCAGAAAACAAAAGCTCTACATGTTCACTGTTCAATTCCCCTCCAAACAATCAGCAGTATTTATCAGCCAGATAAAGGAAGTCAGGGTAGAGGATCCATGTGAGGATTTTAAGAATTATTAAATACTGCTTTCACTTTCTACGTAACTGTTTTGCCTGAATACAAGTATTGAGGCAATATTTAATTATAGTAAACATTCAATACCAAATGCACAATTTTTTCCTTCCAAGTAGGAACACCTGTAGAATTTTGACTAAAATACAAATCATTATTTTCTGACAATTTATGCAAGAAAATTTTAATGTTTAGCTTCTGCATGTTTGAAAGGTGCTATCAGTCATTAAAGGGAATTTCTGGAGCTTAGAAGATATGGGGTTCAGACCTTTTCAGATGACCTGTTTGATTTTTATTTTGTTGGCTAAAGAACACTAAGAAATCACATGTTTGAGACTGGCTTTAAATCCACCCCATCCTACTAACATATTTACTCTCTGATATTAGAAAAACTGTTACTTAAGTATCACCTTAAATTACAGTAACATGAAAGTGACTAACTAAATAGGGCCACTGCTATGTGCTTCCTAAAACATTTTTTAAAAAGGTACATGAGGAGTGGGCGTTTAGCATGGGTATCCCACAACAGAGTGGCTAGGTTCAGTTCCAAGGTTCAGCTCTTGATTCCAGCCTCCCGCCAAAGCAGACTCGGAGTCAGCACACGAGGGCTCCTGTGCCTGGATTCTGGCCTCCTAGGTGGGACATGTGGATTGTGTTACCAGCTTCTGGCTCTAGCCATAGCCCACGCTGTTGTGGCATTTGGGAGTAAACCATAAGATTTACAAATAAAACTCTCTCTCTCAAGTAAAACTTAAAATAGATTTTTTAAAATGCATACTAGTATGTTCAAATGGATCTGCCATATTTAAAATATTCCACCACAGAGATTTCCCTTTGATAATGCAGAGCCAGAAAATAATACAGTTACCTTTCACAACGTATTTCATTTTGTCTTCTCACACTGGCAATTGACACATATAATATAAAAGTAAATTAGACAGGTATTTGGCAAAATTAGAAACTTCATTCAAGAACCACTTCCTACCATAAATATGATCTAATACACAAAAAATCTTTTTAACAGTGTTTTGTAATTAAGAGTGGAAAAGGGAAGAAAATCCCAAGGCTATCAAGTTCTGGCATTAACCTGTATACTGACATTTTTGAATAAATATGATGTCTGGTTTTTTTCTTCTGCTATAGAAATGCTGTAGTAAAAAAAACAGTTTGGAGGACTAGAAAATACACATTTTTTAAAAATAACAAATAATAAACACTGTGTCAACTACAACTCTGCATATCTGTCTTCCAAGTTACTTATTTATAGGGTAAGTGCCAGAAATGTAAATTACTCACACATCTAGTCTCTCAAAGCTAGTACAATTTGCTAAAGAAAAAAAAATATTCAAGACCCTCCTAAAAACAAAATTTAAGCATGACTTACTGATCAATAATTAAATAATATTTATACATGTAACTAAGTTCCTTTCTAAAAATGTTAATATTTCATATTGGAGATGAGACGCATAGTTCTAACAGATATAGGCAGAAACTGGCATTTCTTAAATGTCCAAGGACCAAACTGTAATAGCATTTTAAGTCTCTCTGCCACTGTGCACTGGTACTTTTCCCAGATGTACTGATAAATTTCCAGGGGCTGGCACTGGGGCACAGCAGATTAAGCCCCGACTTGCAACGCCTGTATCCCATTTGGGTGCCAGTTCGAATTCCGGCTGCTCCATTTCTGATCCTGGTTAACATGCCTCGGAAAGCAGCTAAACTGACCTAAGTGTTTGGGCCCCTGCATCCATGTGGGAGACCCAGATGAAGCTCCTGGCTTTGGCCTGGCCCACTCCTGGGCCACTGCAGCCATTTGGGAAATAAATCAGCAGATGGAAGATCTCTTTCTCTCTCTCTCTCTCTCCCTTTCTCTATAGTTCTGGCTTTTAAATAAATAAATAAATTTTCAATATGAGTTTTCCAAATGTACCTGTTTAAATAAACTTTTCTAAAGTGCACCTAGGATTTAACTTGGTTTTCATGTTGAGCTTGGTTTAGATCACCAAAATTCTCATAAGAAAATACTGTCATAACCTTTGAAGTGTAAACTAAAAATAGTTCTTATGTCAAACAATGTGAATCTACATTGTTTCATAATAATAAAGCAGAAAAGAAAGTTTTTTGACTCTTTTTTCCAAATAGTTCTAGCTTAAGTTAACCTAATGTGATGGCATAAGACCAAAGATGAACTATTATATTAGCATAACAGCCAAGAGTAATAAGACAGAAAGGAAAAAATTATGTATACACCAAGGAACATAAAAGCACTTAAAACTTGATAAGCAGTATTATTTTATAATCATGCAAGTAGAGCATTATCCAAATTTCACATTCTTATTTCTTACATCTAAAAAGTCATGATAGATACTTCTCACAGTGGAAATAAAACTGATTTGGCATTTAAAATACTTATCAAAAGTGTTCAACATTTAGATCCTAACAGATTTGAACATAATTTAAAAAAAATCCTTTCAATAATGAAAGTATTAAAAAGACTGATGAGATTGTAGCCCTTCAGGCTCCAAGGAAACAAATAATGTTCCAGGAGCAAAAGATCATTAATAGAATTCCTTTATGAATTTAAACAATCTTATAATAAGACAACTCCTAGAAAAGGGATTTTAAGGTCATCAGTTATTACACCATAAAAAGACAAATTTTCACTTGCAGTTCAAAACATTTCTTCATGAAAAATACAGTAAAATTTGCATGGGTAAGATTTTTGATTTTGTACATGTGAACTTGAAGTGAAAAATTTTCCCATTATTGAGAAAAAAATATCTGTATCATAGCATTGAACTTGTGTTATGTGTTGCTAGGGGGTGGAAAAAAAACCCACATAATTTTAAAGTACAGGGACTCAGTCTTCTAGTTAAGCTAATGTTTCATCTATAAAGGATTTAGAAATAGTTTTCTGATTCAGATATTTTTATCATAAAGCATCTGGTAAGATATACTCTGACCTAAATAATCTGATGTCTTCTAAAGACCTACTCTAATTGAAAAGTTAAAATGGTTATCTGGTAGAGCATCTATTTTAAGGACAGCCAGGTATTTTATATATACTGAGCATCTTTGAAGGATTTCCTACTACACTGAACAAAGAGTTTGAAACTAGTATCCCTGTATCTTAAATAAAGGTCAGAGAAGGGAAGAGTTTTCACATTTGAATTCACAAAATTAGATACTATTGAGGGCTGCAGAAGTTATGCAACTTATTTGTTCAAGGCCATTATGGAAATACTTAGTGAGATGGATCAAGATTGAATCTGAGGGGTGGAGTTGGGCCTAGAGGTAAAAATGCTTATGCCCCATATCAGACAGCCTGAGTTTAAGTCTGCTCCAGACTGCAGTTTCATGCTAATGTGCACCTTAACAATCAGCAGGTGTCTTAAGAAGTCAGGTGCCTGCCCCTTACATGGCTCCAGCTTTAGCCTGGTCTAGCTCCAGCCTCCAGCTGTTTGGGGCATTCTGTTTCTCATAGGGAAAAAAAAAAAAAAAGACAATTACGACTGACCCTCTAAATCCATGATTTTTCTCCTAAACTTTGTTGCCTCACACAGTCTCCAATTATTCCCAGAGTCTTTGAAGCATAAAAGGACTCCGAACCCTTGGTGGGAAACAAAATGTAGGATGAGCATCCTTAAACCTAAAGTCTGAAATTCAAAATGCTCTGAAATCTGAAATTCCTGGAGTGCCAACCTGATGCTCAAAAAATTTAAGATTTGGAACATTTCAATTTCCAGATCAGGGATGCTCAAGCAGTGAAGTCTATGAAAATACTCCAAAAGCCAATAATCTAGTCCCAAGCATTTCAGATAAGGGCTACTCAACCTGTACATACTATATACACATACATGCAAGTATACATGTACATATAACCACCCCAGCGGCATGAGCTTCCTCTTTATACTCTTTTTTGTACAGCTTTGATTTCTTGGGCCCAGACACACACCATTAGATTAAGTCTTAGAAAGGCCATGGATTCAACAATGGTAAGGAGTGTGGACAAGTGTTCTTGAAGTATGGGGAAACATCTGGGCCTACACAAGGATTAAAAGAACCGAACAAGAAAAAAAATTTGTTCACAGCAATCCAAAACATTATCAACTGTTACAATAAGAAATAAAGCTTACGGGAAAGGCTGCTTCATTTATTAGGAATTCTTCAAAATAGAAAAATTAACAATCCTAAGATGAGTTAAAAAATTCAAATACTGACTCTCAGAAGTTATTAGGTAAGTGGAGTTGAAATGAAACTAATTATACCACAGTCTACCAAAAATAATTGCCCAAATTTCATCTTTTAAAAACAGCTATAGTAATAAAGCAAGGCAAAAATACTTGAAATCATTGCAACAAAAATATTGTATGAATAAGTCTATGTGTTCTATGGATCATTTTACTTGGAGATGTTCAAAAGTGAGATAACTTACTAATACTGAAAAATATCAGTATTATCAAAAAGATAATAGTGCTTTGGATTTTCATTATAAGCCTAGAAACCCTCTGAAAAGAAGAAAGGAAAAAGTCCTGGCAGCTGCACTGATAGCACTTTCTCGTATCCACTTTATTAATCCAGTTGTATCAGTGTCATGAACGGTTAAGTCAAAAGACTCAGAAAAGACAGCTAGTATCCCTCGGTTCAACATCCCATACCCCATCCAACGAGGTCCCTCAAAATAGTCCCAAATGGAATCAAGTGCTTAGAACAGGTCAAGAATGCCTTTGAAAATAATCATTACACTTACACCAAACAGTAACTACTCTCCTTGACCCTTTGAAGAAAAGCTAATGTCATCTGATGAAATGTGAATTTTGGACAATAATTTTAAATTACAAGAAAGCAAAGCAAGCTGTTTCAAACCACTGCATCTCCGAAAGAGACTAGCAGGTGCAAACATAAAAGGAAGACACCACAGTCCAGAAAATAAGCCAGAAAACAAAACAAAACAAAACAACAAAACCAAAACGTATCACAGCTGGCAAGAGTCACTGATAGCCAATCACCTGCGATTTTCATCCAGCACATCCAAGATCTGCTGGTAAACCCTACGAGTAGAAGACTGGATAAGCGACAAAATGCCACGAGCAGAGGAAAGATTAGCTCCATCTTCAGGTAACATATGGGGAGGACAGACCCGAGCCTGTTGTGGTGATGGTGTCACACTGTTTACATAAGCACAGCAAATGAAGAGAAAAACACTCAAGTCAGAATTTTATAAAACTTCAGCTGAGCAGTTTTTAATCTTAGTTTTCTTGCCCCCTTTTCCCACCTCCACTCCCCCCCTCAAGAAAACAAACCAAAGAAATTAATAAACACTTTGAATTAGTTTCAAAAACAAGCTACAATGTAACACTTGTAACTTTGTAATCCAAAACATCAAATTTTTTTTTTAAAAGCAAACATGAAAGAACAATTTGGAGAGGGCAGAATAAGTATAAAGTATTCAATTCCCAGCTTTGAAAAAGCCACATTCTTTAATTAGTACACATTCCAATTCAATAGGCCAAGTATGTAAGAAACAACGGTGTACCCAGGGACGGAGGATCAGAAGAGCAGGGTAGAGAATTCTGGTACACAGGTTTCAAAATTGAAACACATGACTCAGAAGTGATTCCATGAAAATGCCACTTCAAATATTGCACAAAGACAATGACACTGAGTTTATGAAGAGTAAATGTCATTGATTTAAAGAAGAAAACTGTCAACAAATCATTTTAATTGCTTCCAGTACATGTTTTCTAGCTAAATGGCTACAAAATAAAACTATCACCAATTCTATAAGACAGAGAAAGAAGGCAAGGATATTTATTATCATTATCCAGATGGTTGATAAATCTTAATTACTCTTATATCTGAAATGAGTCAAAATTTCTTTTGGTTCTACTGCCAGTGTTTCCTGAAAACTGACCACACTGGAATGAAGCAATGTTTACATTACTAATTTTATCTCTTAAGACTCAGTTCAGTATCCTGAGACAGCATTTAATATCAGGACATGATTAACTATTTCAGGTATTTAACTGATAGATGGACTTAGCATTTGGTCTGCACCAATAAGAGGACTGTAACACTTGGTTGAGGACTAAATATTCTTCATATGAAGGTAAAACACACAAGGCCAAAAGCTTCATCCTCATGTGTTATGTCCAAAAGAATAAAAGCAGAGGACATGGCGAACAACCAGAAAAACACAGAGCCGGCACTGCAGCTCACTAGGCTAATCCTCCGCCTTGCGGCACCGGCACACCAGGTTCTAGCCCCGGTCGGGGCGCTGGATTCTGTCCCGGTTGCCCCTCTTCCAGGCCAGCTTTCTGCTGTGGCCCGGGAGTGCAGTGGAGAATGGCCCAAGTGCTTGGGTCCTGCACCCCATGGGAGACCAGGAGAAGCACCTGGCTCCTGGCTCTGTATCAGCCGGCTGCGGCGGCCAGGTGAACCAACGGCAAAAGGAAGACCTTTCTCTCTGTCTCCCTCTCTCACTGTCCACTCTGCCAAAAAAAAAAAAAAAAAAAAAAAAAAAAACAAAACAAAACAAAACAAAACAAAAACACAGAACTCTAAACTTTTCTAATTTATGTATTTGTTTAAAACCACAAATTAAGCTGGATAATTTTTGAAGAATAATTATTCTCATCTAATAATATTGCCAGAAAATTAGAAAACACAAACTCTTCACACTTTTGTGACTAATTTGGATTGTTTTGATGGTCCAAAGAGGCATACTAAATATGAAAAACATGTTTCCCAAGGACTACTTCAAAGAAAAAAATGTAAATGATATTGGTAAATTAATCTATCAAGGCTGATTCAGCACAGTCTCATGGCTGGCAAACTTAAATGTTTGTTCAGACTGACATTCCTCTGGAATATCAACCAACCAATGGTATCTGACAAAACCCATGCTAGGTATACCCCAGAAGAGTACAAAAATCGGCATATCTGGGATACAAAGTCATCCTGTGCTCAGAATTCTGTTTAGGCAGCACAGTGAAAACCTGAAGCTCTGTAAATGTTTGTGAGAAATCAGAATGAGTTTATGTCAAAGGTGTGCCAATGAGGCAGGCTTGAAAACGGCTAGTTCTGGGGCCAGTGTTGTGGCATAGTGGGAAAAGCTACCGCCTGCAGTGCCGGCATCTCATGAGGGCGCTGGTTCGAGTTCTGGCTGCTCCACTTCCAATCCTGCTCTCTGCTATGGCCTAGGAAAGCAGTAGAAGATGGCCCAAGTCCTTGGGCCCCTGCACCCAAACGGGTGACCTGGAGGAAGCTTCTGACTCCTGGCTTTGGTTTGGCGCAGCTCTGGCCATTGCAGCCACCTGGGGAGTGAACCAGCAGATGGAAGACCTCTCTCTCTGCCTCTGCCTCTCTGTAGCTCTGCCTTTCAAATAAATAAATTAAGAGAATTTATATAAAAATGGCTAGTTCTGTGACAACATAATCAGTCCATCTTACATTCTTCTTAACAGCTACCGAAGTAGCTTCCAAAGCTTAATTTTCTTAAGCCAGTTTTCAAAGATTACTTAGTATTTTGTCTTTGTAGTTTTGAGCTTAAATTGAATATTTTGCTTATCATTTTGTATCAAAAACCAACTAGATGCATACTAATATAGTAAAGGTTATAATAATATTTAGAATTACAACCTTACAGCAACAATGTCAATAAAATAAACCCAAATCTATAAAAAGTTTCATAGATTTTTTCCATTAAAAATTAAAAGGTAGGCTGGCGCTGTGGCGTAGTAGGTTAAGCCTCTATATGCAGCACCAGCATCCCATACGGGCGCTTTTTCGAGTCCCAGCTGCTCTGCTTCTGATCCAGCTCCCTGCTGATAGCCTGGGAAAGCAGTGGAAGATGGCCCAAGTGCTTGGGTCCCTGGACCAGTGTGGAAGACTGAGAGGAAGCTTCTGGCTCCCGGCTTTGGATCAGCACAGCTCTGGCTATTGCGGCCATTTAGGGAATGAAGCAGCAGATGGGAGACCTCTCTCTTTGTCTCTCCCTCTTTCTGTCTGTAACTCTGTTTCTTTAAAATCTTAAAAAAATATATATATTAAAAGGTAAGAAGGTTATTTCCTTTAGGAGAAATCAATTTACCCGAAATAAGCAATAAGGTATTATTTATTTAAATTCTAAAAGTACAAGTGTTTTCTGTCCATATATAGGAAATGAGGTGGTCATAATTAACTTCAGATTGCATGCAAAGAATTCTTAAGATGCAATACACACAGAGAGGATTATAAAACAATCTATAAGAATAAGATTCTATGATCACATGAAATTGAAATGTGGTAATAAACAGGGAAAAAAAACCCTTACATGATCCCCAATTGTAATTTTTTTTTTTTTTTTGACAGGCAGAGTTAGTGAGAGAGAGAGACAGAAAAGTCTTCCTTCCATTGATTCACCCCCCAAACGGCTGCTACGTCCAGTGCGCTACGCTGATCTGAAGCCAGGAGCCAGGTGCTTCCTCCTGGTCTCCCATGCGGGTGCAGGGCCCAAGCACTTGGACCATCCTCCACTGCCTTCCCGGGCCACAGCAGACAGCTGGACTGGAAGAGGAGCAACCGGGACAAAATCTGGCGCCCCAACCGGGACTAGAACCTGGGATGCCAGCATCGCAGGCAGAGGATTAGCCTTGTGAGCTGCAGCGCCGGCCCTCAATTGTAATTTAACAGGGAAAAAAATCCATGTAAAAGATAAAACATAAACTTAAGTTTTTATCACTACCACCAAAGATATTTATTTCATCAAAGATCAACATCAAAAATATTTAGATTTAGATTTCTGGTTGTCTATCAAAACAAATTAAATTTTTGAAAATTATGAGGAAATTTAACTTTTATTTAAATGGCATCCTCCAAGAAAAGCAAAAAAGGAAGAAGAATTACTTTCTTAAAAGTTACTTTTGACAGTGTACACAAAGGTTAAAGGCCCTTGACTGTTGACATTTATTTCCATCTACAGATGAACTGAATGACTACATGAGATAACCAAAACTACATTCATAGAAGCAATAAATGATTTAACAATTATTTTTCCCTTTTTAAGCAGTAAGCAAGTTTTTTTTAAACAAGCCCCATTTTAGCAATCAGTTTGACACTCATTGGAAGGTTCTCTACTGGTATCAATGCTTACACAGCTGGGTCTCATCTCTGTGCCCACCAAAGTTCAACGAATTTGTTTTGTTTTTACAAGTGAACCATTATGAAATATACAAAAATAAACATATTGCAAGGAAGGGCTGAGATTACTTGAGCAAACGTCACAATATTAGTTTAATTCAAATGTACTTTGATGGTAAGTTGATCCTAGTAATGTTATGAAACAACAAAATTTCTTTACCTATTTTAAGTAAGACTAGAAAAGTTTGAAGAAAGCACTGGTGCTTACCATGTTATTTCATTAGTAACAACTCTAATTCATGCTTACATGAAATCTTGTCACATAAGAGTTAGGTAAGCAGCACTAGCCAATGTCAAACTTATTTACATGGCATACTTAGTCATTATTAAAAGGCAAATTCAAAGGTAAGTACCTCTTTCCCCATGGATTTTTACAGAAATAATATTTCTCAAACTGTGAGGTTAACATCTATGGTGACGTACCAGCCTCTTCCAAAAAAAAAGCAGTAAGGATAAAATAGTAAAGAAAAAGGGGGGAAACATCTTTTTACTTATATAAATTTTGTATTAATTTCACTTAGAATTTTAAATAGAGAGAATACCTTAATTAGCTGTCATCATCTCAGGTAATTTACTGTTTCTAGAAGCACAGTAATAGAACCAGAATAAAAGAAAAATCCTTGGCTGTTAGTGCTGTTTCTTCTTTCGCTTTAGAAAGAACTACATTAGTTTTTGAGCTGTTATACTGTATACCAAAATGTTTCCCCCATTGACAGGTCAGTCACTCCCAAAGCTTTATTTTGTCACACTTATAAAAAGTGTGGCTTTAAATGATCTAAAAAATAAACCAAAACTCTCGACATATAGTCTATTATAGGTAAAAACACAACAACAAAACAACTTTAATGACAAATTACACTTGGACTCCATTCTCCATTTGCGTCAAAATAAAACAACAGTGCATAGTGTGCTAAAATTTCAAGAAAGGCTAGGATAACTAGGCCTGGTTAAATCGAATCTGTAAAGAACTCAGAAGCCAACCAAAGCAAAATGAAGAGAATGGAAAAGGATGCTAGGTTCTTATGTGTAAATCATTCCATTTTCCTTTTACCAATATGTTCAACTCCTCAATTACCCTAGTTCTTTTCTTTAACAAAGTATATAATGATAATCTGAGAAATCCTGAAATAGAGAGAGGTACTAAAAAGCCAAATAATAGAAGAATTAGGGTATTAAATGTCAATTACCTGGTGAAACAGATTAGTATTAACGTAAGTCTGCAAAATTAAAACAACTCCTCTGTGTGAAAAGCAGAGCAGATAAAATCTTACGTGTATTCCGGTGCAGAAATCGGTGCCTGGAACCTTGAAATTTTATTTCTTGGGGCAGAATATGAACTGTGCCACCTTAAATAATAATTATGCTTCTTTTACATATGCAATTTTTATAACAAAGAAAAAACTAGATATGATTCTACTGGTCAAATTCAGTTTTGTGCCAATAGCTGTCAATAATCAATCCTGCTGCCTCCTTAAAGTAGATAAAAAACAAAGGCCAATGCTCTTGCTCTTTTACCTGTTTATACTTCTCAAAATAAAATAAGGTGGAGGTTTCATGTACAATAATGCACAGGTATGTTTATAATGATGCATAATCAATCTCACATTACAAAGAAAAGATTAAAGTTCCCTAAAACAAGACTAATAATTCAGTAGAGATAAAATAAAGCTGTATACTAAAAGCTTCTTCCTCACCACATTTACAACACTGAACATTTAATATGCTCATTACACAAAGCTTCCATGTAGATTCTCAAAGATGAATTCAATTATAATTATAATGTTAATAAGTGGTAGGAGAAAAATAGCAGTTATTTTAATAACAAGAAGATGGTTAAGTATCTTACCATAACATGGTAACATAACCCAGAACCATAACAAAAGGTATGGCTGAGTACTGGTAAGTATTTCACTGTAAAAGTGTATAAAGATTAGCTACCATTACTACCAAAATGCAATTTTGAAAATATGAGATTTTCAGTTTGATTAGAAAATGCCATTAAGACAACTTAAAATCAAATACTGGTTACCACTGTTTCTATTATGAGGAACTTATGTTAGTGGTTAAGCACAAAAATATCTATTAACTAATCATTTACTCTAAATTGTGCTGATTTTCATATGTAACAGAGCTGCTTCCTTTCTCTTCAGCTGAACTCAAGAATCAATACTATATACTTTGTGATAAAAACTAAAAGTGATGAAATGCTAAAATAATCCTGTTTTTATTTTATCAATATGAACTGTCAAAGTAAAGAAGGACCTAAATAGTAAACTAAATAGTAAATTGTATCTTTACACAGATAAGTTTACTAGAAACCTTTGCAGGCAAAAAAAAAAAAAAAAAAAGAATACACAATTGAAAATAACTAAAGCCTTTAACATAATCAGGTGTATGTTTAATTACTCTGATCTACTAGTAAAGATCAAAAGCTACTTTAGACATAAACTACATAGCCTTTGACCATTACATATTCGGAAACATTAAAAAAAAAAAGATGTCATGGACCTGCTAGTATCCTTGTCAACCACATACCTTCAAGGACACACAATTAATCATAAAAAAATTTCATATTAATAGTGGTTGAATCCTCAGACAAGTCTTGCCTGAAGGAGACATAATTGAATATTTTAACTTACTTAGTTTTACTCTTTCAGAGTAACTCTTTTATTTTTTATTTATTTATTTTTTTAATTTTAATTTTTTTTTTGACAGAGTGGACAGTGAGAGAGAGAGACAGAGAGAAAGGTCTTCCTTTTTGCCATTGGTTCACCCTCCAATGGCGGCTGTGGCTGGCGCGCTGCGGCCAGCCCACCGCGCTGATCTGATGGCAGGAGCCAGGTACTTATCCTGGTCTCCCATGGGGTGCAGGGCCCAAGCACCTGGGCCATCCTCCACTGCACTCCCTGTCCACAGCAGAGAGCTGGCCTGGAAGAGGGGCAACCGGGGCAGAATCCGGCTCCCCAACTGGGACTAGAACCCGGTGTGCCGGCGACGCAAGGCGGAAGATTAGCCTAGTGAGCCGCGGCGCCGGCCCAGAGTAACTCTAATTACTTCAGGAGATATTTCAATATTCTCCATGAAATTAGAGTGGTACAGTTTTCCTAATGTAAGAGAATGGCAATTCACTAAGGCATGTGGACAATTCATATTGAAGTTTGGACTCCACTGATCAAAACATCAGTGAACCTGTTCATACGATTTCGTTCAAAGCAAGGAAACAAATATATGGGGAAAAACATCCTCTTTCTACTCAATATTAAAACCCCTATTCCCACCAGAGCCCCTTCTCCCCTTCTGCACCTCCTATACTCCTCACTCAGGTATAACCCAGAACTTAATATGCTATAATATAAATAGTATGTGTTCTAGTTATTTTGCATACAAAATTGAAAGTTTTGCTTTAAATGGATTTTAAGCTTAAAAAAATAAGATGTATTATCTCTGACTCATTTGCAGTTTCAAAGACGCTAACGGGATGCTTGGCATCACATAAGGTTCATGACAAGTTCATGAAAACTGAAAAATTAATGAGAAAAAAAATCTTATATTAACATTCTAATCTATTTTAAAAAGTAACACTTTCCAATGGCTGTGAGATTTAAAATTCCAAGCATTTTTGAGGGATATTTGATTTTTACAAAATTATGAATTATAGGCCGGCGCCATGGCTCAATAGGCTAATCCTCCACTTTGCGGCGCCGGCATACCAGGTTCTAGTCCCGATCAGGGCGCTGGATTCTGTCCCAGTTGCCCCTCTTCCAGGCCAGCTCTCTGCTGTGGCCTGGGAGTACAGTGGAGGATGGCCCAAGTCTTTGGGCCCTGCACCGCACAGGAGACCAGGAGAAACACCTGGCTCCTGCCTTCAGATCAGCGCAGTGCACCGGCCGCAGCACACCGGCTGCGCCGGCCATTGGAGGGTGAACCAACGGCAAAGGAAGACCTTTCTCTCTGTCTCTCTCTCTCACTGTCCACTCTGCCTGTCAAAAAAAAAAAAAAAAAATTATGAATTTTAGCAAATAAAAAGCACTGGCTTCACTTGAAATGTGTTGTTGTAGTTTTAATATTACAGTATGTAACCAAATGAAAAAGGTTTAAACAGATAATCCTTTAAAAATAACATCCTTGTATTCTTGAAAATGAAAATAATCTAATATCAATGAATTACCAGGTGAATGCCTAAGATATATATTCCATGAAAATTAAAAAAAAAAGAAAAAATTTATCTATGCTATAGTGCATATCACAGTTCTATCAGAAGACAGGCTTGCAAAGCTGGTTCATAATCTTGTGAGAACATGAATAACTTGAAAATAAAGACGTTCTATATTATGTTTTCCTTTTTATTTTTTAATCTACATGGTAAACATTTTTGAATACTGCATTATAACTGAGTACCCATATTTATTATTTGCCATAAGTATTATTTCATAGGGATTTCCCAAGTAAGTGCATCATGTTTACAGAAGAGTAGCACACACACTGCAGTTATAACGCTATTACAAAATTCTCATGACCAACAAAATAGCCAGATTTTAAGACTATAAAAAGAACTGCAGAAGTGTAAAACTGATGAAAACACAAAACAGAGTTTTTAAATTATGGAAAGAAATATTTACAAAAAGATGGGTATAAACAATACACGGAGGAAAGTTATAAAGGAACGACAATGCTTAGTGGTCCTACTCACATGGAATCGTTTCTGACCAGCTGTCCATTTTGGCGAACGGCATTTTCACTCATAGAGCGTTCTCGTTTTAGCCTGCCAACTGCACGGATCTGTTAACGGCACAAAGGGAAGGGAACAGAAAAGTGCCTCAGTAACCTAGTAGCTGCTTAGCATCGAATGAACTTTAATTCAAGGCTACTCATTAAATTTACAAAGAGTATAACCAAGAAAAAGCAACCAAGAACTGCTGCTTGGCCTTGTTTTAGAGATAGACTTGTTAAATCTACGTATTATAATGCAGATAAATTTAGGAATGCCTACTTACTTTCAGATAAAGCTATTCTGGTTTCTTTTTAAATATCAAGTCCCATGAATCCAAGTGAAACTGGTTCCAGGAAAGGTGTCCTTCCTCTCAGGACATAAAAAATTACATGGATATTCAAATTCTTTATAAAACATGGGGTATTTGCATATAATCTACATACACCCTACCATATACCATAAATCATCTCTAAATTATTCCTAATCCCTACAGCATTGTAAACGCTATGTAAATCATTGTTACGCTGTATTGTTTAGGAGACGATAAGAAAAAAATAGTCTGTAGGTGTTTCAGTACAGACAAACCATGGTAGGCCTAACAGTTTACAAGGAGATGCAAGGTGAACAAGGCTCCAACAAGAAGTGCTGAAGAGAGACTAAGGATCTGTGAAATGGCAGGAGGCCACAGCAGGATGTGCTTACACATCACCTCATTAACGTGGATCCAACAAAGTGCTCAGAATATGGGCAATTTTGGTTTTAGGAACTTTCTGGAATTTTCCCCCTGGATATTTTTAATCAATGATTGCTTAATCTGTGGATGCACAGCCTGGACATATGGGCAGCCAACTATATTATTTGCTATCTCTTCTTATAAAATGTATCTCTGAGCTTGTTCCATTAAACAGGATCTGGGCAGGCATTTGGCATGGCAGTAATGCTCACCTCTCATATGGGAGCTTGTGGGTTGGAGTCCTGGCTTGCGTCAGTTTCTAGTTTCCTGCTAATGCACATCCTAAGAGGCACCAGGCGAAGATTCAAGTACTTTGGTCCCTGTCTCCCATGTGGGAGATCCAGATGGAGTTCTGGGATCTGGGCTTCAGCCTGGCCCAGGCCCAGCTATCACAGACACTTAGGGAGTGAACCAGTGGATGGAAAGTATTTCTTTCTCTCTGCCTTTCAAACACACACACACACACACAGTATCTATGCTCCCTTCTCTTGAAATTGGGTAGTCTGGTGACTGCTATAAAATGATTCAATATGACTTTTTTCTAACTAAACTTTTTTTTAAAAAATGATCTTATTTATTTATTTGAAAGACAAAGTTAGTGAAAGAGGGAGAGACAGAAAGAGATCTTCTATCTACTGGTTCACTCCCCTAATGGCCCCAACAGCCAGGGCTGGCCAGGCCAAAGCCAGGAGCTTGGAACTCCATCCAGGTCTTCCACGAGGGTGGCAGGGATCCAAGCAGCTGGGTCATCTTCTGGTGCTTTCCAAGAAACGTTAACAGGGAGCCGGATCAGAAGCAGAGCAGCTGGTATTCAAGCCAGTGCTCATATGGGAAGCCAGTGCTGCTGGTAGCTGTCTTAACCCACTGCCACACAGCACTGCCCCAGCAACCTAACTTCTGAGGCTAGTTCCTAACACTACAGCTTCTGTCTTTTCCCTCCAGAACATTCTTGTCTGGAACAATGGTACCATTATGTAAGGAAGCTCAAGTAGCCATATGGCAAGGCCAGGCATAGGAATACAAGCTGACTAATCTAGTGAATGTTGCAAACAACACTTAAAACTGTTGAGTTATCCTCCGCCTTTCAGACTTCCTAGGTTAGACCCCAGATATTGTGAAACAGAAAAAAGCTTTCCCCTACAGTACCCACGGCAAAGTCCTAACCCCACAGAATCTATGAGCAAAGCAAATAATTATTTTTGGTTTCCATACACTAACTTGAGGGTGATTTGTTATACAGCAAAAGATAACTAGAACAGTGATAATCATCACCCTTCCTCCTTGTTCAGAAAATATTTTTGAACAGAAGCAGGCATGGCAACTTCTTGTTTAAAAATTTTTTAAACTTTTCTGTAAAGAACAGCTAATAGATGGATCAAGGGACTTGAAAATCAAGATTTCATTTTAAAATTTTTTACTTATTTGTTTTCATTGTATTTGAAAGACGGGGGAGGGACTGCTGGGAGGGGCCGAAAGGAGGTGGGGGAGGAGAGAACCTCTTCCATCTGCTGGGGTTCTCTCCAAATGCCCACAACAGCCAGGGCTGAGCTAGGCTGAAGCCGGAAGACTGGAACTCATTTGGGTCTTTCATGTAGGTAGCAGGCACCCAACTACTTAAGTTACTTCTTGCTGTCTACCAGGGCCTGCATTAGTAGGAAGCTGGAATTGGAAGCAGAGCTGGGACTCAAACCTAGGCACTCTGATATGGGATGTGTACAACTCCAGCAGCAATTTAAGCACTACAACACATGCCAGCCTGGAAAATTAAGATTTTTTAAAAATGCCAGTCAGTATTTATTAATGCTTTTGAAAAGACTTGGAGGTAGATTATCAGACAATAACTATCATCAACACAGAATAAATCCTGTATTATTTCATGCCAATAAAACTCAAAACCACACTATATAGCATATAACTTCAAACCATAGTTTAGATTTGATTATGAACCATGTATATAAAAGGAAAAAAATTTCTAAAACCAAAGTAGTTGATTTGGAGCCTACTATAAGAGCATGGTAAAGTTAATCCAAAAATCAAATCTAGTTTTAAGTCACTATATATAAAATTTAGCAGCTTTACAATCAAGAGCATTTTATTCATGTATAGGAATAATGCGGGTTGGTTTGTGAGATTTCCGCTGATACTTTCCTTCCTACCTCCTGCAGAACTGCAGTTGCTCTCTCTACCACAGAACAGCTCTTCTGTATAGCAGCGATCAAAAATGAATTGTCTATTAAATCAAAACCATTCCTGCTGCTAAGTGGTGAGAATTAAGATAAAGTTGGACAGGAAATGATAGATGACATATATATCTGTTGACTCCAACATTGCTTGAGAAACTAGAAGATCCTAAGTCTATTGATACTTTTGTCAACTGAAATCTGATTTATTGATCTTTTGTTTTTAAAAGATTTATTTTATTTATTTGAAAGGCAGAGTTACAAAGGGAGGGAAAGACACAGAGGGTGAGAGATCTTCCATCTGCTGCTTTATTCCCCAAATGGCTGCAAGAGCAACGGGTGGGTCAGGCTGAAGCCAGGAGCCACCATCCAGGTCTCCCACCTGGCTGGGGGATCCAAGTACTCAGGCCATTCTCTGCTGCTTCCTCAGGCCAGTTAGTAGGACCAGCACTCATATGGATGCTGGCATTGCAGGTGGTTGTTTAACTTAAAGCACTACAACATGGGCCTTGACTTACTGATTTGATATTACTGCTCTATTGGAGGGACTGGGTAACTAAAGACAAAAGCTTCTATTTGTTATGTTGCCTAAAATTACTGACTTGTATACTGTAATAACAAAGAAGTTGGATACTGCCTGGAAAGGAATACAATGATGTTTTAAATATTTTCTTTATTTAGAACAAAGTGATGAGATAGTAGATGCTTATTTGAATGCCATATTTTTAAATGTCATTTAGAACCTTCCAGAACTGACAACCTAACTTCAAAGCTCACTCAATCCTAAGGCTGAGAATAGCTTCCAAGCTTCAGACAACTTCCTAGAAGTTGGGTCACAGGGTCTCTAGGTCTAGTTATAAAACATGTAGCATTAAATACATGTTGCATACATGCATATAACTCTCCTTTTACATGATTTTACTCCAAGCTATATTTGATTATATAGAAATTCTTCGGCATATAAATGTCTTCTAGGCTTTTGTTTACTGGTGCTCTCAACCCATTCAAAGTCTACCTCTCCTCCAAGAATCTGCCCAGATCCATAGGATTTTTCCCATATTCATTCTGTTTTCCATGGGGCTTTTTACAGACAGGGAAAGATAAGAGTTAGCCACATGGATTGAGCAATGGGAACATCCTTCCTTCCTCAAACACAGCCATGGGGAGAACAAATGAGCAGGTGCTTGCAGGTTATGGGGAGGAAACTGTAACAACGTGTCAGTAGTTAAGAGATCATGCTTGTGCTAAGATGGCCATGACTGGCAGCTGTAAAAGAAAGGTGAGTGTCTAGTTCTGAATCTTCCACGGATGAATGCACATACATATACAGAAATAAACTGTTCTTTTTCCTCTTCTCTGTAGACTTTTTTTTTTTTTTTTTTTTTTTTTTTTTGACAGGCAGAGTGGACAGTGAGAGAGAGACAGAGAGAAAGGTCTTCCTTTTGCTGTTGGTTCACCCGCCAATGGCCGCCACGGCCGGCGCGCTGCGGCCGGCGCACCGCGCTGATCCGATGGCAGGAGCCAGGAGCCAGGTGCTTTTCCTGGTCTCCCATGGGGTGCAGGGCCCAAGCACCTGGGCCATCCTCCACTGCACTCCCTGGCCACAGCAGAGGGCTGGCCTGGAAGAGGGACAACCGGGACAGAATCCGGCGCCCGGACCGGGACTAGAACCCGGTGTGCCGGCGCCGCTAGGCGGAGAATTAGCCTAGTGAGCCGCGGCGCCGGCCTTCTCTGTAGACTTTTGATCCATTCTTCTCACTGCAGTCTCAGCTCTCCTTTCTACAAATGAGAAGGAGGGAAAGGGAGCTAAACAAACCACCATCAAATTCTGATCAGATTCACATCCAACACGTTCTTAATTTTCTGAGCTACTGTAGTACCCTTTTAAGTATTCACTGAATGCCTAGGCATCCTTTCACATTTGTTTTAGGATGTGCATGTAGTTGGGTGACCAACACATTTCAGGTCCACTACGATCTTTTGCTTCACATCCAAAGGGGTGTCATGCCCACTGAACTGGGCCATCACAGGGCACTGATGACCATCTGCTACTTCTTCACAGGATTACTGCTCAAGAGCCTTCTATTACACAGGCAACTTCTAGGGCTACTGCTGCCCAAGTGCAATCTGCGATGAGGTTGGCTCCAGCTGGATATTATTTCTCCCAGTCCTTTAAGCTCCAGCTGTACACTTTGAACATATTATAGAATTTGGCATCCTGTGGATGCCATTTGACAGCTTCTGTAAAAAGCTTGCATGGCTTGGATATAGTTTCCTCTCTGAAAACATTCATTGCCTTTGCTCTTCTTTTCCAAAATTAGGTCAGGGCTTACATAGGTGAACCAAACTTGTTCCTTCCATACCACCTCTGGCTATTGATTGTTCTTGGGTACATTTGGGGTTCAGTGCTCTTCCAAAGATTTATTATAGAAATGAATGGCATTTTCATATTTCTATTATCTGAAGGAGTTGCTAATTTGAACAAAAGCTGTCATAACCTGTCTTTAGTCCAAAAGTCTGTTTTCTCTTATTTCAATGGCCTTCTCACAAAACTCTTAGCGCTTATTATAGTTGATTTTTTGAAACTTACTGCTGTTTGATTGCAGGATATGATGGTAGACCTCAAATCTTGGTCGCATTGTTCAACGTTGTGTCAAATCTTCTTAAAGGCATCATTTTCCAAATCTTTTTCTTTACAGATTAGGCATATTGAAAGGGTTCATCAATTTCCTCTCTTCCAGCTGAGCCTCCAAATTTTATAAACTTTCTTTGAGTGGATTATATGTGACATGTTTTAAGCTCTCCTCATAGGATCACTTGGATTCTTTTTTTCTTTTTTTGAAAGAAGAGAGAAGGGGGGAAGTAAAGAAGGAGGAAAGTAGAAAGGGAGAAATGGGGGGAAGGAGAGAGAGAGCACGTGAAGGCAACATCTGGGGCTGGGCCAGGCAGAAGCCAGGAACCCGAATCCAATCCATATCTTCCACATGGGTGACAGAGACCCAAGCCCTTCAGCAATCACCTGCAGCTTCCCAAGGTGCACGTTAGCAGGAAGCTAAACTCAGAGGGGAACTGGGTCCAAACCCAGACACTATGACATGGGATGCAGGCATCACAAGCAGCATCTTAACCACTGTGCCAAATACCCATCCCCAGCAAGATTCTTTGGGCCAGTTTAAGAACTCAAGTGCAGTTGCTTTCTACAAACCTATCTGTTGCATAGTCAGGCATTTGTACAACAAATTAAAAACCTTCCTCATATGCTTCTCCTGGAAGTTTCCTTTCTTGACATAGGTCAGCAATTCTCAACCAAGAGTGATTTGGCCCTCTATGGAACACTGGCTATGTCTGGAGATTGTGTGTGTGTGTGTTTGTGTTTTGGGCAAAGGGAGGATTTAAAGTAAACATAATATACCATTCATAATTTTAGCCATCTTAAAGTGAACAATTCAGTAGCATTTAGTACACTCATAATGTTGTGCAACCATCAACACAGAATTCTCCAGCCCAAAATGTTGATAGTTCTGAAGTACAGAAACCTTGGCAACTGCTACAGAATCATTAGTACAGAGTAAATGGTTCTGGAGATCCTGAATGAATCATCAAAATTATAAACACTCACGATGTTATTGTTCTTCTATGTAACTCATTTTTAGAAGTTGCTAGAACCCTCAATCCCTCCCTTTTCTCCCCTAATCATTGGTTTATGCCTCTTTAGGGTTATTTGAAGCCTTCCGAAGCTTGAAGTTCACATCATTTTCCTGGTTTCCTTCCTATAGGTAGCTGGTTCCAACCTCTTCTAAAAGTCATCTCTTGAATCTGACTCCTGTCACAAGATTATAATTCTTGCTTAACAACATTTATACATATTGAACTTTTAACATGAATTAGAACATGTGCTAAATATATGTTATTATATCTAATTCTCACAGTAATCTTATGCATTTAGCATTATCCTTATCTTTTTTAGAGATAAGCTTTAGAACTGCTAAATAATTTGCCCAATGTTGGTAAGCGGCAAAGAAGGCCTTCAAAAACAGAACTAATTCTCAACCTAAGATTTCAACACCAGGACAACATACTCTGAGCATTTATCACATTTGAGTAAATATTGCGAGTAATGCAGGCATGAATCCGATACAGTCTTAAAGCGTGGGTCTACCAAGGGCAGACCTAGTAAACTTTACTCAGCCCTAAAGCAATCACTCAGAGAAATGTTTGGGATGCTGTCAGTTACTTGCACTGGATAGGCAATAAAGTTCAATAGTTAGGGGGCACAGAAAGAGCAAAAAAAAAGCAAAACCCGAATAGCAAAGGGAGTGCTGACTTGCTCCTGGATCCAAGACAATATTCCAAGACAACACTTGCAATTTTTTTAACAACAATATTTCTCATGCTACCTTTGGGGAGCTAGAACTTAGACCTTGAATAGGAAGCATGCTATGGCACCTTCTGCTGTGTCTAACTACCTTTTTAACTTCCATTATTTTTTGCTACTAAAGAACTTCATGTCTTCTTCATATGTTGATGTCTTTCCTTCATTCCTACCATTGTCCTGCTGTGACTTGTCAAAAAGCACTTTTTGAGAGCAGGAATTATGTCTCATTGATTTTGCACTGCATATAACATTTCACACGAAGTCAAAAAGTTTGTTCAAGTATCTTAGTTCCTTTTTGCCATGTTAATGCTCAAATTTAGTGCTTTTCACCAAGCAATTATCTAGAATGTCTAAACTGGCACCTGGAGGATATTATCTCAATTACCTCAACAGTAATTCACAACCTAAGAAAAGCCCACAGCCAGCACTAGGAAGTCACACTGCCCTGGATTATATGGGTGACTGACTCTCTTTGCAAAGGACTAAATGAAAAATGAAATCAGATAAAGGTAGCATCATTAGTAAAAAAAATGTTTGCATGTTGTCTTATACTACTATCAACTTTAAAAGTTCAGAAACTATAATGAATAAAGATGTTAAGTACAGACGTCATCAAAGACAAAAAGCTTAAAAAGACTGGCCTGCAACCAATGGCAGAGGCAAGATTTAAACTCTACTTCTTATTAGTCCATACCTCCATACTGCCATATTTGGGTCAACGGGATATTACCATTAAGGGGAAGAGCAGCAAATTCAGTAGAAACGTTTCTTCAAGCACAAGAACGAGCTGTGTTCCAAGGGCAAAAAAGAGCCTTCTTTGCCTGGTTAGCCACACTGATTTTACAACAAAGTGATGCATGAATTTCCTCCTTTTACTTAACTTCCCAGCTTATCCTATACTGCTTAGCCCTCTTTCTTCAAGATCACATGAATATTAATATTTTCCACAAAATTTTCATTTTTCTGAATTATTAAATTTAGAAACCATTAACATACTATTTTGGGTATTTATAAATCAGAATTGATAGTATGTGGAAAGCATCCCTTGCATATTATTAAGACATGATTTATAGCCTTATTATTTCTCCTGAACTTTTACTTTTGTCAATCTTATTGCAAATTAATTGATGTTGAAACTCTACTTACTTCTTCATTTTGAGGGGTGGCAGGAGGTCTTTCTAAATCCAGAAAATCAAGTGGCCTTTCACTTAGCGTAAGTACACGGGGTGGTGTTTTTAGTGCCAGAGGTTTAAAGGGAGTTGACTGGATCAGGTCAAGATCGGCTGGTCTTGAAAAGGAAACATCTTCATTATTTCCTGGTGTGTGGGAAGAGTAAAGAGGAAGTTTTAAAACAGATAGTGGTTTCTTTACAATGTCTTTACCTTCTCCTACTCTTGTATTATAATCTACCCAATAGCATTCGCTTCTTTCAAACTATGCTTTCAGCATAAGCATTTATATTTCACTAATATTTATGATCTTGGTACAGAAATGACAAATACAGCCGGGGCTGCGGCTCACTAGGCTAATCCTCCGCCTTGCGGTGCCGGCACACCGGGTTCTAGTCCCGGTCGGGGCATCGGATTCTGTCCCGGTTGCCCCTCTTCCAGGCCAGCTCTCTGCTGTGGCCAGGGAGTGCAGTGGAGGATAGCCCAAGTCCTTGGGCCCTGCACCCCATGGGAGACCAGGATAAGTACCTGGCTCCTGCCATTGGATCAGCGCGGTGCACCAGCCACGGTGGCCATTGGAGGGTGAACCAACGGCAAAGGAAGACCTTTCTCTCTGTCTCTCTCTCTCACTGTCCACTCTGCCTGTCAAAAAAAAAAAAAAAAAAAAAAAAAAAAAATGACAAATACAGATATATGACAGAAAAAAAACCCACTGGTATCCAGAATATTTGAAGAACTTTTACAACATGCAAATTTTCAAGTAGGGAAATTATCTGAATAGATGCAACAGGAGTTTTTATATAAATGGCCAAAGAGCACATCAGCAGATACTCAAAACTGTTACTTATCAGCAAAACACAATGAAAATCACCATAAGATGGATAAAATCTAGAACCAGAAATACAAAATGTTTCTAAGGATGTAGAGTGACTGAAACACACACGTCACTGATAGGAATGTAACACGTACAATAATTTGGAAAATAACTTACCAGCTTTTCAAAAGTTAAATAAAACTTACAGTATAATAGCAATTCACTTCTAGAGATATGAAAATACATGTCCTCATAAAAATTCCTACATGAATATTCACAGCAGATTTATTCCTAGTAGCCTCAAACAGGAAACAATTCAAATGCCCATCAATGGATGAAGAGATAAACAATTTATAGTATATCCACACAGTGTAATATTACTCAGTATCTACATAGTGGAATGGAGTGAACTGTTGATATGCAACAACATGAAAGAACCTCGGAAATATGACACTGAGCAGAAGTCAGATAAAAGAGTATACACTGGAGGATTCTATTTATATGAAACTCTAGTATATGGGTGATCCTGTGCCTGGCTGGGAGACTGCCTGCCTACCGCATGCAGGAGGTTAAGAGAGCATGGCACGCCATGCCTCCTGGGAAAGACCTTGGCCGGGGCTCAGCACACAGGGACGCACACAAGACCTGACTGCTGACAGGCAGCAGAAGCCCCAGGCATGTTTTCCCTACTCCCACTTCCTATTTAAGAGCCTTGTGATTGTCAACTAGGAAAAAAGCTCCAGGGTGTGGCCGAGACCCATAAATTTTAGACCACCTGGAGGACTATGTAGGCTACATGACCTTCAAGCTGATTGTAGAAGTGCAGAGGTGCCAGTATCTGCTTTATGTTATAGAATTAGTGTTGCTACCCTAAACTAGCTACTCCTCTTTGCCTACCATTTAAAAGCTTGCGCCTGATTGTTAATAAATGGACATGTTCTCCAAAACTGTCTCCAGTGCTTCTTGTTGAAGACAGAAGTTGTGCCACCATCTCGACAGTATGGGCCTCGCAGGACGAGCCCACACTAGGGAAGGTAAATCAAGTCTCTGGAGAAAGGAGGTTATGATTGCCTTGAGTTGAGGAGTAGGGAGTGATAGAGTGCACAACTGAACCTTTTGGGGTAACAGAAAGTATCTCTAGACTATGGTAGCAGATATATGGCTGTATACATTTATGAAAATTCATTAAGTGGATACTTAAAAATGCATAATTTAACATGTGTAACACCTCAATAATTAATTGGATTATTTAAAAATATAGCTGAAATTTAGACTACTATGATGAATACACTTTTTGAAAAGGCAAAACTGCACTTCCCAACCCCTTTTCTGAATAATACTTTCAAAATACCAGAAGTTTTCATAAAAACATATAAAACAAAGATTCATTAGGCAACTTTCTAGACAAATATGAAATACCTGCTACAACGATCCTTTCTGGAACCTGCATTATCACACTAGCATTTGGAGCTCCTTCTTGGAATCCCTGTTCCAGGTCAGCATTTGGTGGTGCTACTTTTAATTTTTCTGGGACCCTCATTCGCTGACTAATACCTTCGGTATATTCCATCTCATACTGAATTCGACTGATTTCTGCCATCTCAGCAGCAGTGGGAGAGGGAAATGCTGCCCCAGTCACTCTGTGGAAGAAAAATTTAAAGACAAGGATGACCAAGTGTTAAAATGTCTACGTAGCGAAATTAGAAGACAACACCTATTATAGAAAGAGCAAAAAGAAATTTCTAATTTGCCAATATTCAACACATACACAGGAAAAAGAACACTGAAGAAAATGTTTTCCTTGATATAATGCCTTCTTATTAGTTGAAATTATACCTTGATTAAAAATTATTATATAGCTACAACATAAATATGTACACACAAACACACACACACACACAAACACGTTTGTTCATAAACAAAGATGCATGCTGCAGATAACTTAAAAATGCCTGAAATAAAACAAATTTTCTAATCAATTATTTGAAGGAAAGGTACTTGGACTTTATAAACATCCTAATGTTTGCTTTCATTTTTTCAGGGATTAAATATTTTACATTATTAATTTATATTTAATATTGTACATGCATATTTATTTTAGAAAAGTATCACATGCTTTTAAATGGAAAGCCAGTACAGATGTATTCAGTAAGCTTCAAAAGTGGAAAAGGATCCATGATTCCAGGGAAATGCAGCGAAAAGAATGTGGCCCTAAAATACAAAATGCTAAAGTGTAAAAGAGCAGGTTGACCTATTGCAGTCATCTTTCAAGCCACTATCTCTCAAACCTATAATACCAGCTCAACTGAATAAAGTTTCACTGACCTTCCTAGAGGTGTGTCACTGCTTGTTCTGTTACTCATTTTAATACAGTAAATACACGTCTATAATAGCTAATAAAATACTGCTACCCTGTAGTTCAGTTTACTTTACACAATTCCCCTACAGATCTGAACTTTTTTGGAGGTGTACATAACAACACGGACACTGCTTTTCCAGCTGTAAAAAAGAAAGAATAAAAATCAGTATTTTGACAATTCATTTCATAAGAAAACTATGAATAAAAGTAAATATCTACTTAAAATTACTTTTTCACTTGAACATGGCCTGGAGCTTGATCTGAGAAACCAATTTTCAAATATCTCATAGTTATTTTTATACCTGAAAAGTCACAATGATAATTTGAAGCATAATCATTGTTTTATGATTTTTTTTTTGCAGACAAGACAAAGAAAAGCTATATCAAATGCACACACAAATGTGAAGTCAGATTAGAAAAACTATAACACTGCCACAAAATTCCTCTAATTATATATATATATATTTTTTTTTTTGACAGGCAGAGTGGACAGTGAGAGAGAGAGAGAGAGAGAGAGAGAGAGAAAGGTCTTCCTTTTTGCCGTTGGTTCACCCTCCAATGGCCGCCACGGCCGGCGCGCTGTGGCCAGCGCACCGTGCTGATCTGAAGGCAGGAGCCAGGTACTTATCCTGGTCTCCCATGGGGTGCAGGGCCCAAGGACTTGGGCTATCCTCCACTGCACTCCCTGGCCACAGCAGAGAGCTGGCCTGGAAGAGGGGCAACCGGGACAGAATCCGGCGCCCCAACCGGGACTAGAACCCGGTGTGCCGGCGCCGCAAGGTGGAGGATTAGCCCATTGAGCCACGGCGCCGGCTACTCTAATTATATTCTGAACAGGGAAAAAAGTCTTTCTTTTTTAGACTAAATTCAAATGAAGAAGACATGAAGAGAATGCAAAGCCTGTTTCCAAAGTAGCCTAATAAACTGATCTGTAATTAATAGTTTCCTTAAAAGGAAATAACCCCCCCAAACCAAATTGTAGGCAAGTCCCAAAAAAATAGTATATATAATTGCATATATAAATTAGGGAAAATAAGAAGTTAAGACAGTATGAATGTCTTTGTCTAGCTGGGCTATTTCTTATCCTCCACTTCACTGATGTACTCCACACCTTACACTCTATCTCGCTGAGGTGCTTAGGAGACTGCTAACTGGCTGCTTCTATTCTTTACCAAAATGTCTGAATCTTAAGGATTGGCCATGCAGATGGTTTAAAGACTGAAAAAACACAAAGAGAAAATTTTTACTCACAAATGTGTACCAACGACTGCTTGCTATGTGGCACTATCTGCTTCTGTGCTTCATATTAACTCCTTAACTTGCTTCAATGTGCATATGCTGGTTAGAGCCACTTTTGTCCCTGGGGGAGAAAAACAGGGGCTAATTGGAAAACTAGAAGTTATCAGCATTAGGGATGCAGTGCTGGGAATTCTCCAAATGATAAAAATCACAAAGATGCACAACCTTCCATTAATAAACAAAAAAAATAAATAAAAAATTATCAAGCTTACCACCAATTTGGGTCTCACGGATAGGATCTTATGACTATCCATTAGGTAAAGCAAGATAGAAGGCTAACTATGCCTCTGTTTCTAACTATAGTTAGAAAAATGTGGGAAAATTACATAAGTTTAAAGGAATCTATTACTGATATATATGTACGAAGTGTGTGTATGTATGTATATATACAGGAAAGAGGAACAAATGCATCAGTTAAATTTTCATTCACTCAAAATGCTTCTCATTTTGAACCGTAAAGCATGCACACAGTACAAAGTACACAAGAATATCCAGAGAAAATGAAGTGTCCCACCTTATTCCACCCAGATTCCTCACTGGCAACCTCTACTATCACTCTAGATGAGACATTGTCCTAATACTTGCATGCATCTGAAGTATGGCAAAATCTTACATTCAGAAATAACACTGAAAAGAGATCTTTCAGAATGATTACTGCTTTTGGGAACCATAAGCTAAAGTTTTATAAAAATAAACAAGGGACAGGACTGATGCTGTGACATGGTAGGCTAAGCCTCCACCTGTGGTGCTGGCATCCCATATGGACGCTGGTTCATGTCCTGGCTGCTCCTCTTCCCAACCAGCTCTCTGTTTATGGCCTGGGAAAGCAGTGGAAGATGGCCTAAGTGCTAGGGCCTGTGCACCCATGTGGAAGACCCAAAAGAAGCTCTTGGCTCCTAGCTTCAGATTGGCCCATCTCCAGCTGTTGCGGCCATCTGGGGAATGGAACCCACGGATAGAAGATCTTTCTCTCTGGCTCTCCCTCTGTCTGTAATTCTGATTCCTAAATAAATAAATAAAATCTTTATAAAAAATAATAAACTAGGGACACAAATTACTAGAAACACATTATCGCCTTGACATACACTATTCTCCACAGTCCACCCGCTGCATTTCAATCTTCTTATGAATTTTCCACTAGAACATCTCAGGGGTCTCAACATTTCATTGGCTGGCAGCATCTTTTCTTATGGGAATATCTAAGTTTGTAAAGAATCATGGACTTAGGACATAAAGGTGGACACTGAAAAGACAAATTCTGGAACAAAACAAATTCTCCTGTAGCCAGTCTAAACACTTAAATTTAAAAACTATATGAAAATTTTCTACTAGGACAACACAGTGCTGTCTCAATTATTGGGATGTGTGTTAAGCAAAACAAATTAAAATCTGGTTCTTTTTTTTTTCCCTCATTAGACTATGGCATTTATTATTATCATTATATATATGTATATATATATATATTTTTTTACTTGACAGGTAGAGTTATAGACAGTGAGAGAGAGAGAGACAGAGAGAAAGGTCTTCCTTCTGTTGGTTCACCCCCGAAATGGCTGCTACGGCCGGCGCTGCACCAATCCGAAGCCAGGAGCCAGGTGCTTCTTCCTGGTCTCCCAGGAGGGTCTCCTACGCGGGTACAGGCATCCAATCACCTGGGCCATCCTTCACTGCCTTCCTGGGCCACAGCAGAGAGCTGGACTGGAAGAGGAGCAACCGGGACTAGAACCTGGCACCCATATGGGATGCTGGTGCTGCAGGTGGAGGATTAACCTACTGAGCCACAGCTCTGGCCCTATGGTTATCATTATTATAATTTGAAAGTCAGAGAGACAGAGAGACTCATAGACAGATCTTCCATCTACTGGTTTAGTCCCCAAATGTCAACAACAGCCAGATGGAAGCCAGGAGCTCAGAACTCAATTTGGGACTCAACTACTTAAGCCTTCTACTGTTGTCTCCCAGGGTACACATTAGCAGGAAGCTGGAACTGGAAGCAAAGGCAGGGCTCCAAACCAGGCACTCTGATATAGGATGTCAGTGTCCCTACTGCTACACAATATGCCTGTCCCAGACTATGGTGTTTTTGGTAGTAACTTTTGGCACAATAACAATAAAAAAAGTTGGGGTTAGTAATTCCAGAAGTTTTGTCTAGCAGGCAACCAGTAGATGTTTCTTTCTCATCCAACTATGGAGACAAAATGCCTCTTAGAATCTTACATGGGGGCCAGCACTGTGGCACAGCAGGTTAAGCCACCATCTGCAGTGCTGGTCTGCTTCTGATGGAGCTCCCTGCTAATGTGCTCGGAAAGCAGTGGAGGATGGCCCAAGAGTGTGGGCCCCTGCACCCACATCAGAGACCCAGAAGAAACTCCTGGCTCCTGGCTTCAGCCTGGCCTACCTCTGGCCATTGCAGCCATTTGGGGCTATGAACCAGTGGATGGAAGATTCTCTCTCTGTCACTACTCTCTCTTTGTTAACTTTGACTTCCAAATAAATAAATAAATTGGGGGGAAAAAAAAGAAACTTACATGATTTCAGGTCTCTCCTTTCTAAGCCCAGTGGTTTGCAAGCATCAGATTTATTAAATTCAAAATTTAGCAAATTTCCCCCCTTATTGCCACAGTACATTTATGCTTGGCTATACTTAATTTTCTCTGTAGGTCAGAGAAAATTAATTTTTATTATAAAATTCTTAGTTTTTATTAAAAAATCTTAAATAAATGTATCTTAAAAGGAAAGTTACCTTAAACCATGAACTTCAGGTACATACATAAATACACAAAAACACAAGGATTACAAAACAACTTCATCCACATATCACCTCCAGCGAAGTCACATGTCACTGAGGGACACAGTGAGTCATGCCCAATTTTCTCTTTTTCTGTACAGATCGAACCTTGGAATCCAGAAGGGCCAGGAAGTCAAATTGATTGTGGTTGCAGAGTTATATATAATTCTCCAATTACAGAACAAAAACCACTCCAGTTCTCCGTGGTTCTAGTTCAAGGTTTTTATACACATCATTCCGTTTCAGCTCTCTTTCCAAGCAACTAATAGACCGGTGGTATCAGAAAATCCAGGAGTAGTGATCTAGAATTTTTTTTTTTAAATGTCGCTGAAAACTTTGACAAAACAGAAAAGTTTCCAAGTCCCAGCTGGGAGGAGAGAAAGAGCTAAACTTTGTAATCCTAAAAAGAGGCAGTCCTATCAGACAGGAAGGAAGAGAATACGCAGCATCCTTTTGGAAAGAATATCAAAACCACTCCACAAGGCTCTGAAACCAGAGATACCAGGTCTCTCAAACAATTTAATTGCATGGGAAAAGACTACGGAGGACATCACAATCGTCCTAATTCCCTAAGGGTTTTTCTTTGGGGATCTCATTAGCCAAAGGAATTGAGGCAGAAATAAATGTTTTGCACCCAGGAAAAGAAAAAACACTCCTGACTGAGTAAGTCTCTTAGTGGATGAGCGGCCCGGCCACAAACTGGCTCGCCAGCTGAGAACAGGGGCCAGACAGCTTCCTCCTCTGCAATTAAAAAGACGCCACCACCTTCAAAAGGGTGCTCATCCCTTCGCTCTCACCCGGTGGGACGCAGCCCGGATTTTTTTTTCTTTTCCTGCAGACGTCTGCATTGGGAACCCGAGCTTTCCCGGGCCTCCCCTACTTCGGGACCCGGAGCGGGGATCGCCCGCCTGCACCCGCACCTGCGAAGCGAGCAAGGATGCTCGGGTGCCCGCAGCCGCCCGCAGGTGCCACCGCCAGGCTTCCACCAAGACTTCAGTCCCAGCACACACTTTCCACAAAACAAAACTACTTTTAAGTACGGCAGGCTCAAGGTCACACTGTCCGGTGTCGGGGCCCTGACCGACGAGATTGGGTGGAGGTCCCCAAAGCTCGGCCCTGAAGTTCGCAAGGCTCTCCTCCCGTTTCCCAGCCCCCCAGGTACTGGCCTCTCGGAAAAGTCCAAGAGACGCCAAACCAGATGGGCTGAAGACGACAGCCCCAGACACATCCGCAGCAAAGGGTGCTTGCTTCTGTCCCCAGCCCTCCTCGGGGACGGCCAGGGTCGAAGGTCTCAGCCTCGAGGGACACGGGCCAGCGCAACACCGCTGGGAGGCCAGACCGACGCTCCACGGGCCCCTCTGTCCGCCGCAGGGTCACGGCCCGCAGCGCTAGGCCCGGCGGTCCGGATCGGGCCCCGAGTCCCGGGTCGGGAAGACGCCAGCACTCACCCCTGGGCCCGCTGGAGGTCCCCGGAGAGGGCCGCCGCCCGCCGGCTCCCGGGGCGCTCTCACAGGCCGTTGGCCGGAGCGCACTGAGACGCCCGGGCAAAGCACCGGCGGAGCGGCCAGCACCGGGCCCGGAGAAACGCGAGAACCGCCAAGAGTGACCCCTTCCAGGAACCGTAGCGGAAGCCGGTTCGTAGTCATGTGACTTTGGAAAGGGCGGAAGTGTTGTCCACGCGCAGGAACGGAGTCTATGAGACAGCGATAGGGAGACATCTTTGTTGTGGGCACAGAAAGACGCTCATAGCTAACACTTCCGTGATGTTTAAGGTTAGTTCACGTTTTGGTGGAGAGTTCGTTACCTTTCAAAAAAAATCTCGTATTTACAAGGTAAACCTTCGGTAGACAAAATAACTTTTTTAAGGACAGTCTACATCGGAGTGTTTACGGTGTGAGACCTCAATCTGCTTATGTAACCAAATCCGCGAGATGACACTTTAAGCCCTCTAATTATCAGAGATTGCCCTCCAAGGTAGCTCAGTAGTTAGCAGCCTTATTTAGCTTCCAGAAAGCTCTCTCACTGAAAGCCCTCAGCTTAGGACTGCTCACCAATGGAAAGACTGACTGAAGCCAAAATCAGTGAATAATTTGCATGGCTCGATTTGCACAAATCCAACGAAGACAGACTTACGAATGATGTACTCCTGCAGCGTCTAAAGCTATTCCGGAGATGTTCCATTCTTTACAGATAACTTGGGAAGCCCTCTGAAAGCGTTCTTGGGCCTCTGCTTGAGTTGTGTAGCAAAGGAAAAAATTATCTAAGACCTCTGGCTGGGCTAAGAATTAACTGACTTAGGACAAACTCACAGAATGAAGGCATACACATTTTATTTCGCTATTTCTACGTGTACATTGGAGCCTTCACTGGAAAAATGAAGACTGAAAACATTTGGGGTGCAAAACTTAAACACTAGTTTGAACAAAGCGTAGTAAATTGTGAAATGTGGCAAGACAAAGAAAGGAGTTAATTGTGGTAACTGCCTAAGAGGTCTTTTAACAGGTTGGTTTTCACAGATTTCTCTAACCTTGACTGACACACCCCTCCTTCCTGGCTCTGGTGATAAGAATGTCTTCCTTCTGGTACAAGGAGATCACATTTCACATGGAAGTTTTGTTTCCAGCTTTCAGGAAGAAAAAGGAAAATCAGATTGGCCTTCATTCATCTGCTGTTTTTTAAGTGACTTTAATTCAAAAGAATATTTATGCCAAAGTGGACAGTATACCTATGAATGGCAAGTCATCCTTTTAAAAAATGATTTATTTATTTACTTGAGAAGCATAGTTACAGAGAGGGAGAGACAGAGACATCTTCCGTCTGCTGGTTCACTCCTCAATTGGCTGCAACAGCTAGGGTGATCCAAAGCCAGTAGCCAGGAACTTCTTCCAGGTCTCACAGGTGCAGGGGCCTAAACACTTGGGCCATCTTCACTGCTTTTCCAGGCCATCAGCAGGGGGCTGGATTGGAAGTGGAGTAGCCGGGACTCGAATCAGCTCTTATATGGGATGTCAGCACTGCAGATGGATGCTTAACATACTATACCACAGAGCCGGCTTCAAGTCATCCTTTTCTAAGAATGGACTGATTTTAGGAATAATCGGTCATTCCAAGTCAACTTTTTGGAGAAAATGGAGGTCAAGGTAGGTAAACCATCAAAATCTTTTGAAGTGAAGGCTCAGCGGTGGGCTACGGCACAGCAGTTAAGATGCCTGCATCCCATATGGGAGGGCCTGGCTTTTAGTCCTGTCTCCATTTCCAGTTTCCTGCCAATATGCACCCTGAGAGGCCACAGGTGATGAGTCATTGCCATACTCATGTGGGAGACCTGGATTGAGTTCTAGGCTCTGATCCCTGGCTGTTGTGGACATTGGAAAGTGTCCGGCCCATAACAAATTTTCCCAGGCAGATGAATGAATTAATTCACAAGCTTTTATTGAGATTCTGCTCCTGGGTGGGGTTCACCAGTCCCAAGGGGGGGGGGGGTGGCACCGTGAGGCCATGCATCAGAGGTTGGGAGGGCTCCTTTTATAGATACAGGGCGTGGGGGTTAAAGGTCAAGGCAGGTCCAATCCTCATTGGTTGACCTTTAGGCACCCGTGGGGACCTTGACAAGGACTTTTCTTCCGCGGGAGTACAGGTAGGGACGCTCCATTCCAGGAAGTGTAGGCCTTCTCTCCTTGTGGATCCCAAAGCTACCAGACATATGCTGAGTGAGCCAGCAGATTGAAGAGTGCTCTTGCTCTCACTGCCATGCAAAATAAATAAATAGAAATGGAAATTATCCAAAGAAATGAGGGTCTTGCTACTTCCATTAATCCTTCCATTTCCTAATTGCTTGCAATTTGATTTTTCCTCCTATCACAGTGTACCAGCTGAGCCAAGTGAGGGAAAGATAGTTCCCACATGGATTGGTTTCTTGTGATGCTCACAAAAGCAGAATAAGTAAAAGTTAGCAAAGGAATATGTGAAGATATAAGTAAAAATAGGTGGAAGCAAATTACTTGAGCATAGAGTGCTAGAAACAAACAAACCAAGTGGTGTGCATCCATGAGGACATTTTCTGAATGGTCTGAGGAGACACACCCCTTCACACTGACACTAAGGAAGAGTCCAGATTGCCATCAGCAGCCGGCAGTGATGGGCAGGCCCTTTCCTTCCAGCAGAGCCTCTGGTGGGGGATGCCTTTTCCAGGTGAGTTCCCACAGTGATTCACAGCAGGAAGTATCTCAAATGGCAGTTTGAATGCACGACTATTTATTGCCGCAGAAAATGTGTTATGTTAGTTTTCAGATCTCAACCTCAGAGGGAAAAGTCCTGGACCCAAACTATCTTATTTGCATATTGGTGCACAGTTGTCAATGTGATTTGTCAGTCAGCCAATGTGGAGTATGAGCCTCATTGTTACCAGCAAGCAACTTGGCTCAATTTTTAGCTTCTTTTTAAAAGAAAAACTCAAAATGGGATTGGTGCTTTCAATGCATACACACGTTAATCATAATTAAAATGCAGATGTTCTTATATTCAAAGAATTGCAATACAGCTAAACACAACACCATTCCCAAGAAAAACATTCTGAAATAATTTTGAAATGAAGATCTTGATCCAGTTACCAAACCCGATGTCTTCTCTCATAGTCATCTTTTATTTTCCTGCATCATTTGATTCTATTAAATGAGACAGCATTGTATATCCAAGTACCTAATGCTGTCTGGTAGTAGATTTTAAAGAGAAACAAGTATTTCTCTCCATGACATGGAAACTACTCATTCATTTTATGTGATATAGATTTTTGTTGGATCTTGCTTCTTTTCCATCGTTAGTGTAGACACTCCTGTTTATGATTTCATCCTATAATATCTTTGCAACCATGAGTGCCTCAAATATTTTGTGGGAAAGGGTGATTTATAAATCTAAATTGGTACATACATTTATTCTCATCCTGTTGCACTAGTTTTTAGGATTTATTTATTTATTTGAAAGTCAGAGTTACACAGAAGAGGAGGAAAGGCTGAGAGAGAGAGAGAGAGAGAGAGAGAGGTCTTTCATCTGCTGGTTCACTCCCCAATTGGCTACAACGGCCGCAGCTGCGCTGACCCTAAGCCAGGAGCCAGGAGCTTCCTCCGGGTCCCCACGTGGGTGCAGGAGTTCAAGGACTTGGGCCATCCTTTATTGCTTTCCCAGGCCATAGCAGAGAGCTGGATCGGAAGTGGAGCAGCCGGGCCTCGAACTGGTACCCATATGGGATGCCAGCACTGCAGTCAGCAGCTTAACCCACTATGCCACAGTGCTGACCCCTTGCACTAGTTCTTGACCATTATACTTGAGTGTCCCATTGGATTTTTGATATCCACAGGGCTTCTAACTCAAATATTTTACTTCTTCTAAACTCAGATACTTTCCCCCTGATTTCTTTCTTTTTTTTTATTTTCAGTTAATTCAAGATTTTTCTTCCAAATATCTTCAAGATACTGTGTTTCACTGTTTTCCAAGTACCATACGATGGTTGATTTTAGGTGTCATCCTGACTGAATTAAACAGTGCCCAGATAGGGGCAGGCATTGTGGCATAGAGTGTTAACCTGCCACTTTGTGACACTAGCATCCCATATTAGAGTGCCAGTTTCAGTCCCAGCTTGTTTGCTTCAGATCCAGCCTCCTGCTGATGTGCTTGGGAAGGCAGTGGATGATGACCCAAGTACTTGGATCCCTATCTTCCATGTGAGTGACCAGGATAATGTTCCTGGCTCCTACTTTCACCTGGCCCAGTCCTGACTGTTGTGGGCATTTGGGGCACAAACCAGCAGCTGGAATATTCTCTCTCTCTCTCTTTCTCTCTTTCTTTCTTTCTGTGTGTGTGTTTGTGTCTTCCTTTTTCTGTCACTCTACCTTTTAAATAAATCAACCTTTTAAACAATAATAATACACAGATAAAGTATGGTTTCTGCATATGTCTCTGAGGGTATTTCTGAGTGATTGACAATTGAATCAGTGGATTTAGTAAAGAAAATCCACTCTGGATCAATGGGCAACTGCCATTCAATCAACTGAAGGACTGGATAGAACAAAAAGACAGCAGAAAAGTGAATTCTTTCTTTCTCTGTCTCTCCTTTCTAGAGCTGGGTCACTCATGTTCCTCTGCTCTTGGACAACAGAACACCAGATTCTGTTGTCTTTGGCCTTTGGGACTTGGACCAGCAACCCTGCAGGTCCTCAGGCTTTCAGACTTAGACTAAGTGTTAAAGTATTGAGTGTCCTGGTTCTCAGGCTTTTGGACTTGACCTGAACCATGGTACCAGTTTCTCTGGTTCTTCAGCTTGCAAATGACCCATGATTGGACTTCTTAGCCTCTGTAGTCATACATGCCAATTTCCATAATAACCCCTTCATAGATATATCTGTGTCTATATATGTGTCCTGTGATGGCTCTTCAAAAGGGCCATGGGAAATGCATATTATGAAAATATGCATGGATTTCAAAACTTCTGCATAAAACTAAATTTATCTTTCATTTACATTTTCCATGAACTCTTGGAAGTACCCACATTTATTGGATCTTTGAGGTTATCATTTATATAATTCCCCTCATTGACTAAAATTCTTCACTGAATCTCTAGTACCAATCAGCAGAAAGTATGAGGAGTTCCACCTACTGTTCTAAACCCTACCCAACATGGTCACTTATCACTCTGTGTGTATGTGTAATACATTTATATCATGTATTCAAAACATTTATTTTTATTTGAAAGCAGAGAGGCAGAGAGAGGATGACTGGAAACAAAGAGAAAGCTTCCATCTACTGCTTTACTCTCCAAATGGCTACAACAATCAGGGCTGTTCAGGCTGAAACCAGTAGCCAGTAACTCAAGTCAGGTTTCCAGTGTGGAGGCCAGGACCCAAGTAGTTGAGCCATCACCTGCTCCCTCCTAGGTTGCCTATTAGCAGGAACCTGGGTCGAATGCAGAGGGTCCAGAACTCAAGCCAGGCACTCCAGTATGGGATGCGACATCCCACACGTGTTTTAACTACTGTACCACATATTTGTCCTATGAGATATTCTTGACTGGTAAGTTGTTGCCTCAGAGTGCATCATTATTTGCTAACTGCTTACCTCTAGTCATGCTGTTCCAAACACCTGGAATGCCACTTTGTCCTTGACTATTCTCTTCTTGAAATTTGAACTGGCCTTGAAAAACCACCTAAAATGTCCTATTTTTTATGAATTATTTCCTGAAGACTTCAAATGTTCAATCGCTAGTTGTCTCTTACAACAGTTTTCATATTCTGACCAGTACTATAATTACCCATATATTTGTCTTGTTTTACCTTACTGGACTGTAAATTTCATGTTTAAGATTAGGGTCTATATCTCACTCCTCCGAGGATATACTGTAGGGTCAGACATATTGAGCATGCTATTGATCTTGGATTTGAAGTAATGAAACCTATTGCTTTGTTTGGGTCAAAAATAGAAACTGAAGATTGTTCCAAAGCAATAATTCTAAAAGGTGTTGAGCAATGTTGACATTTTTAGAAAAATCATAGTCTACAAAATCCTTGGAAGGATATTTATCTGAGTGTTTAAATTTAGCCTGTTTATTAAAAATTGATTTTTTTTCTTCTGTGTCTCCTTGTCTTTTGTTGCTAGTAGGTGGAGCTGAGTTCTAGGGCAGAAATTGTTGAGATTACTGAGAATCCGTCATGGATGGATCAAAATTTTCCCTTCCAAACACACCTCCAAGTAGAAAGAGAATGTGATGAGCATAGTATTCATTCTTCTTCTTCCCAACAGATAAATTAGGTCATTGAAATGGATTAGTATTTTTTTATTCAAAATATTTTCAAATTAGATTTTTTTGCCTCAATGATAAGAGTTTCTGAAATACTTATTTGAGCAACAGTTCTCTTAGTCGTAGAATTATTATCTGGGATCACTGTTTATTCATTCTACTTCTTTCTTTGATTATATATTTATTAGCATTAAACATAGCCTGAAAATTCTTTATGAGTTTTCATATTTTGGATTAAAAACATTTTCCTTTACCAGTTCTCTACATTTCAAATTTTATGAGCTTTTCTCTTTGAATGAAGAGTATTTGTATTACAATGGGAAGCATTTATCAGAATATACGATCCATAATTTCTGTATATATTTGCTTTTATTGCTGTGTATAAATGTTCAATGGAAACATGAGCAAAAATGTGATTAGGTCCTTCACAAGAAAATAAAGACAAGTATTCATAATAAATACTACTTTCCAAAAATAAAAGCAATTACTAATTAAAAAAGAGACATGTCTAATCTCACAATGAGCAAAATGTAAATTAAAACAGTGAGATAGGCAAAGCAGTGAAAGAACAGCATATTTAGTATGGGCAAAGTATAAGAAAACGTGTTTTCAGGACATTATTGATGCAGCTGAAAATCCTAACAATCTTTTTGGAAAGGCTTTTTGTGTACATGTGAAAGGGTAAAGGTAAGGGTAAGGTAGGTGTCTGGGGCAAAACGTCCTCAGATTTTGTGAGTCCTTTAATTCTAAAATTATCCTTCTAGAGATTTGTCCTGAAGAAATAATTGGACAAATGTGAAATGACATTATTACAATATACCTATAATATAGCTAAATTAAATGCCATCCAGTTGAGGTCTTGTTGACTTATGTTGTAAATTCATACAACTGACCATAATGCAAATGATGATTAATTCTTATCTACTGAAGTGAAAACATGTCCACAATGTACTAAGTTAAAAAAATAAAAAATTGGTGACAAAACTGCATGATTCTGGGCTGGCGCCGTGGCTCACTTGGTTAATCCTCCGCCTGTGGCTCCGGCATCCCATATGGGCACCGGGTTCTAGTCCTGGTTGCTCCTTTTCTCTGCTGTTGCTCAGGAAGGTAGTGGAGGATGGTCCAACTGCTTGGGCCCCCTGCACCCGCATGGGAGACCAGGAAGAAGCACCTGGCTCCTGGCTTCAGATTGGTGCAATGCCAACCATGGCTGCCATTTGGGGAGTGAACCAATGGAAGGAAGACCTTTCTCTCTGTCTTTCTCTCACTGTCAAATAAATAATTAAAAAAAATAAACTGCGTGATTCTATCCCATTTTTTGTTTAAAATTACATGCATAGGGAAAAAAGTCTGAAAGGGTATATACCTTAATTTAATAGTTATCTTGGGTGAAGATAAGGGTTAGAGCATGGTGACTTTTTTAGTTCATGACTTCTTTATTATTATGAATAGCTATTATTTTAATAATTCAAAAAGTTTTCATTTTCATTTTGAAAAAAAAAAGACCAGATACATTTTTTCAGTTTTATTCTTAGATAATGCAATAAAATAATCTTAACTATAATTACAGACATATTAGTACATTACAATGTTGTAATTTTGTCAGATGATAATATAAAATATTCAATATTTTAAATATATTTCACTTGGTTATAGAGTAATATTAAATTAAACTTAGTAAGTTACATTTGATACATAGAAAAATCTTTGTAAATTAACAATAAAATTCAATTTTAAGCTTTACTTTAATATTTTCATAAATAAGTTACTTAATAATGTTTATTTTGCTGAAAGATAGACCTCTGAGGAATTGGTTATTTTAGCACACTGTGAAATTTCAAAGTTGAAGCCCCAGATTTAAAATAAAAGAATTATTTTATCTATGAAGTTAAATCTTCCTAACTTTGTGAACTACTCATAAGTATCTGGAAAGAAATGCAAATGAGCTATGTTTTAATGTTCAGTCTTAGAAGGGTGACTGCACAACTATTTATATGGCTTCACTGGAATTTAAGGTTTTAGTATCACTGCCTTCCTTGGAAGTTAAATACTGATAAAGAGGGCCAAAAGACACGAAGGCTTGGGGATGAGCAGAGGCCAGTCATCTGGCATTAGCACCAACCTAGGGCTTTAACTTCGTGGTAAAAATTAGTCATCTGTAACTCTGACTTTAAAAAAATCAAGAATGGAGCAAATATAGCTGGTTTCTTGAGTGTTTGCCTACAGCAATTTTTCTTACTCTTCATAGTGCATCAGAATCATTTGGAGGGCCTGTTTCAGCACAAGTTTCTGGGCCCTTTCCCCAAAGTTTCTGATTCTGTAGGCCTGCAGTAGGCCCTGGGATTGGCACTTGTGCCCAGTTCCCAGATGCTGCTAACGCTGCTGGTCCAGGGACACACTTTGAGATCTACTTGTCTATGAGTGTTTTTGGAGCTCTGCTAGCTCTCTATGGTGCAGTCTACTGGAACAGTCCTATGGATCAGTAGGATGCCGTTTCAGCAGAAAAATCTCAATATTAGGAGAATGTAAGCACATAATCTAAATAAAATGCGACACACCCTTGTTTAGATGTTGAAATGTTTTGGCAGCAGTCACATAAGCAATGGAAGATGTGAATCATGGCCACAGTCGTTACTCTCCTCTGGGGCCACGTTTTCACTTACAAAGCAACTGAGGTTGAAACAGTAGCCTGAATTAAATATCAGCACCACCAAGTCCACCTGAGTGGATGCAGAAGCATCTTCAAAGCTCTGTTTCAAGATGCCTGATGTATAACTCATTACATAGTGCTACTATCAAGTATAAGTGGTTTTTAATGTTTTTGGAGATCTTTCCTAGTATCATTCATACTGTAGTTTCTGCCTGAGGAGATATTATTTGTCCTGGGCTTTCCCTGGGCATTGATCGTATTTTTAAGCCTGTAATCAGATCTGCTGAATTATCTGACAAAATATAATTACAGGGAAAAAGAGAGAAGGGGAGAGGTAGAGCAGCTTAAACTTGTGGAATTCTTAACAGAAGCAGTGTGATCTTTTCTCAGATACTAGATGAGAAACAAGTCTCTCTCTTTTTTCCTCTTAGTGTCTCTGTAATTTACTATAATGCTTGGGACTTGGGTTGATTCTGAATAAAATGTGTAAGTTGAATTAAGTAGCCTTAGGAATGTATGCAGACACTGAAAAGCAAGTTTTAAGACATACAGCTACCAATTTATAAAATTTGCACATTAAGACTTTTACACTGTGGACTCTTTCAATGTGATTTGTGAATATATATATATATATATATGTATATATATATATATATATATGAAAACTTTTTTTTTACAAAGGAAGCATTAGAGCACTAGTTTTTATCCCTAACAAAGGAATAAATCTTTAAAATCCAGAGTAATGAAATATTTAGAGTTGAGAAAAAATATTCTGAATCTGATAAACCAACATATTGCACATTCATTCATGGATTATTGAACTACTGTAGTCAATTATATAAGGGGTACAGTAACATTTATAGGGATGGAGATAAAGTGCACATCTAGTAAGTAGTGCCCTTGTTATTTGTATGGGTGTACTCAAAAAGAGAAAAGATAGGTGAATTTTGGAGTACATTTGTAATAAAAATTGATTAAAATTAATTCCTTAGGGCTAAACATTTTCATCTGCTTTGAATACAAGCAGACTGTATGAAGTGAACCCACTGAACAACAAAAATCTTCAAAGAGATACATAATAAAAAAACATAGTATTTCCAAGGCTATTGTGGTTCCATACAAGGAACCCCCTTTTGCCCTTGTCTTGGGTATATTTGAGACTGGGAAAATGTATGGACCTCAATTCAATTCTGTGTTCCCTCAGGCCTCACGGTACCCAACAGGTCTGAAAGTTCAGCTCCAGTCATGATGCCACAGTACTCCCCATGCCCCCATCTCCTTCTCTGTGCACATTTAAAGGTCCAGGAAGGCAGAGATGGAGCAGTGTGTGACTGATTTAGCCTCACTGAGTCTCAAAGACTGGAAGAGAAGAGAACAAATGTTGGGAATCCAGTGGGCCAAATATCTCAACTTCAAACATCCAGTTTTTAGACATATGCTATTTAGACAGTGCCTTGGATATGAGTGGAATATACTTTCAGGCTGTTTTGTAGAAAGTTCTTGCTTTGCCACGGGGAACATTGGAATAGCACAAATTTAGAGACCAAGATCACATAACTACCTTAAAAGAAATGCTTTGTTGAATGGGGAAACAAATGGAAATTGTCATACAGCAGTATTGTTTGGTTAGAGTAAAATGCCTAAGTAAATGCCTGGTCTGAGTCATTACTTTGTTACTTAGGATGAAAAGTAGCAGATCCATTTTCTTGAGTTCTTCAGTGCCTTTTCTTCATGCACACCTGACAGCGACTTATTATTTTTTCTAACTCCCCAGCTTTCACAGTAGATGGAATAGGTTTTCTGAAATAAAAGCAAAACAAACAAAAAAATCATTGATTTGTATATAAAAAGGGAACACTTGCTGGGCTTGAGTTGCTTTAGTGAACATTGTAGCTATTCTAAATTTTATTACAGGAACATCTTCTTTATGGTAGACATGCATTTCCAACATTTAATAATTTCAGTAGCACTAAGGAATCAGGCCTTGATGCAAACTTACAGATCATCTTTTTTTTTTTTTAATTAGTTATTTGTTTTTGTTTGTTTGAAAGGCAGAAAGAGATATAAAGAGAGAGAGAGAGCCTGTCTGCTAATTCACTCCCTAAATGCCCACAACAGCCAGGGCTGAGCCAGACTGAAACAAGGAGTTCAGAGTGGGGCTCCCACATGGGGCTCCCACATGCGTGGCAGAGACCCAAGTCATCAGGTTATCAGCTGCCTACCAGGCTGAGCATGAGCAGGAAGTTGGGATTGGAAGTGTAGCTGATTTCTCCAGTACGGGATGTGGGCATCTCCAAGCAGCATCTCAGCTCCCGAGCCAAATGCTCATCTACAGCTCATCTGTTTTTTCTCCTCAAGAAAACTACTCTCATCCCTTAAATAACCTGTATTATCTGTAAGTCTTCCAATATAGGAAATTGAAATTATCAGATCATTTAGTTGTCTTTTTCAATAATTCATTATGAACTCATATATAAGTATTATGTATTTTAGTGTTACAAAAACAACATTTTGTCTTTATTGATACTGTCATACAAAACTGGTTACTTGTTGACTCAAAAACATTTCTAAACTGGGAGTGCCAAGCTAAACAGGGTAAGGGATGGGGATTTAAATATGAGTACATTAACACATAGGTAAAGAAAAAATAAAGGCAACTTTATTTTTTTTCTTTTTTCTTTTTTGACAGGCAGAGTGGACAGTGAGAGAGAGAGACAGAGAGAAAGGTCTTCCTTTGCCATTGGTTCACCCTCCAATGGCCACTGCGGCCGGCGCACCGCGCCTATCCGAAGGCAGGAGGCAGGTGCTTCTCCTGGTCTCCCATGGGGTGCAGGGCCCAAGCACTTGGGCCATCCTCCACTGCACTCCCGGGCCACAGCAGAGAGCTGGCCTGGAAGAGGGGCAACTGGGACAGAATCCGGCGCCCCGACCAGGACTAGAAACCGGTGTGCCGGTGCCACAAGGCGGAGGATTAGCCTAGTGAGCCGCGCGCCGGCCAGGCAGCTTTAAATAGCTCTGTGATTCAGTCATCAGGGGAACTTGGATAGTTACCTGAACATTCTTTGTGGGTTTAATGAAGCCAGCCAGAAACTGTAGGAATTTGAATAGTAGTTGCACGTTCCTCTTCCATGACATTCTATAAACGGATTGGCTCGGAATTCTTCCAGGCAGGAGCCAGGGGATGCCAGTGCTTGCCCAGCGCCCTCCGAACCTGCACTTGTGAACTAAAACACAAGAAATATCTGAATAAAAACTCTGTCCATCAGTGTTCAAAATGTTCAACTCTGGACTTTTTTTTTTTTCTTTTGTGGGGGGAGGGTAAAATAAGACCCCAAGAAAAGAAGACAAAACCAAGAAGTATGAATTAACTTTTTGCATTTTATCCAGAATTTTCAATCCTTCAGGTATCTTCCAGGTTGAGAAATAGTCACCAAAAAGAAAGTGAAAGCTGTAGCTTCTGCCTGAGAGGCCTTTCCCCCAGGTCTGACGGGCACTTTCTCATCCTTGTAGCATCTGCTTAAATGAAATCTCAGAAAAGCTTTCCTGGACCTCATCCTGGGCACATCCTCTCAACTTATCTTGCCTTATTTCCATCATAGTACCTATAGTCATCTGAACTTTTGTTATTATTATCATTACTGTCTTCTTGCTTATTGTCTTCAGTCTTCCCCTATTAGGGTACAAACTCCATGTGAGCAGAAACTTTGGCTCCTGGTATTGTTAGAGCCCAGAACAGTCATGGCACATGGTAGGTGTTCAATAAGTGTTTGTTAAATTAATGATTGAATGAATGGAAGACTGTGAGTAAAGAATGGGAATGAATGTATTACAAATGATGCTTTACAGACTATGAATAACCACATATGTGGAGCTATCAGCATTGCAGATGGTCAGGACATCTGGGAGAGCCCTCTAAAATGCTATTTCTCTTCATCTTCATCTTAATGTGAATGTTAAAGTGGCACAGTGTAAGTAGACAAAGATTTTGGAGCAAAGCTGTGTTCAAACCCAGCTTTACCATTAATATTTGTGAGACCTTGGAGGAATTATATCATTCTTATTTGTAAAACTATAGATGACAGAATCTACCTTTTAGGGTTTTCCTAAGGATTACAGAGAATGTATATAAAGGAGCTGCTATATTTATAAGACAGGCATTCTATCATCAATAAATAGCAGCTACCATTCACCTAAGGGTTAGGATTTCGAATTTGTAGATAATTTCTTTTTGAGAAGTCTATTATTTTTAAAAAGTGCTTCATTATTTACCAAAAGCAATTAAAAGTTTAAAAAGGCATGTTTTGGGGCCGGTGCTGTGATGTAGCAGGTAAAGCTGCTGGCTGCAGTGCTGGCATCACATAAGGGTGCCGGTTCTAGTCCCGGCTGCCTCTCTTCCGATCCAGCTCTCTGCTATGGCCTGGGAAAGCAGTAGAAGATGGCCCAAGCCTCTGGGCCCCTGCACCCACATGGGAGACCCGGAGGATGCTCCTGGCTCCTGGCTTCAGATAGGCTCAGCTCTGATCGTTGTGGACAATTGGGGAGTGAACCAGCAGATGGAAGACCTCTCTCACTCTCTGCCTCTGCCTTTCCTTCTCTCTCTATGTAACTCCGACTTTCAAACAAATAAATAAATCTTTATAAAAAAAAAAAGCATGTTTTCAGATTTCCAAGCAAATGTCCATGACATACCATGCACCTGACATCAGGTAGCACCTATCTCAGGGTCTGTATTTTATTCTGTACCATGTAAGATTCTACAGATAATCTACTATAAATTCCCTGTTTCTTTTCTTACCATGATGAAAGAAAATCCTTTCCAGAGAGAAATCCAGCCCTGGGGACAGGGGGGAACATCAGTGCTTTGACTGTGAATGGCAATGGCAATCGCAGGACCCTCACAGACGGTGCACCTGCAATGTGACAGAAGACCATGGTGGCAGTGCTGCTTTCTGTATAATGATGTGCTGGCTTAGTTTCCAGAACAAGTGAAGTGACTCAGTCCCATTGCAAAACCAAGGGATTGGATTTTTACCTGCTAATGTAAGGCTCGAGGGCCTTGCCAGTAATTGGAGCCATGTCCATTGGCATCAGAGCTGGTGTTGACAGCCAGTATGAATAATCGTTTCGAGATGCAAAATTACAGACATCATTGATGTTACAGAATAAGAAAGGCATTGTGGTAAATCTCTGCAGGCAGCTGCCAAGAGTTCCTAGTAAAACAGACTGAGTATTACTTTAGTCAATACAATAGTCAAAATTATTTTGAGTATCATTATTAGAGAGAGGCTAAGTAAAACATAATCCATGGCAAAACTGGTTGAAGAAGAAACAAAGGAAGTAATGGCAAATTGTGGTATTGAGAAGTTTTAGTACTGATAGAAATAGAAGATCCAACTGGCAAACAAACCTTCCTTCCTCCACCCTTAATATCTCTTGTCATCCTTTCTTTTCAGTCTAGAATTGGGGATGATATAGTTTGGTTGGGACAATGTCTTTGTGTCAAAGTATTCCCAGTTATTCATAGGTCCATCATAGCTAATAACTAGATAAAGCTATAGAAAAGATGTTACTTTGGGATTTAAAAATCAGACAGGTGGTTTAAATGAAAATTACTTGTGTTGAACAGGATGAGCTTAGCTTCCTCCAGTGTTTTACATTCCAAAATGAAAACTAGATGTTAGGTCAATGCTGTTTCATTTGCTGTCTCTAGAACGTGCAAGAAGACACTTAAGGCTGTTTGCACTTAACTTCAGAGGGAATCACCTTACGATATGAAAATTTACAAGCTGTGTATGGAACAAAAGGACTGGATACTAAGATTGGGACATTACCAAGGTCTTGTCCATGGGCTTGTTCATTTCCTTGTACAAAAAGAAGAGAAAACCCACTGTAGAGGGGCTCTGTCCCTTCTGGACACGAAGGAATGGCTGTTGTTTGACTGTGTCGGGTGAAGACAAAACCTCTCATTGTTGTTCCAGGTGCAGGTGGCCCTGTGTCTCCAGGCTTTCCCTTCATACCTGGCAAGCCTTCTGACCCAGGTGGTCCTTGAAAAACACAATATGAATGTCAACACAAAAACAAACTCAAACTTGTTTTCAAAAATTTGATTAATTAACTGATTAAATGCTTTTATATTTGTGTTGGACCCCAAATATGGAGAGAAATTCCACAGATAATTTGTAAAAGAGACATACAATATAGTATTATTAAATATTAACCAACTTACCACATAGTTTCTCTGATTGGAAACATTTGTGTATGTCTTATCATGAATTTTTTGACGTCAGATTTTCTCTATGATGCTTAGCACAATGGCCTTCTAGTAGGTCTTTTGGTATGTCTTTTACAAACAAATGAATATCCTCTCACAATGTGGGGGGAAAGAAATCAACTCAAATGTCTACAACTTGGATATTTATTTAAGGAGATGCTAAAAAATTAATGATGTTTGAGAAGCCTGATTTACTATAGTAGAAAGCATGTAAGGAACTTTAAAGATGTATACATCAAGAAACTTTTTTGATCAATTAGTAAGGCAAATATGATAGAAAAGACCTTTTTTTTTTTTTTTTACTGTGAGTTAGTTTATTTTATTCATTTAAGTTACAAAGTAAGTGGTTTTTATGAGCGTGCCTTGTGTTTTCTTTGCAGTTGGAGTGGGCTAACCAACCCTTGTCCTTTATTAAATAAGGACCATTGAATAATCCTTCCTCCATTTTCCCTATCCTTCTCTCCTCTTCTTTGTCAGGTAACTATTATTTATGACAGCTCAATCTGTTTTCACTGCCATCACACCCTGACCAACTCCCAAGCTGATTTGGGCCACTGGTCATTGCTTAAGGAGATGAAGAGAGAGGGGAGACTGTTGCCTGACACCATCAAGGAAGATACTGTTGACCCCAAACAACAATTCCATGGGAATCATGTCACAGTTCAGTCCTCACTCAGAAGTCAGTATTTTTCACAAAGATTTGTACAAGCCTCAATATTTTTTTTCATTCTCTGAATTATTCTGACTCCTGTATTCTCCAGGCACTTTGATATGATCTTTGAAATCAAAAAGAAGCCACATTCAAAATTTCCAATCTCATGTTTACTTGAAAAATCCTTAATTCTCTTAGTTTTAATAGATAAGGAAGACATGCATTCTTCACTTTCCACACTCCTACCCTCATTCACAGTGGCTAGAACTGACCCCAAGGAAATGATGCCTCTAAAGTCTGTTTACGGGAATTGTAAATTGCTTCGATGAGCAGGACAGAAATGGGAAGCAAGCATGTGTGCTCTATCCAAGACACTTCAACATCTCCAAGAATGGGACTAAGACCATCAGGTTGTGCCAATGCAATCTGACTCTTAGATCTTTTTATTATACTTATGAGGCTCCCATAGCACTGAACTGACTAGTAGAGTAGTCAACCTTATCTGTGCAGTATACATTCTATCCACTGTGGATAGAACTATAGATAGCCTACAACCATAGATAGTACTGAACCTTATATAAACTGTTTTTCCCCTACAAATACATATCTGTGATAAAGTGTAATTTATACATTAGGCATAGTAAGATATTAACAGTAGCTAATAATAAACTAGAAGAATTCTAACAGTATATGATAGTTAAAATAGCTAAAAATTAGATGAATGTGATCTCTGACTGTCAAAGTGTCTTATTGTACTATACTTAACTTTCTTTTTATGGAAATGAGACTATACTTAAAAGAAGCACATTATGGCTTCTCTCTGGTATATTTGAATTGTCAGTAGCACTGCTTTTGTGCTTCTCATTATTAAGCAAAATAAGTGTTACTTGAACACAAGCACTATAATATCTCTGTTAATTTGATAAGATGCTACTAAGTAACTTGCAGGTGTAGTGTATAGTGTGGCTATGCAGGACAGACGATGATTCACATCTCAGGGAGGATGGAGCAGGGTGTTGAAAGATTTCATTACACAACTCAGTATGCCATTTAAAACTTATGAACTATTTATTCCTGGAATTTTCCACAATATTTTTGGGCTACAGTTGACCAATGATAACTGAAATCCTAGAAAATTAAAGTGCACTGCAGGAGGCATTTGGCAAAGTGCTTAAGACTGGTTTGAATCCCACCTCTGCTTCTAATTCCAGCTTCCAGTTACCAGTTAATGTACACCCTGGGAGGCAGCAGGTAATGGTTCAAGTGATAGGATTCCTGTAACCTGCATGGGAGACCTAGATTTTGTTCTTGGCTCCAGGCTTAGTCCCTTCTCTGTTCTGAGCATTGTGGGCATTTGCAGAGTAAACCAATGGATGGGAGCTATCTTTCCATGTCTGTCTGTGTCTGCTTTCTGCTTCTCAAGAAAAAGAAAGAAAAAAGCCATGTGGTTCCTAAATGAAATGATATAAATTAAAAAATAAAAAAGAAACCATAGATAATGGTTGGAATTTAGCCAAGGGAAATTAAATTGGCAAATAAAAGAGCTGTCTGCACCTCAATGTTTATTGCAGCTCAATTCACAATAGCTAAGACCTGGAATCAACCTAAATGCCCATCAACAGTAGACTGGAAAAGAAATTATGGGATATGTACTCTATAGAATACTATACAGCAGTAAAAAACAATGAAACCCAGTTATTTGCAAAAAAAAATGGAGGAATCTGGAAAACATCATGCTGAGTGAAATAAGCCAGTCCCAAAGGGACAAATATCATATGTTCTCCCTGATCAGTGACAACTGAGCACCAAACAGGAAACCTGTTGAAGTGAAATGAACACTATGAAAAACAGTGACTTGATCAGCCTTGTCCTGACTGTTTATGAACAACTTAATACTTTATCCCTTTTAGTATTTTTCTTTTTTGTTCTACTTATTACTATTGGTTGAACTCTGTAATTAACACACAATTATTCTTAGGTGTTTAAAGTTAACTGAAAAGTGATCTCTGTTAAATATAAGAGTGGGAATGAGAGAGGGAGGAGATGTACAATTTGGGACATGCTCAAGCTGACTTGCCCCAAACGGTAGAGTTAGAAATGTGCCAGGGGATTCCAATTCAATCCCATCAAAGTGGCATGTACCAATGCCATCTCACTAGTCAAAATGATCATTTTCAGTTCACAATTGATCATAATGATAGGATTAAGATTCAAAGGAATCACACAAACAAGACTAGTGTCTGCTAATACTAACTGATAGAATAAAAAAGGGAAACAACGATCCAGCATGGGAAGCGGGATACACAGCAGACTCATAGAATGGCGGATGTCCTAAACAGCACTCTGGCCTCAGAATCAGCCATTAAGGCATTCGGATCTGGCTAAAAAGCCCATGAGAGTATTTTAGGCATGGAAAGCCAAGAAAGATCTCTGAGAGTGAGATCCAAGTGGAAAGAATGGGCCATCAAAGAGGGAGGTACCTTTCTCTGAAGGGAGGAGAGAACTTCCACTTTGACTATGACCTTGTCTAAATAAGATCTGAGTTGGCAAACTCAAAAGGCTTCCATAGCCTTGGTGACTCATGACAAGAGCCTCAGGTGATTACTGATGCCATGAACAAGAGTGTCAATTGTTTAATCAACAACAGGAGTCACTGTGCACTTACTCCCCATGTAGGATCTCTGTCCTTAATTTGTTGTACTATGTGAATTAACGGTATAGCTAGTATTCCAACAGTACTTTACACTTTGTGTTTCTGTGTGGGTGCAAACTGTTGAAATCTTTACTTAATATATACTAAATTGATCTTCTGTACGTAAAGATAATTAAAAATGAATCTTGATGTGGATGGGATGGGAGAGGGAGCAGGAGATGGGAGGGTTGTGGGTGGGAGGGAAGTTGTGGGGGCGGGGGAAGTCACTGTAATCCATAAGCTGTACTTTGGAAATTTACATTTATTAAATAAAAGTTAAAAAAGATAATGTTTTTCTAATTATGGGTTTAGGTAACCTCTCCTACAAGTAGTTACTAAATAACAACTCCTATAAGTAATTGGCTCTTCTGAAAATAGAAAACCCACTACAACTTTATTAGTTCTACTTTTCTTCAAACTAAATTGTGCATTAGGTTGAAATTGGGAGTGTGTCTGCCCAGGGAAGAGGTAGGAAGAATCATGTGTTCCAGTGATTCTCAATTTTCCGTCTTCTTCCAAATGAACCTTTGGTCCCTTGCTTTTGATCCAATCTAAGCAACACAAACTGAAAGCCTTGGTTCTCTAGCAGTCACACAAACAGGACCACTCTGGGTATGGAAACAGCGCTCCTTCAGGTGGAAGCACTGGCCGTATTGTTTACCTTGCTCTCCTTTAGAACCTTTGTTGCCTTTTTCTCCAGCTGGTCCAGGAACTCCTGGTTTCCCATCCTTGCCAGGTTTCCCTTTGGGCCCACAAGGTCCTAGGCAAAAACCAACAGTGCATTGCATTTTATCACAACAGGATAGAGGTAAGGTGGCTGACCATCCCAGTTAGCCTGGGACTTTTCCTGCACTCCAGGAAGCTCCTCAGTGGTGGGCAAGCTGGAATGATGGTTGGTTACCCAACTTTACTAAGAAAGGCGTTTGGTGTGGTAGTTAACATGCCACTTGGTATGCCTGCATCCCATGTTGGAGTGACTGGGTTTGAATCCTGGCTGCACTCTTTATTCCATCTTCCTGCTAATGTGTACACTGGGAGGCAGCAGTTATGGCTCAAGTATTGGGTCCATATCACCTATTTGGGAAACCAGGTTGAGTTCCTAGCTTTTGGTTTTGTCATGGCCTGGCCCTGGCTGTTGTGGGCAATGGGGAGTGAACTAGCAGATGGGGAATCGCTCTTTCTCTTTCTGCCTTTCAAGTAAATAAAGATAAAAAAATAAAAATTTAAAAATGAAAAGACTCTTAAAAATAAACCATGGGTATGTGAAATACAACAATTTAAAATTATGTTGCCATTTTAATTTATGTTCTTCCAGAATTCATTATGCCCATGCATCGACTAAACATAAATAATATCTCTCTCATCTCTCAGGTGATTCAGACACTTACTAGAGCATAATACTTCCAATCAGAAATGTACTACAATATGGTAGGACTATACAAAGGGGTTAGTTCAGTTTTCAAACACCAATATTTTGAAAGGATTTCGAAATCATTTTCTCTAACACTTAGCTATAGAAAGTGTTAGTCAAGTATGAATTCACAGAACTCAGGCATGTTCAGACCAATCATTTAGAAACTGTCAGAGTTCCAGGACTGACAGTTTTCTAGGGAGATAGATATAATACCTTAACCTTAATAAAAACAAAAAAATGAAACATAGTACCTTATACTGTATTTACTAAAGTTTATGCTACATATAATACTTCAGTAGATACCAGAGACTTGATTGTCAAGAAGTAAAATTAGTTCAATCCCAAGACTATTGTAAGAAAAACACCACTCTGTAATGTTTAATATTTTCCATGAAATTATATCATTTGCTTTCAAAGCTCTTTACAGGTATTTTGGCTCAATGACTTGCTGATGAACCAAGTCAATGCTGCCAGTCTCACACCTGGGCTTCCTGGTGGCCCTGGTGGGCCAGGTTCTCCTTGCATCCCTGGTTCTCCAGGTGGGCCAGGTGGCCCCGGACTTCCTGGGAGGGAGATGATCTGAAGTGTGCCAGGGTCTCCACGTACACCTATTGACGCAAACATAAGAAGATGGCTTCATTGATGAATTACTATCCATTCTTCATGCAGAACAGTAGTAAGGAGATACATTTACCAGGTGGTCCTTTTGGCCCAGTTGGCCCTGGTGGTCCAGTTGGTCCTGGGGATCCTGGATTACCTTTCTCTCCTTAAAAAAAAAGGCAATGTGATTCCATCTGAAACAGTGGGTTTCTTAGCTCTGCTGGTTAATAATGATCTCTAATGATAAAGGAAGTTATGATTGGAGGTTATGCTACATTGGTTCTATGACAGTGGCTACAACCAAATTATATTCATGTGGGATCTAGCATTTCATTTGGACCTAATCAATCCTGTTTAATCAGTATCTAAATAAATATACTCCAAATATAGGCATTAAGAGGTTGTATTTAGCATTGAAAGGGAAGGAGTTCACTTTCTGAATTAAAAAAACAATTTAAATTTAATATTAAAGATGATTTTAACACTTACTAGTGAATTTTTGTTGCTTGATTGTCAGTGTTATCTATATCCCTCTCAGCTTATTACTCTATCTTTATCTGTAGCATATAGTTCCATGTCAGGAGCTTCCAGGAACTCATCGAGAACATTTGCTATGTTGTGTACAAACTGCCAAGATTGCTTTTCTAAGTGTAATCTTTTACTTCTGTAAAAAAAGATTACCAATAGACTTCTATTTGCAGAAATACTCTTTTTTAATGAATCTCAAAGGGACCAGTGTTGTGGCATAGCATATTAAGCATCCACCTGCAATGCTGGCTAGAGACCCTGCTGTTCCACTTATGATCCAGCTCCCTGCTAATTTACCTTGGAAAACAGTGGAAAATGACCCAAGTGCTTGGGCCCCTGCACCCACATGGGAGACCTGGAAGAAGCTCTGGGTGCCTGACTGCAGCCTGGCGCAGCCCTGGCCATTGCAGCCATTTGGGTGAGCCAGCAGATGGAGGACTCTCTTTCCTTTCCTTTCCTTCCCTTCCTTTCCTTCCCTTCCTTTCCCTTTCCCTTTCCCTTTCCCTTTCCTTTCCCTCCCCTCCCCTCCCCTCCCCTCTTCTCTCTCTCTCTCTGTCTCTTGCTTTCTCTCTCTCCCCCCCTTTCTTCACCTCTGTCTGTAACTTTGCCTTTCAAATAAATAAAAAACAAAAAAGAATATCAAAATAATACGAATATTACCTCTGATTACTTAACATTTAGATACTAACCATGTTATTAAAAGAAGAAATGTAGCAAAATAATTATGATATCAACCCTACTTTATAAATTATCCATTTGATATGAAAACTTGAGGAAGGTGTTAGGGTTTATATCCATGAACATGAAAGTACCTAAAAAATGAAAAATGGAATTTAATGATTTATTTTTATGCAAAAATTTTTTAAATCCAGGTATATTAAGGGTCTTCAAGAAGTTTACAAAAATATCTATGTGGGTGCACCTGCTGAAATCTTTACTTAATATATGCTAAACTGATCTTCTGTATATAAAGAGAATTGAAAATGAATCTTGATGTGAATGGAAGGGGAGAGGGAGCGGGAAAGGGGAGGGTTGTGGGTGGGAGGGAAGTTATGAGTTGGGAAGCCATTGTAATCCATAAACTGTACTTTGGAAATTTATATTCATTAAATAAAAGTTAAAAAAATGTATTATGAAGAAATTATGCAAAAATGCTTATACCAAAATAAGCTCATCTTTTAATTTCACTTTCATGAGGGTTTTGAAGTACTCTTATGTATACCAGAAGAAGCCTAAATGTTTATCCTTTTGGAGATTAAAAATTTCTAAATAGAGAAGTACAAATTGATCAGTAATATCAGCTGATGATCTTATTCTGAAATTCCAAGAGTAGCTGAATATATTTTATGGATTATTTATTTATTTGAAAGGCAAAATTAGAGAGAGAGAGAGATCTTCCATCCACTGGTTCACTTCCCACATGGTCACAATGGCTAGAGTTGGGTCAGGCCAAAATCTGGAATTCCATCTGGGTCTTCCTTGTGAGTGCAGGGACCCAAGAAGGACTTGGGCCATCTTCTGCTGCTTTCCCAGGCGCATTAGCAGGGAGATGAATCAGAAGTGGAGCAGCCAGGACGTGAACTGGCACCCATGTGGGATGCCAACACTGGCAAGTACAGCTTAAACTACTGTGCCACAATACTGGCCCTGCAATATATTTTTAAAAACTGATTTTAAGACAATACACTTTACAGGCCAAGTGGCATAAAGGTTAAGACACTGGTTAAGATACCTGCATCCCATATCAGAATGCTTAGGTTGAATCCTGGCTCCTCTCATGATTTCAGCTTCCTACTAATACACACTCTGGAAGGCAGCCATGATGGCTCAAGTACTGGGTTCCTGCCACCTACATGGGAGACAGGAATTGAGTTCCCACTGCGTGCATTTGAAGAGTGAGCCAGCAGATGGGGGGCTCTCTGCCTATCTGTCTGCTGTCTGTCTCTCTGCCACTCAAATAATTTTTAAAAGAATATCCCTTCTAATTGTTTATTTTTCCAAATTTTCTTCAGTGGAGTCTTTATCCAGTTTTCAAAGGTTACATCTTTTGATTCGGAGGCTTGGGGAGGTGATGGATGTCAGTAATTTTCCATAGGCTACCTGCCAAGCCACCCAGTGTCTAGTGAGGTTCCTTAGAATCGATGCTTTGATTTATTGTTCGCTGATTTGTTCTTAAAATGCCAGTAGTTGAGAGCATTGAAGAGGATCTCCCTTAATAGAACCTACCTCACCTTTTCTCAAAACTAGAAAAACTTCCTGCATGGACATGTGGCTTTGTTCACACTGAATATGCTTTTTATTTAGCATCTCTGTGATAATACATTTCTGGTCATACAAAAGAAATGCTAGGGATGGCCGGTGCCGCGGCTCACTAGGCTAATCCTCCGCCTAGCGGCGCCGGCACACCGGGTTCTAGTCCCGGTCCGGGCGCCGGATTCTGTCCCGGTTGCCCCTCTTCCAGGCCAGCCCTCTGCTGTGGCCAGGGAGTGCAGTGGAGGATGGCCCAGGTGCTTGGGCCCTGCACCCCATGGGAGACCAGGAAAAGCACCTGGCTCCTGGCTCCTGCCATCGGATCAGCGCGGTGCGCCGGCCGCAGCGCGCCGGCCGCGGCGGCCATTGGAGGGTGAACCAACGGCAAAGGAAGACCTTTCTCTCTGTCTCTCTCTCTCACTGTCCACTCTGCCTGTCAAAAAAAAAAAAAAAAAAAAACATTACCTTCACTTGAAGAATGGAAAGAATGCTAGGGAAATACAGCAAGACAATGAGTCACATGTTTAAAACCTTATTAAAATGATAGCATACTTATAACAGTATCAGTACTCTCAAAGGTACTCACTTTCAACTCTTTCTGTTTCTAGCTTTTTCTAGTTTCCACCTTTAAGTGACAAGTTTTAGTTTTTAAGCCTCATGAGGTTGGAAGCTAGAGAAATCCTTCCTCGCTCGCACTGAAGTCCTGCTTATACTAACCCCAACAACCGTCTGTGGTGACCACAGGGGCTCAGTAATCATTCGTGTGTCCTGAAGTATGAATTACTTGTAATCATATTCGCATGCAAGGGGCAGTGCATAAAGACAGTACCTCTCATGCCTGGAAATCCTCTGAAGCCAGGATCACCTCTGAGCCCTGGAAGTCCAGGGGCACCAGGCGCTCCCTATATGTCAAATAAAAAGGAAAAGAGCCACAGACATTTTTTTTTTTAATTGTAGCACTCACGGCAGTGTTTTCAAAGCAAATAGGATAAAATATTATGTTGGATGACAATGAACTGAAGTTGAGAGACATAACTTGTGTTTCACCTGTCTTTAACACCTAGATCTTTTCTCAAGTCTGTTATAAGAAAAATAAAATAAATCCTGCCCTTAAACTCAACAGCAAACATACCTTCTGATGTTGGTGTATGTTGTCTTAGTGTTGAATAAAGTGAGATGCTCTGTGTCCTAAATGGAACCACCCAATACTGGGGACCCTTCAGGCACCAGACTGACACCCTGAAAATTATCCAGGTTTGTGACTTTTAAAAAATGTTTATTTTGTTTATTTGAAAAGCAGTGTTACAGAAAGGAAGAGACATAGTGATGAGAGAAAGAGGGAGGGAGATAGAGATTGGAGAGAGAGAGATTGGATTTGTAACTCTTGCAATGACAATGGAGCCCTTGTTGAATCGTAGCACTCAAGCATCAATCTAAGCTGGCAGATGCATAAATTACCCGTGATTAGAGAGGCTAGAGAAATAACTTGTCCGGGGATGCGGGGATGGGGATGTAAAGGGATTGTCAGTATAGAGGGTTTTGTTTGTTTGTTTGTTTGTTTGACAGGTAGAGTTATAGACAGTGAGAGAGAGAGAGAAAGGTCTTCCTTCTGTTGATTCACTCCCCAAATGACCGCCACGGCCGGAGCTACGCCGATCAGGAGCCAGGTGCTTCTTCCCGGTCTCCCATGTGGGTGCAGGTGCCCAAGCATCTGGGCCATCCTCCACTGCCCTCCCAGGCCACAGCAGAGAGCTGGATTGGAAGAGGAGCAACCGGGACTAGCCCATATGGGATGCCTGCACCACAGGCAGAAGATTAACCAAGTGAGCCATGGCGCCGGCCCCAGGATAGAGGTTTTGACAGCCACATGTGGCAAAGAAACAAGGATCCGAGTGAGGAGGAGCACTTCCTCCTTTGAGGTTCACATTAGTTGCTCTTGTACTCCTGGGATCCTCAAGTGCATCCACAGGAGGAAGGAGCAGAAAACAGGACTTCTTGAAAAGAACTGCATGTCAAAATATGTGTTATGTCTACTCTCAGTCCATTTGAATTGAGACACAGCACTGGTACTCAGCAACAATGAGCTGAAGTTCATGAAAAATGCTGAGAACAAAACTGGTCATTGAGCCAGCTGGTTTTAGAGCAAGAACAGGAAGGGACTGTCCTATTGCTTGGATAAGGTGGAATGAGGTCCAAAGGGAAGGAGAGCAAACAGACTCACTGGCTTCTGAGATGTGGGTTGTTCTCCTGAGAAAGTAACTAGCGTGGAGGGCCTGGTGCCAGCTCCAGCCCTTAGAAGGGGAGGGAAGGGTCCTGAGAAAGGAGAGAGCCAATTTTGCCAATTTAGAAAAATTATCTTTCAGGGTCAATGCTGTGGCGTAGTAGTCTAAGCCTCTGCCTGTATCGCCAGCATCCCGTATGGGCACTGGTTCATGTCCCTGCTGCTCCTCTTCCAATCCAGCTCTCAGCTATGGCCTGGGAAAGCAGTGGAAGATGGACCAAGTGCTTGGGCCCCGACACCTATGTGGGAGACTCAGAAGAAGCTCCTTGCTCCTGCTTTTGGATCAGCTCAGCTATGGCCATTGTGGCCATTTCAGGAGTGAACCTTTGGGGAGTAAAGATCTTTCTCTCTGGCTCTCATTCTCTCTGTCTGTAACTCTACCTTTCAAATAAATAAATAAATAAATCTTAAAAAAAGAGAAAAATTATCTTTCAAGTGCAAATGTAGAAGCCTATGACTGTGAATGTCCCCAGAAGATGTAAATGAAAATCACATTTCCGAGCCTGATGTAGGAGGCGTTTAGATGGGACTATAGGATTGTTGGCAACTTCCAAAGAATCACGGAAGACATGAATGACATCTACATACTGGAGATGAGAAAATTAAAAAAAAAATTATGGCCGGCGCCATGGCTCACTAGGCTAATCCTCCACCTTGAGGCGCCGGCACAGCGGATTCTAGTCCCGGTCGGGGTGCCGGATTCTGTCCTGGTTGCATCTCTTCCAGGCCAGCTCTCTGCTGTGGCCCGGGAGTGCAGTGGATGATGGCCCAAGTCCTTGGGCCCTGCACCCCATGGGAGACCAGGAAAAGCACCTGGCTCCAGGCTTTGGATCAGCGTGATGTGCCAGTCGCAGCGTGCCGGCCGCAGCGGCCATCGGAGGGTGAACCAACAACAAAAGGAAGACCTTTCTCTCTGTCTCTCTCTCTCACTGTCCACTCTGCCTGTCAAAAATTAAAAAAAAAATAAAAAAAGAGGGGGTCTCCTTTGTGGCCAAGTCCCTCCTGGCCAGGAAGTAGTGCCCTTGTAAAAAAAAAATATATATATATAAGGTTGATTCTAGAAACCAAATACCAAGAGAGCATAGATGATTCCTACAAGAAGCCATGCCAGAGTACCTCGCTGCCTGCCACTGAGAGCCTAGTAGAGGAGGAAGTCTGAGGTACAGCATAGATGTAACTCCCTAGGAATCACTGAAGCACAGGTCTCTCCACTGTGTCTCTGTGGCTGCTGCGCTGGGCACCCAGGAAGGCTTTAGAGCTTGGTGCATGGGTAGATCAAAAGGCAACTCAGTAAGGGACTAATTCCAACCTGGAGAGTGAACTCTGGGCACACTGAGCTGCTTGTAAATGTTTCTTAAATAAACAATAATGCCATGCTTCTTCACATAGGAAACCTTCCTGATTTCTACGAACCCTCTAGCCTCCTTGTCAAGTATCCTGATTCCCACCTTGGACTCCAGAGATAGAGAACATGTGTTGGGTAACTCACATGTGCATCCTCATCTGTTTGCTCTGAAAACTCCTGTCCTCTTGGCCTCTGCTTTTCTTGTTTTCCTGGCTAATGCTTTTACATCCTTCAAGACTCAGGCCAGACACCTTCTTCTCCAGGAGAGAGGTCTCCCTTCCCTCCACAGACTGCATTAAGTGTTCTTTCGCAGCCCTCTGCCATTCCTCTGACCACACAGTGTGGCAATGACCTGTCTCCCTCTCTGCCACCCTTCACCGTAGCGTGGGCTCCTGCAGGGAAAGCCCTGTACCCTTTTATTTTCTATCCATCAGTTCGGGCAGGACACTCAATAATAATTGCTGAACCACTCTAATCTGTTCAACAGCTGTTCCCAGTGTTTTATGTAAACAGAGGAACTGGCTTATCAAATATGCTGCTAAGAGAAGCTAGGGATAGTATCTGGCGGGATCTTAGACTAGGAGCATGGGAACAAGATGACATCCGAGAAAGATACTTGTAAAATTTCTGCATTTATGGCACAAAGTAACCTCAACAACAAAAAGACAGGAAATAATGGAGAAAAGTTAGTAGAAACTCATGAGGACAAAGCACACGGGCTTTCACTGACAATGAGCTCAATGTGTGACAACAGTGTGGTGCTGGGGCAGCCAGAGAGCCCAAGTGAAATTACAGGTTAGATTCCTGGTGTGGTGGTCTCCAGACAATAAGATTTTCTCTCCTTTAGCCACTCACTTCAGAGGTGAGTGCTCACTTCTGTTCGTACTTGGAGCTGCATTTTAAGGGGAGATACTGGCAAACTAGGATCTATTCAGAATGGAGGCATGGTTCATGAGTGGTTAAACTGAATTAGAAAGAATCAGGTAATTATCCAGTAGGAAAACAATTGAAAAGAAATGATAGCTATTTACAAACGTTGGAAGGTATGTTGAGGGGAGTAAGTCAGACATTATAGGACAGTACAGATCACTGGTATGGCATATTGCTAGAGAGGAGAAAATGACATTGTCATTTAGAACAATTCTAAACTCACAGCTGCCTTTCGAAGAGTCCATTCTTGAACTGTTCAGATTCTAAACAAGCAAGGTCAGGACTCCTGTAGAGGTGAGTCCCATATAAAGCAAACTTTTAGAGGCGTCCTAGAGGCCAAATATTTCCAATTCTTAAGATTCTTTGATTTCCCAAACTTTCTAGACTCTGTCTCCCTTAGGCACACTTCACAGTTGCATCACAAAGGAAAAACTGTTGCTGCTGTACATCCAATCCTGTTTTCAGACATTTGTGAACATCAGCCACATGAGCCACTCAACAGATTTACAACAGTGGACTAATACTTGACGGTAATGTCAATTTTAATAATACTTACAATATGTAATATAACATACAACAAATATTAACTATGGCAATATTATAGAATATTTAGCAATATAACAATATCAATTACATATTAATTATATATAACCATATGAAAGTAATTTTCTACACTCACCGGATGACCTGGCGGTCCCATATCTCCTATAGTTCCAGGTGGACCTTTTGGACCAGGGTGGCCCACAAATCCTTTGTCTCCTTTTATGCCTGTTACCTGACTCCCTGGAGGTCCTGGGGGACCAGGTTCACCTGAATTCACAAAGAGTCTATCAGTGTTGTCAGTAAGGGAGTCTGGAAGTTTCTATCAGTGATCCACATAAACCAACTGCAAGCCCTGTGCCTTATCATGACCACAGATGCTCTTTTCTATGTGGGGAATGACAGGGTTGTGGCAAAGACAGAACGAGATAATGCCAGGAAGCCCTGGTACCAGCAGGAACTGCTTCTGCCTGATAAAGGTCTGGGCCTGTGCCTGGGACCTGATGCATAGAAGGAGTCCAGCAAATACAGATCTCTCTCTTGTAGGAGCATTGACTTGGTATTTACTAAATTTTCAAACAGGCCACTCTGTCTCCACACCAGCAACAGTTGAGCTGAACTCCAAGCCAGGATGAGTGGGTATGGGAAGAATGGAGAAGGCCAGGGAAAAAGAAGCAACAGGAGTAACATAGGGAGAAGGTTGAGAATCTCAGGGATCAAACATTATTCTCATTCTTTAATTTTGTGTAAAAGTAAACCCTCTACCTGGGTTTCCCCTTGAGCCGGGTGGGCCTTGATTTCCTTTCTGGCCAGGGATGATTGCGCCAGGCAGGCCTGGTGGCCCTGGGAGTCCTGCTGTGCCTGTGGGTCCTTGAGGCCCTGCATCTCCCATGGACCCTTTCCTGCCAGGCGGGCCGGGCAAGCCGGGAGCTCCCCTGTCTCCTTTGGCCCCTGCAGAGGAGAAGGCTCAGTTTTGAAAATGTTCCTACAGTTTAATCATGTAGACATTTTTTTAAAGACGTTGGTAAGTGAAATCTAGGTCTATAGGAATTGAGTTCAGACTCAGCTCACCCTCCAACTGGCCATTTGATGTTAGCAAAATCATTTCTCTATTATCCCTCTCTGTTGTCCTATTTTAAAAATGCAGGTAATACCTGTCCCAGTTCAGTTTTTTTAAGGTACAGTGAGATAATATGAGTATATTGATGAAAATTCTGAAGTGTTATGAACTCTGATGCATTACTTAAATGCAAGCTGCAAGTATTAATATCTGATGAACTTTAATTATAATGACATGATTTAGTTCACCTACAATTCAGTGGTGCATAAAAAGCTAAATTTGGTGGCACTGCTGTGTGCATCTGAAGTAATGTTGGACTAAACCTAGACAAAAAAGCAACAAAGTTGCCACCCTTATCCTGTCCTCTGGGTAATTCTCTCCCACGATGTCTCTGGGAGAGACAAATGGGGTTGAAGGTTTGGACTTGCCACAGAAGACCCCAAAGAGGCTATAACTTAATACTAATATTTTTCATTTCAGAAACCTTCAAAGATGCTTTGACATTCATGAAGGAAAAACATTATGTGACTTGAAAATATCTCTCTCTTCTCTCTCCTTTCTCTTTATTATTCTAGAAACAGCAAGTGGCAGGGATGAGGGCGAGGCTGGTGGTTCAGGGGAAGGACTTGGGACATCATGTGGTAAAGATTTAGAGGGATGAAGAAGATAAGATGGGTGGACACTAAATCTCTAGCCCTGTGTCTACCCACATTGCATGGATGTGCTCTTTGACCAGTGTTGAGATGACCTTAGCTCACATCAGGTTCTGGAGTGTTGTCTTTGAATGGCAATGACGAGAAGTTCAGAGGTGTCTTGGATGGTACATTCCATGTTCATTAACATGATTGCTTGTTCTGCAATATGATTTATTTTTAGGGTTTGGGAGAACTAATGAACTCTTCTCTTTATTTCTTATCCTAGAGCAATTGAAGCATGTAAGTATTTACCTATGTAATTAGGCTATTGGTTATTATTATTATTATTATTTTTTTTTTTGACAGGCAGAGTGGATAGTGAGAGAGAACAGAGAGAAAGGTCTTCCTTTGCCATTGGTTCACCCTCCAATGGCCGCTGCGGCTGGCGCATCACACTGATCCGAAGCCAGGAGCCAGGTACTGATCCTGGTCTCCCATGGGGTGCAGGGCCCAAGCACCTGGGCCATCCTCCACTGCACTCCCAGGCCATAGCAGAGAGCTGGCCTGGAAGAGGGGCAACTGGGACAGAATCTGGCACCCCAACCGGGACTAGAACCCAGTGTGCTGGCGCCTCAAGGCAGAGGATTAGCCTATTGAGCCGCGGCGCCGGCCGCTATTGGTTATTTTTGAGGCTTTTTTTAACCTTAGGTATGATCCTCTTTTTATCAAAGTTGATTTCCAAATAAATGCTAACATGTTCTTACACCAAGAGATTTAATGGTGAGCTTAACCAATGAATATGAGCCAAAAGAGACTCTCCTTTTGACCACAATTTTAAAACTAGATCTTGGATCAGGAAAAGGTTTCATGCTGATGAGGGGAACGAAGGGCTTGGGAGACATGGAAACACTGAGCTCAACCAGAAAGACACTTGGATCATCGAGAAACAAATGGAGAGGCCAGCGCTGTGGTGTAGCAGGTAAAGCCGTCGCCTGCAAAGCTGGCATCCCATGTGGGCACCAGTTCGAGACCTGGCTTCTGCTCTTCCAATGGAGCTCTCTGCTATGGCCTGGGAAAGTGTAGAGGATGGCCCAAATGCTTGGGTTCCCTGCACCTGCATGGAAGACCCTGAAGAAGCTTCTGGCTCCTGGTTTCGGATCAGCCCAGCTCCAGCCATTGCAGCCATTTGAGGAGTGACCCAGTGGATGGAAGATTCTCTCTCCTTTTCTCTCCCCACCCCCATGCCTATGCCTATGCCTATGCCTATGCCTATCCCTCTCAGTAACTCTGCCTTTTAAATAAAAGTAAATCTTAAGAAAATGGAAAAGAAAATTCCTGTCTACTTTTGTCCTCTATGTCTTAGGAAAGATACAGCCCCTGTCCACATCAGTTTCCCAGTAGCATCAGGCTACTCTTTGCTGGTTCCCATCAGGATCAGTAATTATAGGTGTTCACTGGATTGAGACCTCTTCGTGTATAAAATACTCCTCCCCAGAGGACCCATAGCTGAAAAGGCTCAATAAAAAGGCATATTTCTTCTGGCAGGTTTCTTGACAAAATGGAAGCTATGAAGAAGCCGCTCATCTTGCAAAACACTGGCATGAGAAATCCAGAGCTGCTGTCTGTTCAACAACAAAAACTCACATATAGCTCAAATAATATGTTCAGCGAATTGCCATGTCTGAGATGTTAAGTTACTGGGTAACTCTTAATAAGAGCATGGACCACAAGCTCAGTCTGGGAGTGGGGTTAAGAACTATGAAGATAACAAGGTGGGCAAGGACTGGTATATATCAGGATAGTAGGGAGGGACACTCATGGGGAAGCCACCAATTCCACCTTCTTCCTTAGAGATGATGCACTTAAACCATGCTGACAACAAGTAAGCAAACATATGACAATTATTTTTTAAAATTGTCATAGAAGGAAATCCCCAAATTAGATCACAGTTTCTTGTTAGTTCCCTTTGTTGTGATTATAATAATTAAACATTTTATAGCAAATATTAAGACTATAAACACATTATCATTGGGACTTCTTGAATTCACTTGGTTCAGTTCATGTTATATATCAAGCATGTTAGACTGGATTCTGTCCTTGGAAATCTGAATCACTGACTCACAGAAGAAAAACTGCTTACCTTTAGCACCAGGGTGTCCTCTTGGGCCTGGATGGGCTCCCAGCAAACCTGAACAAGATAATTTTGGCATATTCATATTTGGTTAATTTTATATCATGCATATCATATACAATCATACACCTAGCCCATGTTAAAGGTAGTCAGTTCTATTAGAGAAGAATTTCTAGAGTAATAAATGATTATAATGTCATTAATCATTCTATCCAAAATAAAGTCAGTGATCAGAGACCAAGGGCAGGTTGTACCTGTTTCTCCTTTTTCTCCAGGTGGACCAGGAATTCCATCATGCCCTTGGTTGCCTCTCATACCCACTGGCCCAGGAGATCCTGGGAATCCTGGAAGGCCTGAACAAACAAAAACCAAAATTAAAACCACAGCATTCAAATAGAAGACTTATTTCTTACTGGTGGAATCTCGGTAAAGGTGCTGAGTTTTCAGAACTTCAGTTCTGCCAAGCTAACATTGAGAAAAATTGCACACCTGAATATGATAATAAGAGTTCTTACTTTGGTCCATTTAGACTGGCAGATATTTGAATTAGATGGGTAGACATATTTAAGCATGCTTTTCTGCATTTTTGTCTTGGTCCTGAGTAACTGGGAGCTGTCTATGGAGCAGTGAGTGCACAGAGATTCTAACCTCAGGAGGAAGGGTTCCTTGTCATGAAAAGGAGTTAGAACAAATGCAAGAATGAAACCTGGAGGGCCTTTTATTCCTGGGTGTCCAGGGAAGCCTTTGATTCCTTTAGACCCCATCTCACCATCAGGACCCGGCATTCCTAGAAATGAAGAGAGAGGCTAAGGAAAAAGGACACCGGAAAACGAATGATTACAACAGTGGCTGCAATAGTTCCTCCAGTCTCTCTGTGCTAAGCTGGCCTTAGGAGGCCCACCACCCCAGGCTTTTGTCCTGAATGCTCTTTCCCCAGGGAACCACACAGATGTGTCCAGCTGTTTTCAGACCTTTGTGACCATTAGCCACATGGGCCACTCAACAGACAACCTGTTGTTTTAATGAGGAGTTACTGCAAATCTGTTGGGCCTTTCAGTGTATTGAGCAGATTGCTTAGGTATTAAGACCCAAAGCTGCAACTCAATAGCCTGGCAGGTGTTTTTAATAAAACAAAATAAAGAAAAAAAATAAGCCTGAATAAACGGATCATTAAGTTAAAATAAGGTCAGTAGTGTGGGCTCCAATCCAATGCAACTGATGTCTTTAGAAGAAATTAGGACACAAACACACAGAGGGAAGATTCAGAGAGAGCTCAGCCACCTATCACAAGGAGAGAGGTTTCAGAAATAACTAAGCCTGCCAACTCCTTGATCCCAGATTTCCAGCCACCAGTACTGCGAGATGATAAACTGGTTAAGCTTTGATACTTATCTTGGAAGCTTCCGCAAAGTAATACAAACACAAGGATGTACAATGAGCTAACATTTCATGGCTCTAGGCCGAATTTGTTGAGGCAGCACTGCAGGAGTTGTGCTAAGTGGAGCAGATTTTTAGACTTCAGTCCACCCATTAGGCTGCTCTTGATTAACTCACTGTTTCTTAGTGTCTTGATTTGAAGCTCACAGTCGAATGAAAACAATGGAGCATGAAGCCTTAAATAACTTTGTGCTTACTATCATGATTCCAGGAGGTGAGGGTCACACCACACCTAACTCTTCGGGGTTTCAGAATTGTAAAGCCAAGGCTCACCTGGAAGGCCAGGGCTTCCGGGACTCCCGGGGACTCCTGCAGGTCCAGCAGGCCCTGAATGTCCGGGTGGGCCAGGTGGCCCTCTTTCTCCTTTCTTTCCCACATCTCCTGGCAGTCCTGGATCCCCCTTAAAGTCAGTCAAACACCTTTAAAATTCTCATATAAGCAGGATATGTGGTTAGAATTACGTATAAACTGTATGTATGTGCTCATCAGTCCATATTCAGTGTCTGCTCTGTGCCAGTACCATGATAGAAGCTGGGAACAGGTTGACCACATGGTTTTGGGGGGACCCAGTACAAAATGAAAATGAAACTGTCTCTTTAAAACAATTTTTACAAAATTTCAGGACAGCAACAGCAGAGCATGAAGCCAAGCGTGGGGGTCCTTCTTAGCCCGGGACCTCAGGGACTTCACCAGTTGCATAGCCATGGAGCTGCCACCTGCCAGGAAGTAACAGGAACCCTATGCTGCCCAAATCTGTGACACATTAAGCCTCTGCCCTGCCAGAGCTTCAGAGACCAGTGGGGAGATAGACAGTAAATCATCACACAAATGTATAATTACAAAGTGTGATGACTGGGGGTGGGAAACAGACCAAATGGTTCCTACAAATGCTGTGCATGCAGAAAATTGTATGTCATCCACAATGTTCTAATATTTACAAAGTCTGTACTTCAGTTTTATGATAAACTGGAACATATGGGTTTAATGGTGACTTAAAAATGTCCACAGCAGCTGATTAAAATGTACTACTCTGTGACTCTGATTTGCTGACATGAAAAAAACTCAGCTCATTTTGTGTTCGATGTACAGTTTTTAAAAAGTTCTTCTGGTGGTTACCTATGAAAGTCCTAAATCTCAATGAAACTGTTAATCAGTTGAATTGTAATCAATTGTAATTGAATCAATTTAATGTAATCCAAGTAAAATAGGTCAAAGTAATATGTCAAAATAGAAAAAAATGTAAGTCAAAATATCTCTTTGGATGGGTCTGGTTTTCACGTCGTTGCCTAAGTACAAAGGGCAAAGAAAAATTGCCTGTGCTTTTAAGCATTACAGAATTGCTTTCTTGGGTCTGCTGTGTGGCATCAAAACTTTTTCTTTCTTGTTTTAATAATTGCTAGTGGAGAATGTGGTTGGTGGACATCTTCAGGAAATGTGGCACTTTATTAACTCAAAAGAGAGGGAGAAGTTTCCCTAAGTAACAATTTTTATGTATTGGAGCTCCATGTTCTTGAAAATCTGATGAAGAATACTCTTCCCCTATAAAAACTTGCATTATGCATTTTACATTTAATTTCAGGAGATTAGTGGGTTTCTCTTACAGACCCATGGAATCCTACTCATGAGAATTTCTGTTAATTATTCTATAGTGATCTAGCTTTAGTTCTTCGTATAACTGCTATATACAGAAAGATTATAAGGAAATAAACCCAAAAATGCTACCAAATCCCCCTGAGATATTTGGTTGTTGCTTCTTACAACACACTAGCTAGGGCTATGGCATCCAAACTCAACTGGACAGCACTGGAACTGAGAACATTGTGACAAGACAAAAATATTCCGTGTAATGGAATAGAAATACTTGGCATTCTAGAACAATTAAGAAAGACACAACTATGTATTTTAGGGTTTCGTTTGTTTTTTAATGATGCTCAGAGGTTATTTTATTTACTTACTGTATCTTAATAAGACAAGCGTTTTGGATTACAAAGTTTGGAAATTTCTTTTTGCAAATCTGTGCAAGAAAAGTCCATAACTAGTGTCTGTGCATCAAGAAAAAAGCCAAACAAACAAAACCAACAGTCAGCTGTCAGGTTGTGTGGGCCTGTAGTCGCCCCCTTCTGGCAGCACACTTAAATGGCAGGGATGGTGTGGGAAATTTCTTGGTAGCTCAGCCTCTCAGAAGTTGAAAGCTATGTGATGGGCATCCTCAAATGTGGAGACAGGAAAACATTCAAATAACTCCAAGAAAGAACAGTGATGTTTTAAATTTTCTCTTTCCACATCGAATTTAGGTCATTGTTGATATTTCAAGGGGTCCCCTCCAGCAACAAAACATGAATATTTCAGTAACCAATGTACCTTTGGTCCTGGTGGTCCTGGCCTTGTCCCTTCTGCATAACCTGGCTCTCCCTTATCTCCTTGAAGACCGCTAATACCTGGCAGGCCTGGTGTTCCAGCCAGACCTGGGAGTCCAAAAGTCCCCCTTTTTCCTTTAGAACCTGAAATTAGGAAAGATATCAGGTAAATAGATAAGCACTGGGAATCTTGAAGTTTCTACTTTTGGCCCCTGCACAAGCCATGTTTCTTCTAGGAAATTGGTATTTAAGGATCACAAATGTATCAGGAAGTTATACTGGATCATTTTTATATAACAAAAATGTTATTTTGTTCTCACTGATTTTCCATTTGTGCAAAGTGCTTTAGTCTAAAATCAAATCAAGTTATATTGCACAAAGTTTCAGCCAAACAGAAAACCAAAATTGCTGCACAAGTCCAGAAGTGTGACTTATCACCAGCTTGTGGCCTCCAAACAGGACCTTGTACATACCTGGCACGCCCATGTGCCCCATGGTTCCTGGCTCACCACGTGGCCCTGGCTCCCCAGGACTCCCAATGATTCCCAGATCTCCTTTGGGACCTTGGGGAAAAAAATTAGTCATACACCTTGCATAGTTCCTGGATAGAAGCAGTGCACAATAAAAATTTGTTGCTTGCATGAGTGAATGAATGCACCTGAGCTAGACCAGCTGGTATAGGCACTTGTGTGGCTGTCTGTGCCTTCAGGTAAGGAGAGGAACTGGAGACAGAGAGCATGCAACACTCTAGTTGACTCTTGTCAGCAAGACTGGGTTTCAAACAAAGTCACCCTAAAAGCAATGGTGGCAGGAAAGATGGGTTCCTGTGACCACATAGTAAGTTTCTAACTGCATATTGAAGCTTTAATGACGTGTGATTTATTTTGTTACTGAGGTGGTTATGGGGACTAGCAGGCTGCTTGAGCTGTCTGAAATATTACTTTGTAAATTCAATAATTTGTTTAAAAAAGAAAAGCCCCTAAAACACCTTCTAATTTGCATCTTTGATGTGATATTGTAATAAACTATTATTTAGAATCATATCAAAAATTTCAAAGTAAAACTATGACTCATTATATATAATACACACCTATATATTATATATATATTTATATTTATACATTTATATATATATAAAATACATGCCTTCATTTGGGTTTGATTTAGAAGTGAATCTCTGCTGAAGCAGCATTGGAGCAGAGTTCATAATCAACCCAGTATGTTTAGAAACAAGTTTTATTACATTCGGATCTAAGGAAACTTAAAACATGATATTTCTTTTGGAGACTCAGCAATACCTGGTGGTCCTGGTGGTCCAGGGGGCCCTTCAAGACCTTTTAGACCTGGTAACCCTGGGATGCCTCTGCTTCCTTTCTCTCCTGGATTTCCTGCAAGTCCTAAAGTTAAAAACCAGATATTAAAGATACAGATTGGAATTTTATTAGACTCTACACATCCTGGTTTAAACCAGGATATTGTGGTAACATAGCATAGGACATTTGTTAAAAGGATGGAAAGGTGAGGGCCTGTGTCTTTTTAGGATTAAATGAGATAGTATTTATAATGTATTAGCACAGTTCCTGGCAAGAGTTAGTCTTCAATGAACACTAGCAATTATAATATCTACACTTTAAAATAAAATAATATTGAGGCCAGCGCTGTGGCATAACAGATAAAGCCACTGCCTACAGTGTCAGCATCCCATATGGGCACCAGTTTGAGTCCTGGCTGCTCACTTCTGATCCAGCTCTCTGCTGTGGTCTGAGAGAGCAGTAGAAGATGGCCCAAATCCTTGGGCCCCTGCACCAGCATGGGAGACCCGGAAGAAGCTCCTGACTCCTGGCTTTGGATCAGCCCAGCTTCAGCTGTTGCTGCCATTTGGGGAATGAACCAGCAGATGGAAGACTTCTCTTTTTCTTTCTCTGCCTTTGCCTTTCTATAACTCTGCCTTTTGAATAAATAAATAAATCTTAAAAAAATAAAATAATATTTTAGGAATCAGTGGCCTAAATACCTTTTAAGCTTTTTTAGTGTAGACAGAGCATTAGGGATTGGTGCCATGGTGTAGAATGTAAAGTCGCCATCTCCAGTGCTAGCATCCTATAAGGGCACTAGTTTGAGTCCCAGCTGCTTTACTTCCAATCCAGCTCTTTGCTAATGACCTGGAAAAGCAGTGGAGGGTGGCCTAAGTGCTTGGACCCCTGATCCCACATGGGAGACCTGGAAAAAGTTCCTGGCTCCTGGCTTTGGATAGGTGCAGTTTCAGCCACTGCAGCCTATTTGGGGAGTGAACCAGTGGATGGAAGAGCTCGTTCTCTGTCTGTCTCTCTGTTTCTCTCTGTGTAACTCAGCCCTTCAAATAAATAAATATTTTTTTATGTTTCACTTGGATTTTTTATAGAAAGCTTTTATTTCATAAATATAAATTTCATAAGTACAGCTTTTGGATTATAGCAGTTCTTCCCCCCCATACCTGCCCTCCCACTCCCAAACCCAATAAATAAATCTTAAAAAAAGAGAGCATTATGGACTATGCTATTCCCATCTAAACTGTTCTGCTCTCAGCCCATTTATTAAAATGATAATTTATTATTAGGTAAGTCTAGCCTGACCTAGAGTCACACTCATCACTGATAGCACTGGGATTTGTACCACTTCTGCATGGTTTGAAAGCTCATACACCTCCCAGAACAGCTTTCTCCTTTCCCTAAAACATGGCTTTGACACTATTCTCTTGCTCATTGCTACTCACTGATCTCCATTACCTGCAGAGTAAATGATGAACTCCTCCGGCTGTGAAGCATTCCGCAACCTGTGTGTGGCCTGGTTTTGTGCCTTTTCTCAAGCAGACTCACTTCTCAAGGCTCTTTTCTTGTCCATGTATTTATTATTACGTACTTTTGAATATAATTAATACATAGGTCTTGTGCTGAGTACTGGACATATAAATAAATCTAATTCTTTTCCCCTAAGTTTTTAGTGTTTAGCTGAGGAGCAGCCAACTTAGCAAACAATTACCACCCAATTAGATAAGATCTGTAATACAGTTGGGTCCAATACACTACTGGGAAGAATTTCTGGAAAAACAATATTTTGTAGGTCATTCTTTAAAATCCTTTAATAAGATTTATTTGAAAGCCAGAGTGACAGAGAGTGATAGCAAGACAGAGAGAGAGAGAGAGAGAGAGAGAGAGAGAGAGGTAGAGGGAGAGAGAGAGAGAGAGAGAGAGAGATTCATCTGTTGGTTCATTCTCCCAATGGCCACAATAGCTGGGACTGGTCTAGTTCAAAGCTAGGAGCCCAGAGTTGAGTAGCAGTGGCCCAAACACTTAGGCCATCATTCACTGCCTTCCCAGGTGCATTAGCATGGGGCTTTATGAGAAGAGAAGCAACCATGACTTGAACCAGCGTTCTGATATGGGATGCCATCGCAAGCTGTGGTTTAATCTACTGCGCCACAACACTCTCCTCAGTAGCTCATTCCTGGAAACTGAATGAGGGATAATTGTGTGGAGAAAGCACTGGATTCCTGATAAGAAAATAGGAACTGGCTATGGTGCAGTGAGTGGGTTAAGCCATGACCTGCAGCCCCAGCACCCCATATGGGCACCAGTTCAAGTTCCAGAAACTCCACTTCTGATTGAGCTCCCTACTAATGGCCTGGGAAAGCAGCAAAAGATGGCCTGAGTTCCTGGGCTCCTGTCATCCATGTGGGAGACCTGGAAGAAGATCCTGGCCCAGGCCTGGTCATTACGGGACTGAACTAATGGATAGAAGATCTCTCTCTCTATCTCTCCTTCTCTCTTTTAACTCTTTCACAGAAATAAATAAATCTTTTTTTAAAAAAGAAGAAAATAGTCTGTGCACATGAGTGGTGGGTAGCAGGGGGGCCGATTATTGTGTATTTCCCATTTGTGTCATTTATTACAAACCAAAAATATAATTGTATATAGTTTAGAGTGTTCATTTGCTTAATTGTTTTTAGAGGCTGACAAAATACAGCCTTTGGACTCAATCTAGTTTGATTTCGTATGTGTTGAGAGCCCAGGGTTGTTTTGACAGTTTATTTTATTTTATTTTATTTTATTTTTTGACAGGCAGAGTGGACAGTGAGAGAGAGAGACAGAGAGAAAGGTCTTCCTTTGCCGTTGGTTCACTCTCCAATGGCCACTGCGGCCGGTGCGCTGCGGCCGGCGCACCACACTGATCCGAAGCCAGGAGCCAGGTGCTTCTCCTGGTCTCCCATGCAGATGCAGGGCCCAAGCACTTGGGCCATCCTCCACTGCACTCCTGGGCCATAGCAGAGAGCTGGCCTGGAAGAGGGGCAACCAGGACAGAATCCGGTGCCCCGACTGGGACTAGAACCCGGTGTGCTGGTGCCACAAGGCAGAGGATTAGCCTATTGAGCTGCGGCACCGGCCTGTTTTGACAGTTTAAAAGGGCTATTTTTAAAACAAAACGAAGACAAACAAAAGGGGCCAGCACTGTAGCATAGCAGGTAAAGCTGCTGCCTGCATTCTATATGGGTGCCGGCTTGAGTCCCCGCTGCTCCACTTCCGATCCAGCTCTCTGCTATGGCCTGGGAAAGAAGTAGGAGATGGCCCAAGCCCCTGTGCCCCTGCACCAGCATGGGAGACCTTGAAGAAGCTCCTGGCTCCTGGCTTTGGGTAGGCCCAGCTCCGGCCATTGCAGCCACTTGGGGAGGAACCAGTGGATGGAAGACCTCTCTCTCTCTCTTTGCCTCTACCTCTGCCTCTCTGTAACTCTGCCTTTCAAATAAATAAATATATGATTAAATCTTTTAAAAAAAGACAAAAGTCAAAGAAGAATAAGCAACAGGGGCCAAGGTCTAAGATATTTACTACTTGGTCTATACATAAAATGTTTATAGGTCCACTAATGTCTCTTTTCCTCACTAAACTACAGGCTTCACTGTGACCAGGAAGCAAAGTGTTTTGTTTGCCTCTGTGTATTCAGGACATAATAAAATGACTACGGTATTAAAAAATAATTGTTGACTACATGAATGTCACGTGGCTAGAGAGAAAGGCAAACAACAAACAGCAAAGCTACTTGTATGCCAGTCCAAGAAATCTGAATTGTTTTTGTTAGTAATCTTTATTTATTTTCATTTTTTAATTTATAAAGGTGTACATGCACATGAGCACACACATGCACACGTACAAATCTTCCAATCAGTGGTTCACTTCCCAAAAGCAAGGGTTGCGCCAGACCAAGGCCAGAGTTTAAGATTCAATCAAGGTTTCCCCCATGAGGAGCAGAGACCCAAAGACTTGAGTCACCACTGCTGCCTTCCAGGCCGTATTTTAGCAAGAAGCTGGAATCAGAAACAGAGGAGCTGGGACTTGAACCAGATACTCCAACATGAGATGTGAGTGTTCCAAGTAGCATCTTAACTACTGTACCAAATACCTTATCCAGACATTTGAATTCTTTTTTCTTTTATAATTTATTTAATTATTTGAATGTCAGAAATATAGAGAGAGACAGCAAGAGACAGACAGAGAGGTCTTCCATCCGCTGGTTCACTCCCCAGATGGCTGTAATGGTCAGGGCTAGGCCAGGTTGAAGCTAAGAGCAGGAGCTTCTTCCAGGTCTCATACATGGGTGGCAGGGGCCCAAGTACTTAGGCCATTTTCCACTGCTTTTCTCAGGACATTAGCAGGCAGCTGGATCAGAAGTGGAGCAGCAGGGACACAAACCAGTGCCCATATGGGATGTTGGCATCGCAGGCAGCGGCCTTACCCGCTACACAAAAATGTTGGCTCCAACATTTGAATTCTTAAGACAGAGGACTCTTGGAAAGATTTTGGGTCAAGAGTTTGGTTTGCTCATCTTAATCTTATGCACAGTTTATATTCTCTTTCATGAGGCTTTTCTGTCTGCCCTAGTCACTTTTATTTACTGCTTTTCTCAACTCATACAGGGCTCACTGTCGGGGTACCTGGCAGAACAAGGAGTCTAAACTTTGAAACCAAAGGTGTCAGTTTGAGGGCCATCTCTGCCACTTCCTATCAGACTGACACTGGGTAAGTAACAACTTTTCTACCGCCCATTTGTAAAACTGGATGACAGCAAGGAGAATTCCTCCTCCTAGGCTTATTATGAAGATTGATTGAGTCAATCTTTACTGATTTGTAAAACTTAGAACAGTACCATCACATGGCAAGTGCCACATGGGTCTTGTCTTTGTTAAAAAACAAAACAATACTAATTTGAACTTGTGTTATTCATTATCTTTTACACTTGCGCCTAAGAGTCCCATGCAGTGCCTTCCAGGAAAGAATAGTGACAGTGCTTATTGGTGCCCTTAGGATCTTGTGCTCATTACAGCAGATGTCTTTGAAGTAGAGATTCAGATTTTTTTTACAATGCCCATATTGAAATCATACAGGACTAGGTAATATGACTTTTCAATCTGTGCTCCGTGGTGATGCATTGAAAAAGCTATATGCGTACAAAGGAACTGCTGTGATGCATACCGTACTTCAAGTGAGACAAAGTTTTGATAGAAGCCTAGAAACAGCTTGTGTCCCTCTATACAAGGGAAATTCTTCAATTTTCAGTGAGTACCCATTGTACATTTATGCCTGCAGATCCACACTTGGGTGTATGCTGTTCGTGTATTTTTTTCCGAAATGCTTCCGCATTCTGTTAGTCACCCACAATAGCCTGGGAAGTGGTGTCTGCAGACAGTTTATGAGGATAGGAGATTTGTGCCAGGATGTCTTCGTATCTTGCCTTAGACAGTTCTAGCAGAATTCTGTAAAATTCACATTACTTTCATTTCATTGCTAAAGATAGAACAAATCTTTTGTGTGCATTAGAACTGTCTTTTCCAACCAGATTAATGAGGGCTATCTAAAAGGCTTTTAGTTCCCGATTCCTTTTTATTCCCTTTTATGCAAAAACATACTTCTCACAAGTCAGTTATTTCCAATGATTTCCCATTTTTTCAGTTGATAAATTTGTTGGATTACATCACTTTTCAGAACTCTTGCCACTGCTGTTGAAGCTTTCCTAACTCCCCCAAACCAGTTATTCCATTTCTTTAGGGTGTTCTACAGCACCCTGTGCAGGATTTTAAAAGCAAATCTTCACTTGAACCCAAATTCTTCAGGGGCCGAGCACAGAAGTGTCTATTGGATGCAATCTCACTTCTAAGAATTCATGAGAAATCTCTCAGAATATGATCTGGTTTTGCTACTGCAAAGACATTTTCTTTTACTCCATTGATGCTATGCTTTAGTTCTTCCCCCTGCTATGAAAGAGTGATCTTCAAAGATAACATTTTATCCAGCAACTCTGTTTTTCTAAAGTTACTGGGACTTAAATCTGGGTAAGGAAACTTGAGGGAGGCCTTTTTAAAATGCGTTTTTGATTGTATTGATCATCTGACAAAAACTTCCAACAAAAGAGCTCAAATAATATGAGTGGGTTTGACTTTTAGCCCATTAACCACATCTTGCAATGGACAGAATTTATAAAGGGTAAATTTTCTTTAAAGCATACTATACTTTCTTTTTAGTAATTATTCTCCAAAGGATTTTTAGGCACAGGAAGTAATTTTTAGATGCAACTAGAAAAATTTATTCTGGCAGATGACAGAGTAAAGTAAATTTTGGGGTAGAATTTTTAATTTCAGCCAGAAAAGTTTTTCAATGTGGAATTCTCTAAGAGTTTCCCATGCTTGGCAAAAAGAAGGTTTTAAGACTTCTCATTTAAAAATAGACTAGTGACAAAATGCAGAACTAACTTAGAAGCAAAAAATTATACATTAAGCAGGCAAATCACTATGGGAGGCAAACTAAGACTCAATTCTAGTTCATGTTCAGCCCTCAACTGCTGGGTAGCTTGGACAGGCAGCACAACATGGCCCTCGTGGTCCTCATCTGTCAGCAAAAGAGATTAGTCTGGATAATTTCTTTTTTTTTAAGATTTATTTATTATTTACTTGAAAGAGTTACACACAGAGAGGAGGAAAGGCAGAGAGAGAGAGAGAAAAACACACAGGCAGAGAGAGAGAAACACAGAGAGAGAAACAGAGAGAGAGAGACAGAGAGGTCTTCCATCTGCTGGTTCACTCCCCAGATGGCTACAACGGCTGGAGCTGTGCCAATTGGAAGCCAGGAGCTAGGAGCTTCCTCCGGGTCTCTCACGCAGGTGCAGGGGCCCAAGGACTTGGACCATCTTCTACTGCTTTCTCTGGCCATAGCAGAAGCTGAATCAGAAGTGCAGCAGGGCCGGCACAGTGGCTCATTTGGCTAATCCTCCGCCTGTGGCACCAGCATTCCATATGGGTGCCGGGTTCTAGTCCCAGCTGCTCCTTTTCCAATCCAGCTCTCTGCTGTGGCCTGGGAAGGCAGTGGAGGATGGCCTAGGTGATTGGGCACCTGCACCTGCATGGGAGACTCTCCTGGGAGACCAGGAGGAAACACCTGGCCCCTGGCTTCGGATCGGCGCAGCTCCAGCCTTAGCGGCTATTTGGGGGATGAACCAATGGAAGGAAGATCTTTCTCTCTGTCTCTCTCACTGTCTAACTCTACCTGTCAAATAAGTAAAGAAAAAAAAAGTGGAGCAGCCAGGACTTGAACTGGCGCCCATATGGGATGCCAACTCTGCAGGCGATGGCGGCTTTACCCACTATGCCACAGCACCGGCCCCTGGATAATTTCTTAGTTCTGATTCTAAACATAAGAAATTCTTTACCTTTAGGCCCCGGTTCTCCTTTGTCCCCCTTAACCTGAATTAATCGTGCAGGTCCAGGATTTCCTCTGTCCCCTCGTTCCCCTTCGTCTCCTGGGGGCCCTCTCTGGCCCTTTACTCCTGGGATTCCAAGGCTGCCTAGCAGACAGGAGAAACAACATCAAACCCCTCGCTCTTTAAGCAGGTTCTGGGCATTCGAAAGTGAACAGGGCTCACACGAAAACAGAACAAAGCCAACAAACAAAAAAACAGGTATCTGGCTGAGAATTCAATAAGTCATTGGTGGGATTAGGCCAGCAGTGATAATAGAGGGTTCCATTGAAACAGGGAGAAGTAATAGAGAAAAACAGAAAAATCACACATGTTGTTCTTACAGAGCTATTTTTCCCCCAAAGAATGAAATGCGATTTATCTTGCTGTAAAAGAAATGCACACGCCCGTGCCTTGTGATCCCTGGAAAGACAAGGCTCTGCAGCACTTACCCCTCCGCCCAGGGTAGCCGGGGCTCCCAGGAAGCCCAGGAGGGCCTGTGGTTCCAGGATAGCCCATCATCCCCATCTTTCCCCTTTCACCTGTGGAGACACAGGGACAGAAAGCAGCACAGGTATAGAATGAGAAAAACAAACTACTCCATAAGAAGAAGGACATTTGTATACAGAAATTGGTAGTTGAACCACAGGTTGGTGAATAGAAAGATAACTATGTTTGTTAGGAAATGGATCAGTATATGATCTTTTTTTTTAAACCTCTTTTCTATGTGGAAATCATTGGCAGCAAAATAACTTTGATGGATGAGAACAGAGAATGCTGACATTTTGGAGAATTCCATCTTCCCACTCCCTTACCAACAGTTTCCTGTTACAAGTATATCCCTTATTTTATTTTCTTCATTGCACTTGTACACTTGTATCTAGTTGAGCGTAGCTGTTAATTACAGTTACTATTGCTCCCCTAACAAAGGCAGGGAGTCTTATCTCTGGTGCTTAGAATGGTGCTGGCACGTGGCAGTGACACGGAAATATGAACAAAAGGATAATCTGTCAATCAAGTTGCTAATCTGGGCTCTTCTGGAGGGGGCATCAAATGAGGTCCTTATGCCATGAGGACTCTGTTGGGATATTCTTTCCCAACATCTATGCTATAAAAATAGCCATGAAGTAAAAAGGATTATAAACATCTCTATGGCAAAAAGGATGTAACATAGACAAAATGGGCAGATTCCTTTTAGGAAACATACATTTACTAAAAGTGACTCAAAAATAAGTAGAAAATCTGAATCCATCTCTAGGAAGTGAAGAGATGGAGTCATAATTTGGAGACTTCCCACAAAGAAATGCCCAGATCCAGAAGGCTTTAGGGGTGAATTCCACCAAATGTTTACAGAATAGAAATTCTTCCCAAGCTCTTCTAGAAAATACCACAGGAGGGAACACTTTAGCAGTCTGAACTGATCTGTTAATGCCAGCATTACTCTAATACCAAAAAGGATCACACAGCACAATTAGTCATATCCTGGGTAATTGTGGAATGAGGTCATCCTGCCACCAACATTTTACCACCCTCTTGCTCCTGGTCCCTTATAAATCATTCAAAAGGGAAAAATTATACAAATTGAAAGCAAAGCACAAAGCCTAGAGCCTATGCCTATGCACAGTTTACATTGCCACCTTGATAGGAAACTGTGGCAGAAGATAGAAGGAGGAAATGAGAGCATGCGAAAGGATACCTGGTGGCCCTGAGAATCCTGGATTCCCTGGATATCCTTTTGGACCAGGTGGTCCCACTTCACCTCCATGACCTGGCATTCCAGGTGGTCCTGGTTCCCCAGGAAATCCTGGTCTATCCAGGCCTGGAATCCCTGGGTCTCCTTTTGGGCCTGTTTCGCCTCTTCTGCCTAAATATGAATGAATGAATGTGTGATTGAATGAGTTAACATACAAGTTCTTCCCCCTACTCCAGAAATACTTTATGGCTTTAAATATTTAGCTGCGTGCTTTTGGGTAAACCACATTTGTTAATGTATTTATGTGGTTATTTTTTTCTAATGTCCTCCTCCACAAAATTTCTCAGATCCCTTCTGGCTCTAATACTGTCTGTTTCTGCGGTTCACGTAGTAATAACAGTGTTAAGATTTATGTCTATTTCTTAGTCCTGAGGCACATTCTAGGACTACCTTCATGGCTGGCTCAGTCTTTAGCCTGCAGGAGGTTTACAGAGTCACCCTTGTGGAGGTGAGCCACCAGATGCTTCTGGAAACAATAATACCATCACTATGACAATAAAGGTCTTGGCTAAAATTTTACTTGTGAACACATAAGCTGTATGGCAAGTAAGAGACATTAGCTGAATTCTAAACACTTTTTTCCACAGATGGTCCACCAAATCTGATGGAGAAGAGACAAAAAGTGGACATCCAGGTTGCACCATTCAGATTTATTTTCATTTATTTTGTCTGTAAAGCAATCAACTACGTATTTTTGTTTATAACATGTTAAACTGGCATCTTTAAATACATCTACTCTATTTTAATAAGAATTTACTACTTTTATATCTTATGGAAGTATTAAAATAAAACCTCTAGAGTGTATATATGCACAAGCAAATGTAAATGCACTATCTAATCAATCTCCAGTGTTCAGACTGATATGCGTGTGTCACAATCCAACTCACTACATTAACTTCGGGTCTCTTCCTCTGAAGGCACTGCACACTGCTGGGTGGCACAAATCTATGGTGGCCAGGTTTCTATTTATGGTATGACATTTCTCACTGAGCAGTGTTCAGCATTTGTTACTGGACAGTTCCCACGTTAAGCAGCAAAGCACACACCAGGAGTCTCTGGTTGCCTGCCCAACTGGTAACTATGACTGGTTTCAGAATCTTCTCCTACCTGGCTGTCCCATCAGTCCATTTAAGCCTGGAAGACCCTGGGCTCCCCTGGGACCCTGAAAGCACCTTCCTGGTAATCCTGTTTCTCCAGGTGGTCCAGGCTGCCCTGGATCTCCTGCAAGAGAGAGAGAGAGAGAGAGAGAGAGAGAGAGAGAGAGTCCAAGAGTATATTCAGGTGCCAAAACCCAAGGTCCAAGTATTGCTATCCCAGTCATTCTTCTATGACTCCTTTCCCCCATTAAATTGGACCTATACATAATATACCTTTCATAGAGTACTCTCACGAAAAAGGAAAGGGAAGGGGAGGGGAGGGAGGGAGGGGAGGGGAGGGGAGGGGAGGGGAGGGAAGGGAAGGGAAGGGAAGGGAAGGGAAGGGAAGGGAAAGAAGGGAAGGAGGGAGGGAGGGAGGAAGGGCAGCTAAGTTGAATGGGAAAACAATTAGGCCCCACAGATCCTATTTCTTGAGCTAGAATTTTATTTGACAAGAATTCTTCATCAATAGAGCACCTATACACTCAGTTTACTGAATTTTAGCCCAGCTCACAGTGGAGAAAAGTAATCACACTTGCTATTGTACCTCGTGGTCCATCAAGCCCTTCTTTTCCTGGAATTCCAGGGCGACCTGGAAGTCCAGGGAGTCCGATTTCTCCATATTCCCCAGAATTGCCTCTTTCTCCTGGAAAACCTTGTTTTCCTGGTTCTCCAGGCATGGCTAGAGCTGGTTCTCCCTATAGCACAGAAATGATGTTAGTTTTGCTATAGAATGCTTCCCGATCCTCACTGATACTGGCTAGTCTCTAAGCTATTTCCTTGTGGAGACACTGAGTCCCTCCTGCACAGCCAGCACCCCTGGAACAATTTTCCCTTTTGAGTTACAGTTGCTGATTTTTCTGTAATGTTATGCTCTGTAGTGCTTCAGGATATGTAGCCTCCGCTTTTTTTTTTTTTTTCAGAAGACTGAGGAACTGTCTGTGAGCTGAACACTCTAGATATCTTTACTTTTGCAAACTTCTGTCATAGTTTACCCACAATTCTTTATATAGAGTTCTCCCATTCTTAAATACTCCGAACGTTTAGGAGACCATCAAGGAAGAAATAGAGATGCAAAGTTGCCTTGTAACATCTTCTATTTTCCTTTTTAAAAGGGAGGATGGTCCAGAGAAACTTTTTAAAAATTTTCATATCAAAAAGATTTCAAATCATCATCATCTACAAATCTGTTTCTCATTTCCACACTCAGAGAGAGAGAGAGAATCCTGCCTGGGAGAGGGGCATCCCAACTGGTCTACTGTGGTCATCCTCTTCCCTATGTAAGTTTGAGTTTTAAAAATTGCAGACCTTGGCTCCTGGGAGGCCTGGCTTTCCAGGTATCCCTGGCTTTCCCATTTCTCCAGGACACCCTGGTGAACCCTTTGTCCCTGGAAAACCTTGGTCTCCTGCAGAAGAAGGAAAAACAATCAATGCTCTAGGATTTGTCTTACTGAAAGATTCTGAGCAGTACCGCTCTTCTTTTAATCTAATATTTTTATATGGAAATAACTAGAGATATTTTCATGAAAGTTTGAATGATGAGAAGACCAAGAGATAAATTAGTACTTAGAAATGTTCAAATCAGATTATGTTAGTTTCCAATGAAAATAAAACTTTCTCCATTTTATTGTTAAGTAGGGCTACAATTTTGATTCATCAACTCTTCAAACCACTGACGCTGGTTGATCATATGACTGACTAACTTTTTATGTAAAAGCATTTCTGTTTAGTGCACAGCTGAATGGATTTTTCTGTTAATCTATATCCATGCAAGCCTGACTCAGATCAAGGTATAGAGCTACTCCAGAGCCCTAGGTAGCCTTTTCAACATGGGCTATTCAGGAGAATTAAATCTTCATGCACTGTAGTGTCTGTACTTCACAATGCATTAACTTCTTATACATTTATAATAAAATTGAGAAAGGAGGCCCACACTTCAGTGTCTTGGTTCTGTGATTCAGAAAGCGAAGTAAGGCTGCCTTCAGAGAGTTCCTTCAGGCCCCTAATGTGGACAATGTTTAATTCACAGCTAGTTGATTCAATGGGTTCAACTGTACAATTGTAAATTGTAAATCTTCAATTTCAAGGAGATCTTGGGCTGGTTCTGGTCCCCACAGTTTACAGTCTTCTTCCAGAAAGTAAATCCACAGAGCTACAGAACCAGGAGGCAATTTGTTTATGCAGAGTCCGAGAAGGAGAAGGAAAAATGTGGGGTAAGCGTCAACACATCATAAATCATTAGGAAGAAACTCACAAAATTGGAGTCAAAGCCTCCTTGGGACTACATGATAAATGTGATTAGATTTTCCATTTTGACATCTATATGTTGAAATTAACAGGCTGGTATTTGGGCAGAATTGATATATAATAAACATTGATGACATGTTAATCATTGAGGCAAAATCCCCAAAATGAATTATATCTTGACAAACATCTTAAATAATATTGAAACAAACATGAAATGATCATAAAAGTTGCAGTTCTACAGGACAATCCAGGGACTGAGGTCACTTTGTTGTCAGCAGGGACAGAATTTGGAAGACCTCATCAGTGGAGAGCCTTAGCTTGCTGTTGGAGCTCTCAGCATCTGGATTGCTTCTTTGGGAGTGTTTTTCCTTTAATGGGAAAAATCATTTTCTTTTTAAAGGAAAATAACTTGTAATTTATTTTGGTGTATATAGGGAAACCTGCTATTTGTGAATTAATGGTGCCTTTCTTATTTAAAAAGTAAATGTATAAACTGGAGAAATGTATGAATATAAAAATATGGTTGTTAACAAGTAAAGAAAACATCCTCATATTACCATAATCAAGAAGAATCATTACCATCTTGCTGAATTTCCTTCCAGCTTTTTTCTATGCATTTTAAAAAACGTGATTGAGGTGAGAACGCATAAATCATTGGGAATTCTGCCTTTTCACCTGGGATTACTGGAAGATTTTCTGCCTATTTCAGACTCTTTACAAGATGTCATTTTAAAGGCTGTTATGGATGTCGCCTATTTTATTCACTATTCATATTTCCTGTCTTTTTGCCATATTTATAATGAACCTCATGTTTTTAAACATTTAAATGTACCTTTAGGTCCAGGAGGCCCAGGAAATCCAATTCCTGGAATCCCTGGTTCACCATCAGGTCCAGGAAGACCAGGGTCAGCACATCTGCCCTTCAGTCCAGGGACACCTTTAAAACACATACAAACACACACACACACACACACACCAGTGAGTAACTTTTTCACCTTGTCTTTAAAAAATGTCTAAATTCTCTGTGTCATCCCCGTCTTTTGTGGAAATTAAGACATAATTTCAATATAACCTCAATTGTATGTTATATATATAGAACTGTATGTCATATATATATATATATATATATATCTCCCAACCATATCCATAGATTAATCATTAGAAGCTGCAAAGAATTTAAAAGAAAATTTAATTCCTAAAAAGAAATATTCCAGATATCTTGAACTAAGCAAGTCTCCCTCCATGCATGCAAAATTAAATTTTAGATAATTGGCAAAGAAAAATGCTGTGAAAAATCATCCTGGAAAATCATCACACTGGCAAACAGCCTGCTCCCCACCAAGACCCATGAAGATGGCTCTTCTCTACAATTCTTAAAAAATTTTATCAGTGCTCTTTTGGAGCTTTTATATCAGAAGCACCAATAGGAGTAATTCAGATAACTTCAGAGGACAAAAGCAAGACCCCTGCCTGCTTGTTTATTATCTGATGACAGCCAAACAATATATATATTTCCTTGTAATGGGGGGAGTGTTTTTCTGGGAGAGTCAGGTGCTATCTGCTGGCAAGGCCCAGACTTGGCCAAGGGGATACTCACCAGGTGGACCTTGGGGGCCAGCACGGCCAGGGGGCCCTGGAGGTCCAGGAGGGCCTGGGACTGCTGTTGAAACACTGGGTTCCCCCTTAGGACCTTAAGAAAAGTTGAGATAATAAGAGAGGGGTGCATATTGAAGCTTTTCTTGAATAACAGAAAATTATGATTACAACAGGTTTACAAACATACCCCCAAAAATAACAAATAGTCTCTGATTCTACAGACAACTAGCTTAAGGATGACCAGCCCATAGAAACTTTCATAATAAATCCACAAATACTTATAGGCATCTCTGATTGTCTAAGCCTTGTTTTAATGAATAGCTCAACCTGCTGGTCTATTGAAAGAGAGCTTAGTTTAAAAAAAGATAGGATTACTCATAAGACTTTTTTTTATTGAATGACCAGTTTTCATGGGAAGGCAGCATGGTATTTGAACAAACAGCAAGTTTGACCTGGGCTGACCTGGTTTTGAATCTTGGCCCTGATGTATATAAGATTTGTGAGCTTGGGCAGATATCTTAACCTCTCTGATATAAGTTCCTCACCTATCAGCAGAGAAATAAGTCCTGCCTAGAAAGTAAGGATTCAAGGTAGTGTCCTAATCACAGTGGCCAACATTCAAAATGTGTTATTGCTTAAGGTTATCCATATAATTATATGCTTACAGAAAAACAGGTTTACAGTGTATCATGGGAAAATTTTGATAAAATATTCTACAACAATGAGCTCCTTCGCTAAAGAATCACATTTAGAAAGAACAGAAGAAGGTTTGATGATGCATTGGAATAGAGGTCAGGACAAGTTTTATGTTAAGGGCCAGGTAGTAAATAATTTAGACTCTGGTTCAAATCTTCATTGCAACTACTCAACTCTGCTACTGTAGCATGAAAGCAGCCAGAGAAAATACCTACATGAATAGGTGTGACTGTATTTCTGTAAACTTTATTATGATATCTAAATTTTATTTAATTCACACATCACAAAATACTATGAAAAAATGTTGTCATTTAAAAATGCAAATACCATTCTTAGATTGTGGGCCATACAAAAACAAGTGATGGGCTGGATTTAGACGGCAGAACACCATAGTACTACTAATTTCTCAATCAGAACAGCAATATTCAGATTGAGGGGGAGACAAAAAATAAATGGGTATAAGTAGGTATCATATGCAATATCTTTAGCATGAAGTAGAGCTGTACCTACATATGTGAACAAAAATGATGTGTGCAATCTAGAATGACTATGAATACTATAGGTACTATGAAAGTGTTCACAGAAAAGGTTTTACACTGAAAGATGAGTTAGACTACGGGCTTATTGTGTTTTTCTCTTTAAAGTAATGTTGGAAGTAAAACATAACCCTGGTAGCACTATTTGTTTAAAACCAGCATTGAATTTTATTCTTCTCTTCCCCTCACATTCTTGGCCACAGGCAAACATTAAAGAACTAATTTGTCCTGAATACAGAACTACAATCAAACCCAAAGTTACCTGGGTTTTAAAATTATTACCAAACCACCTTTCTTCATTTATCCTAGACATTTTGAAGTTTTATTTATAACTTGCCTATTGAGCATCAAGAAGAAATTTGAAACCAATGTTAGTGAGCCCTTGAGGCCTGGAAGAGACTGGTTAAAATAAGTTTTAGGGTTTTTGCTTCCTCTTGGTTTCTCAGAATTGTCTTCCATCCATCCTTTGGCATCCATTCATGCCATATATTTGTATCAGTAATGGATACACACTACCATAGGAGACTTCAGCTGAATTGCCCAGTAACAGGAAAACAATGGATTTTTTTCCTAACATATCCGACATTCTCTTTCTTGGGGTCTATGTGCCAGATTCTATTTCTTAGAAGTAAGTCTCTATGTATTCATTAGTCTTGAGGGAGCTTCATTAGCTCTTGGGACCACCAACCCACTCCGTAGGAAAACAGGACTGGAAAGAAAACTAACCAACCGGCTTCTCCAGGTGGTCCAGGGGCTCCAGGAACTCCTTGGGTGCCCTTTGGACCAGGCTCTCCCTGAGGTCCATAGCCAGGTGGTCCAGCTGGTCCTGCAGGTCCTGGGGACCCAGGGGAGCCAGGATCCCCTGGAGGACCCTGGTCCCCCTTCTCACCACTCAGGGCCTGTGGCAATAGGAACATGTTTGTATAGTGGTTCATTTTCCTTATAACAGGTTCATCTGACGCTGGATAGGAATAGCAGTTAGTCTATCATTGGGAAGATTCTTGAATTATAAAACAGTTGGCATTTGATGGGAATCACTGAAACAAGGGCTCTGAATGTTTCTGTTGCTTTGTGGTTTTTGGAATCCAGCAACCTTTACTTAACTTGCAACTGCCTTGAGTCACATTTGAGATGTCCTACAATGAGATGCCTCCCTTCTGATAATAACCACTAAACCCAAGTTCAACAGTTGAAATGGCTTGAGAGGTAACATTCATGCTACTGGTACATGTCTAAAATATAACCAGTACAACCCATCTTTACTTGTGTAGCTTTCATTGGGTATTTTGCCTGAATGGAGATATTTTAAAGGACAACACATTTGGGCTCCTTATTTGACTACCATCCCCTAAACATTTTGTCCTTTTATGCATTTATTTTTACTTAAAAGAGTTAACACTGCCCCTAAAATACTTACTACTCAAGCCTTACACTCTAATCATTTTCTGAACTCATCTATATATTCACCTGATGCAAATATAGAACTATACTTTCTGTACAAGACAGGATCATTATCAATATAGAATTTTAATTGGGCTAACTCACTGACTGCTACCTATTTATTTTGTCAAAATATTATTTTTTCTTGGGTTATTGCCACTAATTGGAGGATGCCTCATTCTGCAGTTACCATGAATTGTGTCAAGTGACTGCTGATTTTCTATAAGTCATCTTTTAATTTCAGAGCACATCATCTACAGCGAGAATAATTTGAAAAACATTGCTAAATACCAACCGGTTCACCTCTAGGTCCTGGTAATCCTTTCAGTCCTGGAGTTCCTGGAATCCCCGCCAAGCCCTTTCTCCCTGGTGGCCCTCTGAGCCCCGGATCCCCTGGGGCACCTGCTTGCCCCTGGGGCTCAGGCGTTTCACCTTTTCCTCCTTTAAGTCCTGGATCACCCTGTGTTCCTGGGAATCCCTAGGGAGGTAGAGAAATGAGTTTGCATTGTGTTTGGATCACTTTTAATGAAGATAGGTTTTTTTTAAAAAATACTTTCTTTGCACTACATATGTCATTTCAAGCTGTTTACTTGTTTGCTTTTACTTCCAAAACAATAATATAATTAAAAATGTATATGTATACAATTTGATAATTCAATATGATATAGTCACCATAATAATTGATTATGTTTGAGAATTGGTAAGTTTTTTTTCCTTAGAAAGCTTTTATTTAAGGTACACAAATTTCATGCATTTCATAAATACAACTATAGGAACATAGTGATAATGATTCTTCCCACTGTACCCACTCTCCCATCCCCACCCCCAACCTTCTTCCTCCTCCCTCTCCTATTCTCATTCTTATTTTTACTAAGATCTATTTTCAATTAACTTAATACATAGAAGATCAACTCTATACTAAGTAAAGAGTTCAACAAATCATACAAAAAACTGCTTTTGAACAGTTTTTTGATTTCTCCTTTGATATCTTCTATGATCTGTTCATTCAGGAGCATGTTTTTTAGTCTCCATGTGTTTGCATATGTTCTAGAGATGCCTGAGTTCTTGATTTCCAGCTTCATTCCATTGTGGACAGAGTAAATGCATAGTATGATTTTGATTTTTTTGAATTTGCTGAGACTTGCTTTATGGCCTAGTATGTGGTGTATCCCAAAGAGAGTTCCATTCACTGGTGAGAAGAATGTGTATTCTGCAACTGTAGCATGAAAAGTTCTGTAGACATCCATTAAGTCCATTTGGTCTCTAGTGTTGATTAACTGTTATTTTTTTTGCTGATTTTCTGTCTGGTTGATCTGTCCATTGCTGAAAGTACAGTATTGAAGACCCATTACTATTGTATGGGAGTCTATGTCTCCCTTGAATCCATTAACATTTCTTTTAAATAACCAGGTACCCTGTAATTAGGTGCATATACATTTATTATAGTCACATATTCCTGTTGAATTGATCCTGTAATCACTGCATAGTGCCCTTCTTGGTCTCTTTTAACAGTTTTTGTGTTAAAATCATTTTTTTCTGATATTAGGATGGTTACCTCAGCTTTTTTGTTTGTTTCTGTTAGCATTGAATATATTATTCCATCCTTTCACTTTCAGTCTGCATGTATCTTTGTTGGTGAGATGTGTTTCTTGTAGAAGCAAGTAGATTTTTTTCTACATTCAACCAGTTTGTGTCTTTTAACTGGAGAGCTGAGGCCATTTACATTCAAGGTGACTATTGATAAGTAACGACTTTGCCCTGCTGTTTTCCCATAAATATTTCTATTGTTTACTTTGGATTTCCTTTGTACTTTGTACTAGGGGATTTTCTGCCTCACCTTCTTTCATAGTGATGACCATGTTTCCATGTGTGGCACATCCCTTAAGCATCTTTTGTAAGGCTGGATGAGTGGTGACAAATTATTTCCATTACTGCTTGTTATGGAAGGTCTTTATTCACCTTCATTCATAAATGAGAGCTTTGCAGGTACAGTATTCTTGCTTGGCAGTTTTTTTCTCTTAAGACTTGGAACATATCTCGCCATTCTCTCCTGGCCTGTAGGGTTTCTGATGAGAAGTCTGCTATGTCTCTTTGGAGATCCTCTGAAAGTAATCTGGCATTCCTCTCATACACATTTTTTTTCTTTTTCTTTTTTTTTAAACTTTTATTTAGTAGATATAAATTTCCAAAGTACAGTTTATGGATTGCAATGGCTTTCTCTCCCCCATAACTTCCCTCCCCCCTACAACCCTCCCATCTCCCACTCCCTCCCCCATTCCATTCATATCAAGATTCATTTTCAATTATCTTTATATACAGAAGATCAATTTAGTATATATTAAGTAAAGATTTCATCAGTTTGCCCCCACACAGAACACAAAGTGCAAAATACTGTTTGAGTACTAGCCATATCATTAATTCACATTGAACTACACATTAAGGACAGAGATCCTACATGAGGAGTAGGTGCACAGTGACTCCTGTTGTTGACTTAACAAATTGACACTCTTGTTTAAGGCGTCAGCAATCTCCCTAGGCTCTAGTCATGAGTTGCCAAGGCCATGGAAGCTCCCTGAGCTTGCCAACTTTGATCTTATTTTAAAAAGGCCATAGTCAAAGTGGAAGTTCTCTCCTCCATTCAGAGAAAGGTACGTTCTTCTTTGATGGCCCATTCTTTCTACTGGGATCTCACTCGCAGAGATATTTCATTTAGGTCTTATCTTTCTTTTTTTTTTTTTTTTTTTTGCCGGAGTGTCTTGGCTTTCCATGCCTAAAATACTCTCATGGGCTCTTCAGCCATATCTGAATGCCTTAAGGGCTGATTCTGAGGCCAGAGTGCTGTTTAGGACATCTGCCATTCTAGGAGTCTGCTGTGTATCTTGATTCCCATGTTGGATCGTTCTCTCCCTTTTTGATTCTATCAGTTAGTATTTCCAGACACTAGTCTTGTTTATGTGATCCCTTTGGCTCTTAGTCCTATCATTATGATCAATTGTGAACAGAAATTGATCACTTGGACTAGTGAGATGGCATTGGTACATGCCACCTTGATGGGATTGAATTGGAATCCCCTGGTATGTTTCTAACTCTACCGTTTGGGGCAAGTCAGCTTGAGCATGTTCCAAATTGTACATACCCTCCCTCTCTTATTACCACTCTTATATTTAACAGCGATCACTTTTCAGTTAAATTTAAACACCTAAGAATAATTGTGTGTTAATTACATAGCTCAACCAATAGTTTTAAGTAGAACAAAAAAAATACTAAAAGGGATAAAGTATTACATTGTACATCAACAGTCAGGACAAGAGCTGATCAAGTCACTGTTTCTCATACTGTCCATTTCACTTCACCAGGTTTCCTTTTTGGTGCTCGGTTAGTTGTCACCAATCAGGGAGAACATATGATATTTGTCCATTTGGGACTGGCTTAATTCACTCAGCATGTTTTCCAAATTCCTCCATTTTGTTGCAGATGACCAGATTTCACTGTTTTTTTTAATTGCTGTATAGTATTCTATAGAGTACATGTCCCATAATTTCTTTATCCAGTCTACTGTTGATGGGCATTTGGGTTCATTCCAGGTCTTAGCTATTGTGAATTGAGCTGCAATAAACATTTAGGTACAGACAGCTTTTTTTGTTTGCCAATTTAATTTCCTTTGGGTAAATTCCAAGGAGTGGGATGGCTAGGTTGAATGGTAGGGTTATATTCATGTTTCTGAGGAATCTCCAGACTGACTTCCATAGTTGCTTAACCAGTTTGCATTCCCACCAACAGTGGGTTAGTGTCCCTTTTTCCCCACATCCTTGCCAGCATCTGTTGTTGGTAGATTTCTGAATGTTAGTCATTCTCACCGGGGTGAGGTGAAACCTCATTGTGGTTTTGATTTGCATTTCCCTGATTGCTAGTGATCCTGAACATTTTTTCATGTGTCTGTTGGCCATTTGGATTTCTTCTTTTGAAAAATGTCTAGTATTGAAGTGTTGTTGTGTTCCTTTGGGGGGTGTCATGCTGTCTTCCTCATTCTTCCTTCTTGAATTGCTGCATTTATTTTTAGGCATTTGTGGAGATATTTGTTGTTTTTTTTTCCTGTGATGTTTTTTATCTTTGGACAATGCCTCTGTGGATTAGTGCAGTGTCTGCTGTCAGTGAATACCCTGAGATGTATACTGGCTCTGGCCAGGGAGCTCTGTTTTGTGCTTCAGAGTGAGGGAGTGTCCAATGTGACTCCCAAATTGGGTGTGCTAAATCTCCTCTCTCTCTCTCTTTTTTTTTTTTTTTAATCAGAGGGAGAGTTTATTCAGCTCTGTTACCATAGGCTCATGCTCACCTTCTCTCCTCCAAGGAGACCAATACTGAACACTAGCACTGTCACAAGAACTACACAAAGAATCTGTGCAGTCCTTGGTGTGAGCACGGATGCTGCAGCAATGACCTTCACCAGGGAATCAGGGAGCCAAGCATGTGGAGCCACTCGCATTGACCAAACCACACCCTGCACCCTCACACACAGCACAGTCACAGTGTTTTCACAGTCCCAACACACAAGGCTCCAAAAGTCATGAGCACCAAGCCCCTGTCAATTCTCTGAGCCAGACTCAGGTGTCTTCTCTTGGCTGGTTGCTGGGTGGTGCAGACATGAACTGGCGCAGCTGTTGTGTATGTCCAAAATGGTGCCCGCCCATTCCCTGTTAGTTACAGGACACTGGCACTGGGTGGGTGGGGAGAGAGAAAAGTGCTTCCTTTTTTCCCTTTATGTTGGCAGGTATACTGTCCCCCACAAGGCTCCAAGACAGACTTGCCAGGCTCTTCCTGTGGCATGTTGCCAGTGGCTCTGGCTGCTGCAGTCTGGTCTCACCTCACTATCCAAAGCTGGTGTTGAGGCTCTTGACAGCTGGGGTCCTGAGTTGTTTATATCCACAGCCTCCATGTGGATCTGCAGTGCCCCTCTAATTTGCATGGAGTTTCCTCTGCTGTTTTCTCCCTAACTCTTCCCTGAAATTGCACTCTCTCTACATTTTTAAAACTATCTTTCCCTAGACTAGAGCAGTAAGCTCCCTCCCTACTCCACCATTTTGGTGCCTCCCAGTATTGGTAAATTTTAACATGCATCTCTGGATAATTTGATTTAAATATATTTATCCAAATTCACTTTCTGATTCTCTATGATAATTACAAGGATTTTAATTTTTAACAGCTTTATTGAAGCATACTTTACAAACCACAAAATATATCCTTTGACAGAATACAATTCAAGGATTTTTAATAACTTTTTAGAATTATGCCACAATCATTATCACAATCAATATTAAACATTTCCATCATTTCCCTAATTCCACTTGTGGTTAATCCCTGGCCTCAACCTCAGCTCCAGGCAACCGTATATCTGTTTTCTGTCTCTGATAGCATTTACAGTGATTTATAGATTGATTCATTCACACATCATTTGTTTATTCATTCCATGAACAAGGATCTATTAAACATCTACTGTTTTTCAGATACCAAACTGATAACATATGTGTTCCAGAATGCCCAGTTTTCCCAATGGAAGATAAAGCTTCAAAACCATGAAATCTTACTGGAAATCCTGGAGGGCCTGTGCTTCCTGGCGACCCTGGGCTTCCTTTTGGGCCAGCTGCACCTTGTCCTCCTGCAGTGAATGAGTTATTAGCAATTCTGAGTAGCCAGAATAATACAGTGAATGATGAAAATAGAGTGTTTTCTTAGGAAAGAAAGACAATTTCTATGGTAAAACACACAGTGCAATAAGAGAATGCAGTAAATAACTGGAGGAAGAGATAATATTAAAAAAAAGAACTTTTAGGTTTTAGCTTCCTAAAATTCTCATCTTTGTGATTGTCAGACAAGCTTTTTTTCTGATGATAGTACACGCTTATTGTTAGAAATTTTTACATCAAGAAAAGAGTAAAATTCAGCCATGAATCTATGCCCAGCAAATGCAAGCTTTTTCATGTATTTGATGTGTCACACTATGACTCAGCTCCCTCATCTGTCAAACAGGGTTAACCACTGCACCTGCTTCCAGGGTTGATGTGAAGCAATGGAGGCACACAGGCGCCTAGAACAGAGCACTGACCAAGGGCTCTGACACCTGAGCTCTTGTTGATTAATGATAAAAAAGTTGACGATGGTGTCTAAAGACCAAGGTGGCAGAACCAAGGCCATGTGTGGCACCACGGGTGAGTTTCTGGTAGCCTGGGAGTGACACAGGGGCACCAATAGGACACTTTCTGTACCTAGACACTGACTACCCCTAGTCAGTTCTGCGACTGAAGAATGGGGAGGTTGACAAGCAGAGGTGGTGGCTGTTGGGAGTAACAGCGTTGGCGTGCAGAAAAACCTGTTCTGTCACATGGCCAAGAGAAGGCCATAGGTTTTGCGTTACTTAGTCCTTACAATATTGGCATTGTAGAGGTTGGCATTGTAGCACAGCAAGTTAAGCTGATGCTTGGGTTTCTCATATCCTGTAATGAAGTGCCTGGGTCTAGACTTGGCTACACTGTGCTGCTAATCCAGCATTCTTGCTCACGCACACCCTGGGAGGCAGTAGATGATGGCCCAGCGTGAACGGGTTTCTGCCATTCACATGGGAGATCCAGATGGAGTTCCAGACTCCTGGTTACAGCCTGGTCTAGCCCTGGCTATTGCAGGGTTCTGGGGGAATGAACCAGCGGATGGAAGGTCTCTCCTCTGTCTCTGCCTCTCTCTCTGTCAATGTATCTTTCAAATAAATTAACAAATTAATTAATCTTTAAAAAATAATGTTATCTTCTGAAAATTTTGTCCATCAAAAATTGATTTAGTGGCTAATATTTTTCAAAAATGACATTTTAGATAAAAATCTTGCTTTCTTCTCATGAGAAATTGAAGCATCTATTAGCTTAGAGTCAAAAATGATGCAAAGGAAGAACAGGCTTGAGCTGAGCCCATTTGAATGTGCCCTTATGCTTACCACACGCCTCATCACTCTATTGTCCCCAGCACTGAGGATACTGTATTTTTTTAAATTACTGTACTTATTTCCTTATGAATAAAGCAAAATATGGCAGTTCCTTTATATCCACAGTTTGACTTTCAGTTACTTGTGTTCAACAAAAAAAGAGTGAGTACAATGCATAAGATATCTTGAGATAGAGAGAGGAAGAGAGAGAACATATTCATATAGCTTTCATTAAAGTTTATTATAATTGTTCTATCATCAGTCATTATTAATCTCTCATTGTAGTTATATGTATAGGGTTTAGTACTTTTGACAGTTCTACTGTACACTGAGGGTCTTTGAATATATACCTTCTGAGATGAGGGGAAGGGGCTCAATGCTGTGCATACCCATGACTGTACAAAAGGGATAACATGAAAAAATGACCGAGAAGGGTCTTATCTTTTTAAAGCAAATGGGAGAGAATTTATTTCTTTAGGGAAGAAAAAGTGATATGTGTTTAGTGCAGCTCCTTAAAGTTATCTGCTAGTTCCCCATAGGGATCTGTGTTTATGATTCCTAGAACTAAAATGCAATAGAAAAAATTACCAGCTTTTATGTGATTTGGGCTAACTTTATGTGAACAGAGTATATGCTTTTGAAATTGTCCTCCCAAGTTCATGTAAAACTCATGATTCAGCAACCTAATACCTTTTCTGTTATGTATATGTCCCAGTGTGTTGACCCAGCTGTACTTACAAAACAGATCTGCATGCAAATGGTCTGTACCTGGGATTCCTTTTACACCATCTAACCCAGGCCGTCCTGGGAGGCCGGGGGCCCCGGGGGTGCACGGACACTGTGTGCACAGCAGGCCTGGTTCTCCTGCAATGGAACACAGGTATATTGCTCAGAAACTCACTCCAAGGCCTCTGAGAGGACACACAGTTCCTGACTACACAAGCACTTACTACACTTAAACTTTTTATATGTAAAAATCATCTGGGATGTTATACCTATTAGCAAAACCACCTCATCCGCTATATCCACTTACTTTATTGTTTTGACACACGTGCTTCTACTGAGAGAGGAAATTCTAAGAGTCTAACACCAAACATCTGTGATTTCAGGGTCTCCCTCCTCGCATGCAAGATAAAACTTCCATTGTAGAGGTATCCAATAATTTACTGTGTGGGTGCTAAATAAATCACCAACTTACAGATAAATAAATACATTTTAGCCAATACTTTTGGGAAATAAGCCATCCCTGCCTAGCTGCTGTTTGAGATCATTGTTGTCCCTGGAGGAAAACCGGAGATCACAATGCTGATGATGAAGCCATTGAACCAACCTTTAGGCCCATCAAGTCCTGGAATCCCTGGAAACCCTATATGGCCTGGCAGCCCACGGTCCCCGGGTGGACCCATGCGAAAAACGACATCACCTGTAAAAAGACAGGACCAAAGACATTGTTTTGTGTTTTCTCCAGTTAGCCAGTATTTAAGAAATGCCTTGTTTGATACGCATTTCTTTTAACTTGGTATTGGAAGCCAGGTCTTGAGTGCTGTTTTTTTCCCTCATTGTTTGTCCATATCAATTGAGTCTGCTATTTTTAAAGCAGCTCTTTAGGGAAGTTTTCCCCAATCTTCCACCTTGTCTGCTGCTATAACACCACAATGCAAGTTCATTCTCTTATATTAGTAAGCTGTGTTCCATGAACTAATTTTTGGTCTTGTGGTTTCAAATAAAGGTCGAAGACAATGCTGATGAAAATAAATATTTAAAAACAGTACCTACAGCTGTCTTGAAGTTTAAAGCAAGAAAGTAATGGTAAAATGCTTAATTTAGCTAGAACATGGTTTGTGGCATATTATATCCCCTTAACTACAAAAAGAATAACTCTTTGGTGTTCTAGTTTTTTGTATTTCTAAGACATCTGGAGAGTCATCTTTAAGCAGCACAATCCGATGGCAACTTTACGCCTCCTGTGGACTTACGTATGTACTTAGACATGTTCACACTCATTTCACACTTAATTTAACAACTATTTGTTTCAGTCCCCATACTAATATCAGCCTAGACCAGTAAGGAGCTTTGATTCTTAAAGAGGAAACTGACAAGCAAAAGATAAAGTGAAGAATTCTGCAGTGGGAATAAGCTTTGGAATGAATGCATATGGACTCAGTGGAAGTTTCTGTGGGACTTGAGGCTGGAACCAAAAGGCAGACAGGTGTTGCACAGGGAAGAACAGGTAGGAAGCATAGGGAACAAATGCCTGGAGATCCCCCAGGGGAGAGGAAGCTTGGCCTTCTGGTGGAGGGGGCAGCTCTGTGTCAGGTACCAAGGTCAGGGTCCAGATCCTGGCTTTAGCATTCATTAGCTTCATTAGCTTCATGAGGCCTGCACATCCACCTTGGCATCAATAAAATGATACTAAACCTGCAGCCTGAAAGAGGACTGGAGGATTTGAAGTTGTTAAAATCCCTGACATATGGTAAGGATGTTTGGTTTGGTTTAGTTTCATTTTTGCTTTATTTTCCCCACAGGTCTGTAACATAGCTTGGTAGATTTGTTCTTGAATATAGTATCTTTTTTATCAATTGGATAATTCCTTAATTAGCTCTTTTCCTCAAGGAAAGTATTTTTAAAAAGATTGCTCATATGACCACATACTTAATTATCTTATTAAGAGTTTTCCAGATTATTATTTGGGATTTTCTAGGTTTATAACAACATTGTCAGTAAATAATAAAAGTTCCTTCCTTTCTAAAACTGACCAACAAACAAGAAACTCTGACATGTAAGATTCTTAAGTCTTGAAGGCGGGTGGACTACAAACGCAGGCCCCAATGACCCTCCAGGAAAGGTGTTTGCCAGCATCCAATATGGGTGCTGGTTCAAGTCCCAGCTGTTCCACTTCTGATCCAGCTCCTTACTAATGTGTCTGGGAAAGCAGTGGAGGTCCCTGCACCTGTGGAAGACCCATATGGAGTTCCAGGCTCCTGGCTTTGGTCTGGTCCAGTCCCAGGCATTGTGGCCATTTGGGTAGTAAACCAGAAGATGAAAGACAGATCTCTCTCTCTCTTTCTCTTCCTCCCTCCGTCCCTCCCTAAAACTACATTTCAAGTAAAACAAAAACAAAAACAAAGCCCGATCTCTGTGTTCAGGAGAGTCTGTCGTACCTAAGAGCCAACATACAATGCTAAGTAACTCTGTGGGGGGATGGGAAGGAAAGGATGGAGGAAGTCTATGTCAGAACCCCTGAGTGCCAACTCAAACCCCACAGCTCCCTGATCTCTGACCCAGAGAAGTGGCAGGAATCCAGACCCCTGCTGCATGCCTCTGGCCTCTTAACTCTTACCTTGGGGCTTCCCTGCTGATACCAAGGCCTGGATGCCCCATGAATCACGCAGTCACTGTCTGGATATGTGTGTTAGTCCTGCCCTGCGGACCAAATCTTTGACTATGGGAAGCAGTAATTGGTTGACAAATCCTTGTCCCCCACCCCCCGCCCCCCATTCCCCTCCTGCCCTCCCTGGCAGACAGTATCCAGGGCTAAACAAATAGTTGCACTTGACTGAGGCCAACTTGATAACCACGCCTCCTTCTCTGCTTTCCTCTTTTTGTCCCTGCCTCTCACTCTGCTCTCTGGGAAACTCAGGCTACATTTGCAAAGCCATCTGTCCCCCATATTTTCTCTCATAGATAACAGAAGGGAATGCCATTGGAAAGATAACACAGCGACCGCACAGACCGATGGCCAAGCTGTGGGTAACGTTTATTGCTTCTGATCTGCACACATGTGTCACTGGGCCATGTCTACCACAGGGGCCCTGTTAGTCATCTTTACCTGGTGGTCCTGGAGATCCTGGTGGCCCTAAAAGGCCTGGTGAACCAGGACAGCCTGGGGCCCCCGGAGGCCCCACTGCATCCTTCCCTGGGGGTCCTCGCTCTCCTTTTCTTCCTTGCAAGCCCGGCCATCCAGGAGCTCCTCTGGGGCCAGGCCTTGATGGTCCTCGGGGTGGGGGAAAATAACCATTTACTGAATTTTAAAACTATTTTCCAGATAATTATGTATTTTTCTTTCAACTGCAAAAAGAAACACATTCCTAAAGTTGAACTGAGGGGTATGCAAAACAAAACATGAATCAATGACCTTGGTAAACAGTCACCACACAGCAAAATGTAGTGTACCCCATCCTTACAAGACAATTTCCTTAAGTTATTCCTAGAAATCAAAACTGAGTTTGCAGTGCACTGTAGTCTTTTTATTGGAAAGGACTCCTGAGAAATTCTTTCATATATGCTCCTTTGTTGATGTATTTTTAAATTAAAGATTAAAGCATGCCTGCCTTTCAGAGCGCTGAGTGAGAAAGTTGTAATTGGACTTGCTTCCTGTGGATGGTCTTAGACATAAAAGGGCATGGTGGGGGAGGCAGGTGCCTCCTAGGAGAGAAGCTGAGCTAAGGGTATAAAACCATCTACTCCCAAATGGTGGGGATGTGAGGAGGGGTGCAGTCTTGGATCTCTGCTGCATAGCCAGTTTAACTGAGAGGAAGAGAGGTATCACCACCATAGGGCTCAGAAACCAGCAGGGCTAATACCCGACTGTTTCTTAGTATTTGATCCCCATGACAAATTCTTACGATGACCACGATTTTCTGCTCACTGGCATGTGAGCAGTCCAATTCCAGAGGGGCCTGGCAGTGGGAAGGAGGTCTTCCCACAGTCCAAAAACAACTTTTTGCCCCATTCCAACTTTCAGAGATATCCACTGTCAATAGTTTGATTTCTATTCCTCCACGCAAGTACAAAGGTACTTCAGAAAGCTTATGGAAAAAATAGAATTGAAAGATAAGCTTATTTGGGTGCAAAAAGATCTTGAAATTCATGCACAGTTTTTTCATAATACAAAATTTCCATGAACTTTTTGTATATTTTTATATTTATGGATTTATTTTTTACAGTGGACTATAGTAGACATATAGTTCCACAGTCTACAAAATTATGAAGTGGTTTAATATGCAACATCACATAGAGAAAAATAGTCAGTGTTGGGGCATCCTCTGTACTGGTTTATTAAATTTTTGCTCATTTTTCTTAGTTCTATTTACTTGAAAAGGAGCGTAATAACAGTTATAACTGATGGACTGCTATGGATCCATCCCAGACTCTGTTTTTCCTCTCCTGCAAGTTAAACACGTTAAAGACTCATGGACTAAAATCTAAAACTTCAGAGAAAAAGTATAAGCTAGGTATCCCTGTGCAACCTGTGATACATTGTGAGACTGTCATTTCAATCAACCTAATTACCTAAGCACTGTTGCTATCTGTGCCTCCTCTGAGTTTTAAGTCGCTGCTTGTACCCCAAAGTAGTCATGGAAATTCCCTGGCAATAAGATCTCTGCACTTAGTTAAAAACTCTGAAAAGTGAAAAAGCATTGTGATATCACTTTGTATGTGCTTCTACTTTTCTACTACAAATCACAAAGATAACAGTGAAGAAGGTGGAAAAACTTTTAGATCAATCAGTGAAACGTGTCTACATAACCAATTTAAAGTTACTACAAAGCAGTGCATCAAAATAGCATTTCCGTGTGTACCCCAAGAAACATGGACATACCAGGACTGCCAGGAGCTCCAGGGGGACCAACAGGACCTGGGAATGCACAACATTAATTACTTTATGACAAAGATATAAATAATCCCCTCTTAACTTCTGAAATCTTGGGTGGCAATGTAATAACACATTTCCTACTCTTTCATAAATATTAGAAAACACATAGATAAACTGCAGATAGCCAACCTAAAAAGTAAAACTGCCACTTGACCATTTTCACCTAACTCAATAGAGATGATGGAGAGCCCACTCTGTGTTTGGCACTTGGCGGTGAATTTAGATGCCAGAAAACTAACCACTGCTAGAATCATGGATCTGCAGGTTGGCTTTGTAGTTCATGTTAGATCACTTCTAAGGCAAAGGGTCAGCAAATGCTTAGCAGGAAATTTGTTCTCACCCTGTGGGCCACGAGCTCCTTTGGGGCCTGGTGGGCCTGGAATTCCTTCATCTCCCTTTTGCTGGTATGTGTCATAATATTCTGTCTTAAAGGAAAAAAAAAATGGATGAAGAGAAAATATAGCTATTTATGGAGAGCATACAAATGCAATTACTTCACTGTCGCTCCCCCTCTTCATGGGGGAGTGACACTAAACCCTGCCTAGGCTTCATATCCGAGTCACGGCACCATTATGTCGCTCCCCGTCTTCGTGGAGGAACGACACAGGACCCTGCGCTGTTCTTTCGTCTGCTCGGCCCTCCCCGGGTTTGCTGCTGGTCCTTCCCGGGTTGGCTGCTGGTCCTTCCCGGGTTGGCTACCATCCCTTCCACCTCCGTGGAAGGGCGGTTCCCCCTGCCACATTCCCCACTTCCGCGGGGGAGCGGCACACCGCCGGCCGGCTCTCTCGGGGGCTGCACAGGTGTTCCCCTTAGATGTTCCTGGTGCATGTTGTCTCTCTCCTCCTTTATAGTCCTCCTCCGCCAATCCCAACTCGGCTGCCCACACGCCGAGTACGCTGCTCTCCTCCAATCAGGAGCAGGTCCTGCTGTTTATTGGTTGAACTGGAGGCAGCTGTGTAGAAGCTGTTTTCTCCTCTCCCAGCGCCATATTGTGGGAGAGCAGATGCATAGAATAAGTCTTAATTCCAGTAACTTAGTCTAGTCCGGTTGCTCCCCACACTTCACTTTCTTCTTTATGGCCCAAAAGATATTTTCCTGACTTCATAGATCTATGTGCTAGTAGCAAAATGGTAGTCCCCTATATATAGATGGATTAATTTAAAGATGAAGTTCACCTGGGGTAGTGTAATGTTATAATTTGGATATGGTTTGAGTTTTACCCAAAGGGTCCTTATGCTGGGAACTTGGCTTTCATTATGGTGATATTAAGAGGAATAGGTGTGTTAGGGCCTGAGCTTTGGCACAGTGGGTTAAAGCCCTGGCCTGAAGCACTGGCATCCCAAATAGGCACTGGTTCTAGTCCTGGCTGCTCCTCTTCTGATCCAGCTCTCTGCTATGGCTTGGGAAAGCAGTAGAAGATGGCCCAAGTCCTTGGGCTCCTGCACCAGTGTGAGAGACCTGGAAGAAGCTCCTGGCTCCTGGCTCCTGGCTTTGTATCAGCACAGCTCCGGCCATTGTGGCTATCTGGGGAGTGAACCAGCGGATAGAAGACCTCTCTCACTGTCTCTACCTCTCTGTAACTCTGTCTCTCAAATAAATAAAATAAATCTTTCTATAAAAAAAAGAGGAGTGGGCACATTTGGGAGGTGGGGCCTGGTGGGAGATCCTCGGTCAGGTGGGTGTGTGCCCTCAGAAGAGATTATAGGATCCAGTTTCTTTGGAATCTTGTCTTGCCAATCTTTCTCCTGCAGGTACATGTGTGCTAGGCACTCACCAAAGACCAAACTGAATGAGGCTGTCTCATCTTGGACTTGCAGCTTCCAAAACTCTGAGCTAAACAATTGTCTGCCTTGGGTATTTCATTATAGCAGCAGAGAACACACTAAGACACATGATAGCATAAACTTCATGGGCTTTCAATTAGAAATACATTTTATGATGTGACTCAACTCTTATACCCACTTTTACATTTATACTGACAAACACATATACATATCTATGTTTGTATGTACAGATATACAGGTAATGAAATTTCACAAAGCAATAATTTACCGTTTTGACATAGGATCAACTCTGATATTTTTTATACTATCCCATTTTGCTGTTTTATCTTGCTGGTCCTGGTGGACTAAATTTGTTTCAAACTATGTGGGTACCCGCACAGGAAAAAAACATATTGTACACAGTGTTTCTGAAATTTAAAAGGACACTATTATCCTGCAAGAGTTGAGGAATATTGTTTCTGACATGCTCAGTGGACCCACTGTTGGTCTCCTTAACCATTTATTTCTGAAGCAGAGTTTCTTTTGTTAGTAGAAGCTGCAAACAGAGTTACTTGGAACTGAATATCAGAAAATAGACAGCTGGAAATGCTTATAATTCCCTCAAAATGCAATAGGCAAGTAGATTTCACTTATAATTCAGTACATTTGCCTTGAAGGAAAGAAGATAGAAATATGAAAAATTTGTTTTAAACTATTTTTTATGGATCAATTTGTTGATTTATTTAAAGATGAGGTAGCACAGAACAAGTAGTATAAAGAAAAAAGTATTATTAACAATAACATTAATGTAATAAGCCCCATCATGAAGTCTGCAATGACAAGTATGCACCTGCTGAGTGCTGGCCATTGTGCTATGTGCTTTTACAAAACTGACTTTTTTAAAAAAGATTTATTTTATTTATTTGAAAGACAGAGTTACAGAGAGATGTAGAGACAGAGAGAGAGGTTTTCCATCCACTGGTTCACAGCCCAGCCGGGGCTGTGCCAATCCAAAGCCAGGAGCCAGGAGCCAGGAGCCAGGAGCTTCTTCCAGGTCTCTCACACTGGTGCAGGGGCCCAAGGACTTGGGCCATCTTCTACTGCTTTCCCAAGCTATAGTAGAGAGATGGATTGGAAGAGGAGCAGCCAGGACTAGAACCAGCGCCTATATGGGATGCCAGTGCTTCAGGCCAGGGCTTTAATAAGCTACGCCACAGCGCTGGCCCCAAAACTGACTTTTAATCTCTCTGGCAACTGTATAAATGTGTTTGGGGGGTTCTACATCATTTTCTTTTGGCATAAAAATGAGAGATTGGGGGGACTCACCCTCAGCTAGCAAGTTAAATTGCTTAGCCTGGGGATACGGGAACTGCATTTTAACAGGCCCCCCTCCCCACCAATTCTCCATGACTTTTTTTGGCCACTCTGGGCCATTTTGTCCAACATATACAGTCAGGTACAGCACTCCTACTCAACCTGCAGAATAAGAAAACCACTGTCCTAATGAGGCAGAGATGAACGGATACTGTAAATCCAGGCCTGGGTCCCTTTTACTCCTCTCTGAAGCTGCAGAGTCACAGAAAGTGAAGTGTGGCCACCATGCACCTAGGAGTTGACAGTCACCCAACCCAAACCCATGTCAGCTTTGGGGAGGCGAGCTGTGTCTACTGCAATGGAACCAGCGCTTGGTTCTTGCTGCCCTCGGAATTAAACTCATGGCTGAGCTTCCGCTGCTTGAAAGTGCAGGAGATGTCTAACTGGGCCCAGGTGCAAGGGAGGAGGCTCTGCCCCAACCCCAAGGGCCCCAGCTGTCCGTGCGGCAGCCCACCTACTCTACCTGAGGACACAGGACCACCTTAGACCAAACACTTCTTCTTTTCATAGCCTAGCATGACTAGTGCAGGATGAGGACCAAGCAGGCTCAAATGGAAATGTTTATTGGCAAATGGACAAATAATCACAACTGTTCCTTGTCCTAATTTGATAAAAAAAAAGGAAATGCTAACATCTCTGGAATAATTAATGAGAAACACGGATTCAAATTTTTTCAAATACTTTGAAGGACTTAATGAAATAAGACATTAGGAACATTTTTAAATTACACTTACTGGACCACGAAATCCTGGGGGGCCAATATCTCCTTTCCATCCCTAAATTGAAAAATAGTTATATATTATCAACATGTTAACCAAAACTATTTACATGTTTGGTATTATTAAAAAGAAAAATGTACATTAGAGGAATTAATTAATACTAAAAGTAAATTCATTTAGATGTCATGTGAAAGCCAAATTAGAGGTAATGGGACAATGACTTTAAATGATTTTTCCAGAGGGCCTGTACCTGGGCTAGGAATCTTGTCTACAAGGTAGTGAAAAGCGGTTTCTTCTACGCCACCACCCTCAGTGGATGGTCACAGGTATTGCACATTCCATTCTTACCCACATTTGAGGCACAAGGAACACCAGGCAGTGGGTTGTATGTAATTCCCAGTGTCCACCTGTAGCCATCCCCTCTTCTTCAAGAGAGCATTTTAGAGTCTACTGGAAGTGACGTTGTTAAAGGACCAATCCTGAATCTGCCCATCTACCTACAAGTCCACGTTATCAGGGAATGTCTGTAACAGATGTGGAGGAGTAGCATTCACAATTACTTGATCATGACTTTCCAGCTGAGACTCACAAGGTCCAGCTTCTGCTTGACCTCAAGTGACCAGAGATCTGCAATGGCAGGCCTCTTCCAACCCCTTCCTCACGCATGCAGAGCTGAAGCCCCACTGGTCCTACATCAGCTTCAGACACATAGAACAAGTTTAATATCTTTTTCTGAAGACCACCTTCCAAATGTTAAGTAAAATTTCCATCTCTCTCTTTCCTTAATATATTAAAGCATTTTAACGAAGTCTATGCTTGCAATTCATTGTAACTGGGTCCAGGGTGTGCAGGAAAAGATGGGTAAGCAAGGCCCAACCAGCTGAAAAAGGCTGAAGACAGGATCTCAGGGAGGTGGTTACCTTAATGCCAACTTCTCCTGTTAACCCAGGGAAGCCCCTGTTGCCCTTGGCTCCCTAGAGAAAAGAGGAAAGAAACAGATCAGAGGACACATGGATCACTCACTCCTCAGGAAGCAGGGCAGTTAGAACGCCTACTTAAAAAAAGACTGGGACCAGCTGATCTCTTGTCACAGCAAAGACGTACAATGGTGATTCTCAAATGTGGCTTTTGAAAGCCGTGGGCTACTTGTTATTTTATAAATACTTAGTGGCTCTCAAGAATCCTTCTTCTAATAGGGCTACCGTTTCCCTGCAGCCATGCATCAGGTCATGTCTTTACCTCAGTGCCAGGGAAGCCAGGGGCTCCATCCTTCCCAGGTTTTCCCTAAAGCAAAAACATGCAATTTAATAAATATGGGCAACTTGAACAACAACAACAAAAAAACTCAAAGTATAAAGTTATCTCTGGACCTCAGGCAAGAATGCTTGAGTGAGGTCCCTCTCCCAGGTTTAGAAGGAACAACTGGTAATCACAGAACATGCCATGGCCTTCTCTTACCAGGGGAGGCACAAGCCAATCAGGATGAACATTTAGACTCAAAAGAAGGAAGAAAGGAATTAAACAGCTAAACGTAGAGCTGATGCTGCCTTTCCTAAACTTGGATGAAAAAGTCAAGAAAGCACCGAGCTGAGGTGAATAAGGAAATCCAGAAAGAGGAAAGTTTTCTCATTTTATGTATCTGTTTGAAATATTGGCAATGCCTTAAACCCCAGATGTTCCTGTATCTAAATACATGAGTAAAAGATATATTAGGGTATCCAGACATAACATTTAGGTTAAGTATCACAATTTATCTTTCCTGACAAATAAAAATCATCCCAGTTGAATGTTTAATATTTTTTTCTAGCATATCATTTTTAGAGTTTTTGCACAATAGGTGTGTTTAAGCCTTTCCAAACTGGAGTTGGTTTGGGTAGTAGGCTTCTGTTCCTTCTGTCTTGCCACCATCTCTGGTCACACTCTGCCCCCACTCCCTTTGGGAAGCTACTTTTCTCTCACTCTGGGTACTTCTAATGGGGCTGTCAATCACAGTGGCATGCTGCTCCATTGGCTCAGCCAGTCATGGCACCCTTTCCTCCTGACCATAGCCATTCTCTAGAGCAAGATATATGACACAAGCTGTGGCAATCGGATTCATTCTCTACACAGGGAGAAAAGAGACCCCCTCTCTCCTCACTGCCATGAACCTGAAGTTGCCTGCTCTTATGCCTCATTCTTTCTCCCCATCTCCCCTGACCTGAGAGAAGATCATCTACCAGTGGAGAGGATGAGACTGACATGCAAAGAGATGTGACAGTGATATGGAGAGAGTGTTCTGCACATATAGTTTCGGGCTCTGATGTTCTAGAAGACTGTATGGCCTTGAACATCTCAGATACCTGAGCAAATAAATTCCACCTCCTTAAACTTCAAAAATTTATTTTCTCTAACTTAAGCTATTTGGAATTAGGCATCTCATTCTTGCAACCTAAAGAGTCCCAAGTCCTGACTACTACTGGCCGCACATGATGCTTGTGGGGAGCAACTCGGACTATACTGTTACTGGAATTAAGACTTATTCTATGCATCTGCTCTCCCACAATATGGCGCTGGGAGAGAAGAAAACAGCTTCTACACAGCTGCCTCCAGTTCAGCCAATGAACTGTAGGACTTGCTCCTGATTGGAGGAGAGCAGCGTACTCGGCGTGTGGGCAGCCAAGTTGGGATTGGCAGAGGAGGACTATATAGGAGGAGAGAGACGGCATGCACCAGGAACATCTAAGGGGAACATCTAAGGCGAACACCTGTGCAGCCCCCGAGAGAGCCGGCCGGCGGTGTGCCGCTCCCCTGCGGAAGTGGGGAATGTGGCCAGGGGGAACTGCCCTTCCACGGAGGTGGAAGGGATAGTAGCCAACCCGGGAAGAACCAGCAGCAAACCCGGGGAGGGCCGAGCAGACGAAAGAACAGCGCAGGGTCCTGTGTCGTTCCTCCATGAAGAGGGGGAGCGACATAATGGTGCCGTGACTCGGATAGGAAACTTAGGAGGGAAGAAACGGGAAGAAGCAGGAAAATATCGGAGAGAGAGACTAGCAAACAGCCTAGGGAAAAGCCGGACGAAAAAGGTGCCGAAGAAGCTATTGAAAGCCTAGGCATAGACTCAGATACGGACTACGGGGGGAAGCTGGGAGAAATCTCTAAGGTCGAAAGCGAAAGTGAAAGCTAGAACAAACAGACTCAGATGCGGACTGTGGGGAGAGGCCAGGAGAAATGAGGGAGGAATATTGTTGGAAGAAAGCTTGGGGAAACATACCGGGTAGAGAAAAATGTTAGGGAAATTGAAGCCGCGGGGGGCAGGCCGAGGCGGAGACGAAAGCCACTTTGGGATTCTCAAGTTAGCCTGGGAATAGGGGGCGAAAAGTTGAAACCAGAAGCGGAAACGTAAGCCAGATTGGGATCCGTCTGATTAGCCCGGGGAGCAAAGGACGGGAAGCCAAATCGTGGGGCGGAGACGTGAGCTGGGTTGAATTCGCCAGGCTAGCCCGGGGAACTTGGATTGAATGCTAGTGGCGGAGACGTGAGCTGGGGCTGTGTGACTCGTGGAGGCTGCCGCGCGCAGAGAGAGCGTGCAGGGCACAAGTAGATAGGGAACGCTGGGCTAAGTGCGAGACCGCGGAGTGTGCGCGCAAAGCCGAGCCGCGCAGATGAGAGAGGTGCGGGCTGAAGCGGCTCAGAGCCGGAAAGCCGCCGAGAAGCAGCCTCGGGGCGGGCGCCGGGAAGCCGCAGGGATAAGAGAAACAGAAGTTTAGAAGTAAAATGAGAGAAATAGGAATGTTGGCAGACAGAAGTAAAATGGGAGAAATAGGAATGCCCGGAGATAGAGAAATAGAGAAATAGAAAGGCCTCCCCACAATACTGCAATGAGAAGGCTTGGATTCGGTCTGCCTGATTAGGAAGGCGATGAGCACCTGCGGGCGGCTAGCAGCTTATGCGCCGCAGGTCACCAAAGACAGGCACGAATTAACATCAATAAGGCCTCCCCACAACACAGCAATGAGAGAGCTTGGATTCGGTCTGCCTGATTAGTAAGGCGGTAAGCACCAACAGGCGGCTCGACCAGAGTATGAGCTGCAGGTCACCGAAGATAGGCACGAATCAACACCAATAGACCTCCCCACAATATGGCAATGAGAGAGCTTGGATTCGGTCTGCCTGATTAGGGCGGTAAGCACCAGCAGGCGGCTCGACCAGAGTGTGAGCCGCAGGTCACCGAAGACAGGCACGCATCAGCGCCTAAAAACCTCCTCACAACATGGCGAAGAGAGGACCCGGATTCGGTTTGCCTGATTGATAGGACTTGTAAGAACCTGTGGCAACTCTAGCAAGCAGAGCAGAGTGTGTGCCGCGGGACACCGAAGACAGGCGCATATCAACGCCAAAAAATAAAAAGAAAGGGGGATCTGTGGGGAGCAACTCGGACTATACTGTTACTGGAATTAAGACTTATTCTATGCATCTGCTCTCCCACAATATGGCGCTGGGAGAGAAGAAAACAGCTTCTACACAGCTGCCTCCAGTTCAGCCAATGAACTGTAGGACTTGCTCCTGATTGGAGGAGAGCAGCGTACTCGGCGTGTGGGCAGCCGAGTTGGGATTGGCAGAGGAGGACTATATAGGAGGAGAGAGACGGCATGCACCAGGAACATCTAAGGGGAACATCTAAGGCGAACACCTGTGCAGCCCCCGAGAGAGCCGGCCGGCGGTGTGCCGCTCCCCTGTGGAAGTGGGGAATGTGGCCAGGGGGAACTGCCCTTCCACGGAGGTGGAAGGGATAGTAGCCAACCTGGGAAGAACCAGCAGCAAACCCGGGGAGGGCCGAGCAGACCAAAGAACAACGCAGGGTCCTGTGTCGTTCCTCCATGAAGAGGGGGAGCGACAGATGCTGAATATGCAAATTTACCTGTGAGCCAGGTTCTCCAGGAGCACCCTTCTCAGAGCCGTAGGATTCTCCAGGTGGTCCCTGTATTAATTAAAGTGCTGTCAATTTTTACAAATTATTTTTTTAACTTAGATTGCTTTTGATTAATTTGCACCTTCTGATTATTTTGCCATATTAAAGAATTCTCAAATAATGAGTCATCTTAAAGGGAAATCTCATTTATGAGTATTAATTAAAAACAATTGCTACAAAAGCAGAGTGTGAAGATCTCATACACGTAAAATAAAGCAAGGATTTCAACAAGAAATGGCCATAAAAATAATTCTGGTGTATTCATGATCCCTGAGGTCAAATGTGTTTCAGCTAATAGTGAGATCTAAAGGTAGAACATCCATAAACGTATGCACTGAAGTCCTACTTTATGCATCACAGGAACAACGTGGATCTAAATGACCTACCGAGGGTCCAGGAGGTCCAGCTTCTCCCATCGCTCCCTTGTCTCCCTTCTCACCCTTGAGGTCCTGCCACAAAAACAATGCAAGGTCACACAAATGGATCCAACAAGACAACACTGGCAAAGTCCCCTATCTGTTCAACAAACTGGATTATAAACTACTAATGCAGCTTACGATAACAAAACCCAGTAGACCTTCCTGTTACTCACATGTCAAATATTATACCTGTGAACCTGCTGAAAATATGTACTAACTTTTTTTTTTTAGAGAGAGTATCTTTTGGATCAAGCTATCTTAAACTAATTTAATTACTGAATCAGTTTTCTTGGAGTGTATTCAGATTATTTTGAATATATTTTACTTTCATTTTTAATATACTAAAATTATTTTCTTTAGTGTCAATGCTTTTCTGATTAAATGTTATAATGAGAATCTGATTCATTAATTAGATTTTTTGGGCCCTTATTATGCTTTATGGATTAAATTTTCTCATGTGAGTCTTCTATTGTGGTCATCATTTTTTTGAATTGCAAACATTTTTCCTGGGTCAAATCTAGATATAAATTTTGCCAACAAAAATTCAACCTCCCATTTCTCAGACTATGATGTTTCATGCTTATCAATTTGTTTTTGTTCAGTTATCTTTCTCAGGTCAATTTTTCTCCCATATTCAATGCTAGTTACTATTTTGGTGATATTAAATTTTACTGTGTTTTGTTTTAACTCTTGTTAGTTCTTTTTTGACCATTTAACATGCCTGTATAATAATAGAGAAGGCTGGGTGTGGGGTGTATAGGAACCACTTCACAATTTTTGTTTTGTAAATTTAAAACTTCTGAAATCAAAGTTTTGAAAAAGAAAGCAAAAAATAATTGCACTGGGGGTGGTGATGACTATAGGCTTTCTTTTTGGCATAATGAAGAATGTTCTGAAGTTGACTGGTGATGGTTGTGCATATAATAAGAGCCACTGAATTGAACACCAAATAAGTGAATTGTATGGAATGTGGTATAAGTCAAAAGAGCTATAAACTACTTAAAACTAAAATCTATGAACTATATACTTTAGTTACAAGGGTACAGTTTACGATCAATTAATACATGTATCTCAATCAAGTTATTATTTCAAGTAGTTAATAAGTTTAAAAGAGAAGGATGGCTTATATTTGTTTCTTAGTTAATCCACAAAAAGCCTGTTACCCACCCCCTTACTTCTTCATCCCAACTCCCAGACATTCAGGGTCATTCTAGTGTCTAGGATTGGCATATTATATTGTGGATTCACTTCTTTTACATAGTCAACCCAGTTCCATACCCTGGTGTTTTTAACCCTCCCACAGTGGAACCAAGACACAAAAGCTAATGTCACTATGATGTGGTCAAAGTGAGGTCTGGTGAGGAGGGGGGCCATCATGTCCTTGGTGTTACAGTGGTAACAGTGTCCCCTATGATAACAATGCCTCTCTAGCCCTGTCCTTAGTCATTACCACCCAACTGAGCCATACACCGTTTTATTATCATTCCTTTAAAAATGTTCACTGAATTCCACACTAGGGATGATGGGGGAGGGGACTACAATGGTGAACAAAATCAGACTCTGGCTCCAGTTCCAGGAATCTTTAAAGCCACTTGTTTCATGTCTTCCTCATCTATTCCCAGGTTTATGAACGAAAGTTAGGGAAGGAATGAAACTTGGATGTTCAGGTTGGCTAATGGCTAGATGACAGAGCTTGTGCAGGAGACAAAAGGGAGCACAAAGACTTCATGCCCAAAACGGGAAAGATTACCCCCAATCACAAAGTTGCAGAGTTACCGTTCTGTTAGCTGGACCCGTCAATGTCACAATAACTGTTCCTGGTGGTCCTGGGGGTCCTGTTAACCCTTTCACACCCTAAAGACAAACACATCCAGTTATGTGAGACAAGAACATCCTCAACACTTCAACTTCACCGTGTTGGAAAAGTCTGCTATCCCTCTTCAGTTCTTACATAGACGATACATCAAACAAAAGCCTATTCATCTCAGCTTGACTGGTGTGGGCTGATATGCTACGGAACTAAAAAAATTTTTTCTGTGCTAATAAACCATGGTATTTACATTACCTGATCGCCTTTTTGTCCTATCACACTATCACCCATGTGACCCTGTACGAAAAAACAAAACCAAATTATTTAAAGAAAGAATAGTCTAAACTCATTATAATTCCAGTATTTGTAACTGAACATTCATATTTTAATCTTAATTTTAAAATTGCAAAAGTTATTTTATCTGTTTTTTAAAACATTTTATTTATTTATTTGAGAGATAGAGCTACAGACAGAGAGCAGGAGTGAGGGGAAGAGAGAGAGAGAGAGAGAGAGAGAGAGAGAGCAAGAGAGAGAGAGAGATCTTCCATACGCTGGTTCACTCCCCAAATGGCCACAATAGCCAGAGCTGGGCTGGTCCAAAGTCAGGAGCCAGGAGTTTCCTCCAGGTCTCCCGCATGGGTGCAGGGGTCCAAGCACTTGGGCCATCTTTCTCTGCCTTCCCAGGCCACACCAGAGAGCTGGATTGGAAGAGGAGCAGCTGAGACACAAACCAGTGCCCATACAGGATGCCAGTGCTGCAGGCAGAGGCTCAGCCCATTATGCCATAGCGTTGACCCCATTATCTGTTTCTTAGAGAAAAACAGCAATATGTTTCTTAAAGAGGTAGAGTTCTTGAGGTACATAATGCTTAAGAGAAGCTTAATATTTTGCTTAAGATAGCAAATGATGACATGAGGTGGTGTGGGGTGCGGAAGGGACCCAGCTCAGAGGATATTTTCTGATTGTACTACTACTGTGCTGGCTGCCTAACTTAATGATGGCTACATAACCTCCTGCTATCCTTAACTGCCTACTTCACACTCTAATATATATTTTTTCTTAAAAATAAGAACATCATGATTTTGAAGTTAAAAAACAGAGAAGCTAGAATTCCAGCTACTTGACTTCGCTAGTAACTTAGTGCCATAAGTCTAGTGTTATTTTGCTTATCTCCAGTGACTATGGCCAATCCATCATGTTAAGTAATATCTTTTCTCTCATGCTCTTCATTATGTAGATTTTCCTTTATTAGCCCAAAAAAGTGTAGAAGAATCCAAAGATTTTAAACCTCAGCTCTGCCGTTTACTATCTATTGGATAATTCATTTAATCTGAACCTATCATGCTTCCCAGGGTATATATGTGCATGTATGTCCATCAACAAAATAATAAATGTGCAAACACTTGGGGAATTACACTATACATGAGGCAACTTAATACTAAGTCAGACACACTATGCTTAATATTAGTTTCCTAGTGGGGCTCTGCCTCCTTCAACCTTTTTTACCCTTAAACCAACAATTGGGCCTTTTTAATAAAAGCACATACTGAACCCATTTATTGAGCATGCAGTAGTCATTTTGGAAGATTTTGTGAAGCAGCACATTACAAAAATTTGTATCAGGATCTGGCATTGTGGCATAGTGGGTATAGCCACCACCTGTGATGCTGGCATTTCATATGGGCATTGGTTCAAGTCCTGGCAGCTTCACTTCCTATCCAGCTCCCTGAAGATGTGCCTGGGAAGGCAGTGGAGTATGGCGCAAGTCCTTAGGCCCCTGAAATCCATGAGAGAGACCCAGAGGAGGTTCCTGGCTCCTGGCTCCTGGCTCCAGCCATTGTGGCCATTTGGGGAGTGAACCAGTGGTTGGAATTTCTCTCTCTCTCTCTCTCTCTCTCTCTCTCTCTCTCTCTCTCTCTCCCCCTCTCTTTCTCTTTCTCAGCTCTGCCTTTCAAATAAATAAATCAATCTTTTTCAAAATTTATAGCATAAAGCATGGGTTGACCAGTAAGGCCATCAGCAATGGAAAATCTACAGATTAGGAATCCTTGCCTTTTCCTTCTCCTTAAGTCTTTTTATTAGAGATCAAGTTAGTGCAGTACTGGGAAAGAAGATGCAAGAGCTGCCAGCCACACGCCTTCCTGGCTGGGAATCCTTTACAGGGACTCACATGAACAGGGCCATGGGGGTTAGGAGGTTCACGTGGATACAACACGTAAACTGGGATCTACCTTAGGTCCTCTAGGTCCTGTGACTCCGGGAAGACCCTGGAAAAACCCACAAATTAAAATTATAACAGGAAAACTAGCCAGCCAGAAATGTCTTTGAAATACTTTGTGTTGGAACTAATTAGTTTACATAGTCCATAGCCATGCTGACTTCATTCATACTCACAAAGAATCCTGGAGGGCCAGGTGGGCCAATAGGCCCAGGAAAACCTGCAGGGCCTGGGAAACCCTTTAAATGAAGAGGAAAAGAAGAGTCAGCTTAAATTTATTTCTCCCTTAAAAAGAATTAAATGCTTTAAAATATTTCAATAAAATCAGAAGTGCATACCACCTCCCTTCCAAGCGGCTGCGGTCAATGACATTCAATACCAGAATGTGTGCTGCTTGTGTAACGTTGCCAGAACCATCCTGGTAAGTCTGTTGCCAGGAAACTGAGCAGAGCAGGTGCTTCCCTCAGAAGTTTTCGACATTTTGCTTCTTGCTCTCTCTCTCCCTTCTCCCTCTGTCCCTCTCTGTTTTTTGGATATACCTGGTCTAACTTAGGGCAATCTGCCTGTCCTTCCCATGCCTACAATCCTCTTTCCCCAGATAACTCCGTGACTCACCTTATCTTTCTTTACTATCTTTATGAAATTGTTATCCTACCCCTTAGGTCTTTGCCTGTCCAAAGCTGTAATCCACCTTCCCGGCATTATTTTATCTCCTCAGCACTTGTTACTGTCTAACGTACTACAGAGTTAATAATCCAGCACATAACCAATATTCCTTTTATAAATGAATGTACATTACTTTATGTTCAGCACTATTACAATGACTAGTAAATAAATGACAATAAATAGACGTCTAAATATCTCAGACTACTACTATACCCTGTTACTAGATTCCCTGCTTTCACCATTGAACACTTACATGTTCTCTAGGCAAAAAAGCCAGGAATCTTCTTAGAATCTTTTCTCAGAAGCCTATAATGGCTTCTTACTGCATTGCTCTTTTACAACTTCCAGAGCCCCATCTGACTTCCACACTCATCCTGAGTTAACCTGGTTCACGCCGTATAGCTCAACAACCTCAACTCAAACTCTCATCAGGAAAATACCCAATCTCTAACCTAAGAACTTCCACACATAGTTCTGAACTAAGTGAAATATTTCCTGATTAATTAACCTGGAAATTAGTCCTTGTGGAGTCAGAGGATCCCTTTAAATTGCAAAATAAAGTATGCACAGCCCCAAAGGTAGTTGTATTTCTTTTTACCCATTCTGGGTAACCCTCACACAGAGAGGTCAGTAAGGCAAACTATTCAATGGGAGAAGGTTGTGCTTAAATAAAGCCCTTTTGTGGACTGGCATGCAAATTTTAAAATAGGGCTGTGATTTAACATTAAAGTTTTCAACGACATTCATTGTTTAATACAAACTCATGCTCAATTTTAACAGATTACAGACTCCTTCTTAGACTCAGGGAGGCCTGGGTGACTAAGACTTAGGAAGAACTTAAAAGATATACACACAAAATCACGCTCATATATCATCATCATGCAATTTCTTTTTTTCAACTTTAAAAAATATATGGAACAAATTGCATGTATTTCATATTCACAGTTTTAAGAGCGTAATGATACTTCCCATCATACCCTTCCTCACTCCTACCCTCCCTCCTCCTCCTTTTATTTTTCTTTTAAATTTTTACAATGACATACTTTCAATTTTCTTTATATTTAAAAGCCTAACCGTGCACGTAATAAATAATTCAACAGGTCCCAAGTAGAAAAACCTCTGTTTCTTAAAGAGTATAGATAAGGGCTATAAAATTAATCAAATCTTATAATGTCAATTTTGCTCACATACATTACTTTTTTGTACTCTGTATATTGGTTACCACAAACTAGGGAAAATACTAGTCTTTTTGGGACAGGCTTATTTCACTAAGCATAACGGTCTCCAGTTGTATCCACTTTGTTGCAAAGGACAGAACATACAGTTTGTTATAAGATGAATGTTTCAGAATGAAAGGAGGCAGACCTAACACCACAAATATGTATTTCTATTAAAATTTTCTTAAGAGTGAGAAACAGAACAGCAGGGAATGGGGTAAATGAAAGATGGAGATGATAGAGAAGGAGACAGAGGGGGAGCCTTTCTTGGAAGGGCAGTACCTGAAATCCTGGCATTCCTGGCAACCCAGGGTCCCCTTTTCCACCAAGTTCTATATCTTCTCCTTTAGCAGGAGCACCCTTAAAAATAAAGAAGCTCAGCAGTCATCATCAGTCATGATATTCTGTTTTCAAAAAGCCCTTTAAATACTTGTTGAAGTCACACTGCTTCAAGGATAAAAATGATTTCCAGGATAAATACCGAGAGAAAGATTTAGGAGCTTTTGTTATTCCATCCTGAAGAATTCAAAGCACTTTTGGATTTCCTAAAAACTGAAGATGCACTGTAGAGGGGGAGTGACACAGGGATCATCAAGCATCTCCCGACAGACCAAAGGTGGTGGCAAAGCTGGACTTAGAAGGTGGGGCCCTGACCATGAGGTCGCATCTTTCCTCCCAGGCCCATTTCCCTGAGGGATGACATAAGACCTAGAGGCTGTTCAACAGGGATGCATGCCCTGTCCCAGCCACTGTGGCCTCTGAGCTAGTAAGTCATGGATCATGAGATCTGATTTATAATGGCTGATATCTCATTACTTGTTAGGAAATTTTCTTTCTTTACTTGGGAGACAGAGAAGGACTTTGAGAGAGCCCACTGCTGGGTCACTCCCTAAATGCTCACAGTATGGGACAGGCCTGAAGCTGGGAGTGGGGAACTCCATCCAGGCCTCCCATGTAAGTGGCAGGGACCCAGATATTCGAGTCATTACTGCTTCCCTCTAGGGTGCACCTCAGCAGAAAGCTGGAATTGGAAGCAGAGCTGGGCTTACACCCAGGCACTCTGATATGGGACACAGGTATCATTAACCACTAGGCCAAACGCCTACCCTTCATGTCTCATTATTTGACACAAGTCCATTTCGTGTGTACAGCTAGAGATTTTCAGTAAGAATATTCCACAAACAACTTACCTTTTGTCCTTTCAGGCCAGCAGCACCCTAGGAAAAAAGCAGCATATTAGCAACTACAGGCAAATCAGATGCACGTACTTCTACTTTCTGCTATTCTGCCCCCTCTCCCCGCCCAGTGTTTCCCACCGGCTTTTAGACAGGCTCAAACCTGTCCTTTGAGCCAAGCAATTTTCTCCTCTCCAATCCTCTTCTTTCATTGCACCTGTAAACTTCGCACCCTGTTCATCTCCCACTTGTTTTCTGTTCCAAATCTGCCTCCTGCCTCCATTCCATTCCCTGCTAAGGTCAGCAATGACTTTGATGTTTCAAAAGCCAAAGCCAAAAGTCAGTCTTCATGTTATTGGACTTCTGGTCAGCATTAGGTAGCTGTCTGCTGCTCCCTTCTCTGAAACATATCTTTCCTAGGCTTCCATACTCTACCCCTCCTGGTTTTCTTTCTGTTGCTGAGGCTGCTCCTCATTCTCCTTGACCTAAGTCTTAGCTCGGAACCCCTTGCCTCCTCACTCTCACTCCGAATCAACAAGAGCCTGGGCCTTTCTTCTGAGCAAATCCAGCTGCCTATTATGTGTTTCTGTCTAGATACCTCAAAAGCAAAACAAAATCTCCAAATATAAACCTGGACTTGTAAATGTATTTAATCATGCCCTAACTATTAGCTGACTGTCTCCTATTGGCTCCCCAGTCTTCCCCAAGGTCACGAAAGATTTGTGTACATGGCCTTATGGAACAGACTACTTTCATCTCTACTTTGTCTCTGATGAGGAATTAGAAATGCAAACTTACCGGGACCCCTGGGTAGCCTGGTGTACCTGGAAGTCCTGGGAAGCCTTGCTCACCCTGGAAGATACACAAAGTTTGTCCTTTTTCCTAGTTGTTCAGAACAGCTCTTCCGATGTCTTCCCTGTTTCTCTCTTCCAACCTTGCAGTGATAAATCTAAGCAAAGTAACCCAAATTCCTTGTGGCTACTGGGTCATGAGGCTGAAGGCCAGAAAATGGTTATCTTAATTGAAAACAGGATTAGAACCTACTGTTTCTCAAATTGTGCATAAATGGCAAAGTCTAATTGTGCCAAGAACTTTTTAATTGCTGCTTCCTTAAAGCTTTAGTAATTAGTTCATTCATGGCCACCATTCTAGGGGAAAAGGAGAGCACAGTTGGAGAACAAAAGGAGGTGAGTGAACCTTGAAAAGGCCAGTCATCCCTTTCCAGACACTAATTTTGCACAACCTCCAGTGAAAATAACCAGCTCCCTGCCCCCTCCCTGTGGGAGGACAAGGGAGAACATCCTTTAAAAACATTAGAAAGCAAAGAATAGGGAGAAAGAAACTGTGACAGTTTCGGGTTCAAAATCACATTGTTGGTTCCAATCTTTCCAGGAAAGCCTATTTCTAACTCACTGCTACTTGATTTGTTTTTCCAGCAGGCACTGAGCAATCATCTTCAGTGTGCACAGTGCTTACCTTAGAACCATTGCATCCTGGTACACCAACAAGTCCATAAGGCCCAGCATTGCCCGGGGTGCCCTGGAAAGAGAGTGAATCTCAAGGACGAGGCACAGTCACAAGGCCCTGATGGAGGCAGAAACAGCCAAGAACAGGGAAACGGACCAATCTGATAGCAGCCAAAGTTCAGCTGGCTGCATAAATAGTTAAGGAGTCAATTTAAATTATGGGTTTAGATATAATTTTAATAACACAGTGAACAAAACAAGCCAATTAAGAGGAAGACTTATGAAGCAAGAGGTGTGTAATTTGCATAAAACAAAAGGCTTTTCTATGTGACATAAAGTATCTTAACCTGCTGCTTTTAACCAGGGAGAAGGAAAGGGAAAAGCAAGGGAGGAAGTGTGCACAGAGGTCACCTTATGAGTCTGTATTAAACAGTCATTCTATTGCGTTCTGTACTACCCTACCCTACCCTACCCTATCCTACCCAGCCCATCCTACCCAACTCTATCTTAACATCTACCTCATCCTTCCCTGTCCTGTCCTACCCTACTCCCTATCCTATCCTAACTATTTTACCCTATCCTGTTCTATTTCAGGAAATAGGATCTAACTCAGCTGTCATGCAAATCCAAACTCGAGTATAATATGTGATTTTTGCAATGCCATTGTGTTCACATGATACATACATAGATATTCCCTTGTGCTATTGCTCCCCCTCCCCCAAAGAAACCTTTTATTTAATGAGTCTAAATTTCATAGGTACAACTTTAGGAATATACTGATTCTTCCCACCATACCCACCCTCCCACCCCCACTCGCAGATTTATTGTTTTAACACTTTTATTAAGATGAATTTACATTTAAGTTTTTCCCATAACTTACTGGAAGTCCAGGAGGACCTGAAAATCCTGGTAATCCAGTTACTCCCTGGAGATACATAAAAAAGGAGGGGGTGGCGAGAAAAACACTTTAAAATCTCACATTCATGGAATTTTAAGAAGAGGTTATTACAGTTGTTTCTGGCTTTGAGGGATATAGTTTTAAGGCATACTTTGCATGAGTAAAGTGCTCCCCCTTTTGTGAGCAGCTTAACAAAGATTTTTGCAATATTATTACCACCCAAACACAGCACCTCCACCGCCCCAGAAGATTCCCCCATACCCTTTCCGAGTCAATTGGTACCTGCTTCCAACATGGTAACCATTATTTTGACTTCTGCCATTGCATGTTAATTTAACCTGTTCTTCATCTATGGAATCACACACAACGTAATCCTTTCTGATATTTGTTGATTGTTTTAGAAGAAGAAGAAGATTCATCAAACAATCCCGATGGACTGGTTGGATTACTAACCCTCACACCTTTGGGACCAGTGAGTCCTGGAAGTCCTGGAGAGCCCTAGACCCAAGTGAGAAAAGAAAAGATAAATGCCATGAAATGTATTTGACCTAAGACATACATTCAACTTTCCAGTCTTAGTCATACACTGCTGTGGTTATTTCATTGTCAATAAGGTTTGATTGTTGGCTTGTTTCTCGGGAGCTAAAATATTTCTCAGAAAAGGCAAACCAAACATTCACTCAAACCCTTACTGAGAGTTTGTTATAAGTGCAGTCTTACCTCTCCCTCCTGCCCCACCACCAACCTCCCAGGTCTACGGATTCCAATCTGCATGTCAACATAATGCAGGTGGTTCTTCTGCACATTAAAATCTACAAAGCACTGCTGTAAAAGCCCCACATTAGCCAGACAGCTGCTGAGGTCTGATAAGGACAGATAACACAATGACAGTGGCAGACAAGAATGGCAACCAACGTTTCTGCCCATAAGAAACACTTTATGAAATAAAATGTATCCGATGTGCATAAGCAAATAAATAGAAAGTAGGATTGCCTGAACCAGAGATAAACTTGCTTTCAACACATAATGGATGTGGCTTTGAGACCCTATTTCTTAGAGGATAACCTTAAATGGATTGTTTTAACTCGGCCATGTGATATAAAAGTTCCTTTGTCCAACAGCTGTTTTTATCATTCCAGAGAGTTTCAGTGTGGTTTGGTATTTTCATTATTTGAGAAAAAGATTGTTAGTCTTCTGAGATTGGACAGTCAAGGCCAACCAAAGTCAGCCTATTCTGTCTGAAGTGAAATTCCTGGGAGCATGGTCATGTTCAAGGCCATTCCCTTCTCTGCAGGAGGCTATCTGTGCTATGCAGAAGGCAGAAGAATGGCTTGCGGATTTTGCTTCCCAATGTAAATTTTCTCATGCAGAAACTGACTTTAGATAGGAAGCTTATAAATCTGAAACACCTTTTTCCTCAGATTTTCATATCCTCTAATTGTTTGCCCTTGGTCAAATTATCTTTGTGGCTGTGTCTATAAACTCTACATTAAAATACGAGCCCGGGACAACACAGCACAGAGATATTGTGGATTAATTGTATGGAGTGCTTGTGTATCATATAATCCGTATTAAGCATTGTGTGCTTACAACTATTCTTTTCATGTATTGCTGTATCCTAAAGAAAGGCTGGTGGGGACCAAGCAGAGTGGGGTGCAGAGAATGAAATAAAATGGAAGGAGTTGGCATTAGGCTGGTTTAAATCCAGAGCTGAACTCTGGCCTCAGAATCAGCCCTAAAGGCACTCGGATCTGGCTGAAAAGCCCATGAGAGTATTTCAGGCATGGAAAGCCAAGACACTCTGGCAAAAAGACCTCTGTGAGTGAGATCCCAGTGGAAAGAACAGGTCTTCAAAGAGGGAGGTGCCTTTCTCTGAAGGGAGGAGAGAACCTCCACTTTGACTATGACCGTGTCTAAACAAGATAAGAGTCGGAGAACTCAAGGGGCTTCCATAGCCTTGGAAACTCATAACTGGTGCATAGGGAGATTACTGATGCCATAAACAGGAGTGTCAATTGGTAAAGTCAACAACAGGAGTCACTGTGCACTTACTCCTCATGTAGGATCTCGGTCCTTAACGTGCTGTACACTGAGGCTTAATGCTATAACGAGTACTCAAACAGTATATTTCACTTTGTGTTTCTATGGGGGTGCAAACGACTGAAATCTTTACTTAATGTACACTAAACTGATCTTCTGTAAAAAAAAAACCCTTCTAACCGGAAGAAAGAAATTTTCAATTCCCAACTTGACTCTCACTGGGATTAAACATGACAATAGGTCTGATCTGATTTCATCATCATTTTAAAAAAATCATCTATTATTTTTCACTTTATGTTTCTGTGTGGGAGCAAACTGTTGAAATACTTACTTAAGGTATACTAAGCTGATCTTCTGTACATTAAGATAATCGAAAATGAATCTTGATGTGAATGGAAGGGGAGAGGGAGTGGGAAAGGGGAGGGTTGTTGGTGGGAGGGACGGTATGGGGGGGGAAGCCATTGTAACCCATGAGTCGTACTTTGGAAATTTATATTCATTAAATAAAAGATAAAAAAAAAAATTCAAAAAAAAAAAAAATCCAGAGCTGAGTGACAACCTCATTCTCCCAGAGAAGTGGAGGAACATCAGCCCCAGAGGAATTCAATGAAATGTTCAGATCCTGGCTAGAATTCAAATGACTTTTTCAGAATTAGGATAGGGAGAAGAAATGGAGGAAGAGGACACAACAGGAATATGATGGAAATGGAAATGGTAAAATTACTGGAAAACAGCAAGCATTTGCATTTTTGCTATAAACTGTAGGTGTGGATTTATTTTATTGGTTGCAAGAGTCTGATTCTGGTATCATACATGCGACCTAATAAGAAATACGTATTTGGTGCCTGCCTTGGAGGTTGGCACAAAACTCCTAAAACTCTTCTAATTTCCTGAGTGACTGGAGTGCAAGGGTCCCCTTTTGCTGTAATATTGTCTTTGACTCCAGTTGCTGACATAGAGCTCAAATCCCCTGCAATTTCTCCAGAAAAATGGAGAATTGTTGGGTATGAGAAGAACCGCATTCCCCCACCAACACACAATACAAAACCAGGTTAAACACTGATTTTGCTATCAATTAGCTGTGTGTCCCAGGACAAATGATGTGTTCTGAGTGTCAGTTTCCTCATCTGTAAAATGAATACCAATGGGAACTGTGTTGTAAGACAACTTAGTCATGATTTAAGGGATCAATGTGAAGACTAAATGAGATACACTGTGGAATAAATGGCCCAGTGCCTGGCACAGAGTAAATATAGAGTACTTTGACTTTGGTTATCATTTAAATATTCTAGATATTCCTGTAACATATATTCCAATGCACTCCAGGGTTTTAAAAAGACAGTACTTAGATGGCTTATAATTATCTTTCAGTTTGCTAGTTAGTTTATAGCTTGCTGCAGGGCGGCAGTCAGGGGAGCAAACGTGCATGCCTGGGTGAAGTGTAGGGGACATCCTCAGCAGGAAAGAGCAATCAGCAAATCTAGTGGTTATGCAGTTCTCTAGTAAATTCTCCAGGGTATTTATTTCAACAAAGCCCTTTAGGATAAAAATGGATGATGAGCTAACAGGGCAGCAGGCTCTGTAAAAACCTTGGAAGCCCAGACGTTTATGAGACCAGACAAGAAAGAGGAACTAATGAAGAAAGGGAGCACTGAGGAGATAGGGAGGGAGAGGCAGGGAAAGGAGCATCCCAGGAATACAGACAGACAAAGCCATTATTTTAAAACAACACAAAGGCTATGTTTTTGAACCCACACAGTTCAAAACTTAGCAGAGGGAGTTCAGCTCAGAGATATCTGTTGTCATTGGCTGTGTGAAGGTCACTGGTGATCAATCTTCATTAAGAAGACAGGAGTGGAGAGAAGCAGAAGGCAAATTATCCCTGGCCAAGGAGAAAGCAGGAGGTGAACTCTAGGGAGGCTGTACAGCTGTTCTTTTAAGAAACTTGCCCAAGAAAGGAGAGGTTGGCAATCCTTTGGTTGCAGGATCTAAAAGACTTAGAGAAAGTTTTATAGTATGGGGAATTATTTGCACATTTAAGGACTGAAAAAGAAATGGCAACATCAAAAGGAAAGTGGGGATGTGTGGCCAGGGAGGAGAGACACCTGAAACAAGGTCCACTAAGAATCCTAATGATCCAAGTACAGGTGGATGGGCAGGTCTTAAATGGAAGGTGAGACGAGCTCTCCTCTCGTGTTGGAGAAAGGAAGGCAGCAGCAGGTGTCGATACTGTAGATGGCAGTGGGGAAGGGGTCTGAGTACTGAGCTTAAAGATAGTGATGATTGCTTGCAAGTCTTGGAATAGCATGCTGTTCTGAGGGCCTGGCGATGGTCAGAGAGCAGGAATTTGCCATGCACACACCAGTTGGTCAAGATGTGCAGTTCTCTGTAGGTCCTCGGCAGCCCATGGGGTGAGCAGAAAGAAGTTACGTGGGCTGGGGATTTCCCAAGCTTACAGGATGACATACCTTGAGTCCCTGGGGTCCGGGCAAGCCTTCAGGACCTGGGAATCCTTTCTGGCCAGGAGAACCAGGGGGTCCAGGAAAACCTTTCTCCCCCTGTTGAAACCAAAGCAAACAAAGAAACACACAGAACAGCCACCACCCAACAATAAACACATCTATAACCATTGTATTCTCTTCTCTATGACTTTGCAAAGACGTTTTTCCTTGTTTCTTTCTTGGATTAGAAATAATAAGTGGTGCTCAGTAGTGTGTGCATAGGCACCTGGAAAATGATCAGTTGTCAGAATTTATCTTTCGGCTGCAAAGTGCTGGCCCTTGGTCTTGCAGAAACTCTACTCTTTCCCCTATGGTGGAGCTTTGCAGGACAGAGGTTAAAAGAGAAGGAATCCAGAACTAGGGGGAAGAGCCAGTTAGAACAACCCAGATTAGTGGAGTGTGTTTGCTGAGGGACAGAGAGAGATGAGAATGTGTTTTGGGAGTGTGCATAATTGCTACACAGCTTCCAAGGAGCCACGCGATGCAGGGTATGAGTTCTAAGCCTTTCCTGATTACACAGGAATTAGTAATGTAATCTGCCCTTCATGTAGGAGATGCAGGAGAGATATCACGGGTGAATGAAATAGTTTTTAGATGATGATATTATGAGGAAGTCCCTGGTACAGTGTGTCAAAGTACTCTTGGCCCAATGGTTGATACAGTCCTGCCAACAAATAGTCCTCCCGAGGATGTGTATCCTGGGATTACTCTTTATCAACAAAGGCCACTGGCTGATTCTGTCAGTTTAGTGACACAACTGGCAAATGAAAAAGAAAAAAAAAAAAGAGATCAAGTCGGCTCTTTTCCTCTGGGTGTGTGTGCACACACAATAACAAGAGGAATAAAGGAAGCTAGACCTCCTCACTACTCAGATACTTTCGTTTGCACCGGAATGGCATCCTGGGAATACGTGGGACTCAATAAATGCTTCCTGGTGCCAGATGAACTGCAGAGCAGGGCTTTCTAATGTGAATCTGAAGGCATTCCACTCACAGCTTCAGGAAAAAGCCTAAATCAGTGTGAACTATTAAATAACTCAAAATTAATGTAATAATTATAATTGACAGAAAGAGCATACAAAAATTGTTTTAAAGAGCTTCAATATGTTCTCTTAAAAATACTTTCACATAGTCACCCTTCGATATTGTTAAACACTTAATTAGTGTCTCTGAGGAAAGGGCTTTGTAAACAAAGGAAAAACTTTAGTTCTGGCCCTGTCTTAATTATCACAAATTGCAAGTTAATGGAGCGAATTAATGAGATTTCACGGCGTGCCTTTTGTTCTTCAACCCTGCAGCAGAGCGACTTGCCTCGGCTCCGTCTCCGCCTCCAACAGGGTGCCGCTTCGGAATGCCGCCACCAGGGGGCGCTCCGGCACCAATGCTGCCGGACAATGCTGAGGCCTTTGGCTGTTTGTTTTATGTCAAAGTGGCTGGACCAAGCTGGTTTCATTTCCTCTCTGGTGTTTAGCAATATTGTAAATAGTACACACTCGGCGGCTTCTCATCAACTTTCTATTTCACTAAACTGCCACTTACTCTTTCCAGATCGAGAGAGTTGTTACTTAGCTGCCAGTGTTTATACGAGCTATCAGAAACTTCCTAGAGGACTTTTTTTTTTAAAAAAAAAAAAAATAGGTTAATGTTTATACACAATGACTTTAAAACTGCGGGTGGGGAATGGCACAACAAACTGCTGCTCTTTCTGCTACTGACGCAAGGCCAGTGCAAACTACGGCCTGGGCCCTGCAGTGAGAAGCAGTGAGCGTGGGCTCTGCTCTTACCTTGTCCCCTTTGGCTCCCTGGCAGAAGCACTGGCCCTGGGAAGAGGGGGAGAGAAAAGGCTTTGTTGAGAAGCAGCTCAGTAAGTCGCGAATCACCGGGCTGTACCAACACACGTGTCTGTCTTCGACCCCTGGGTGCTGGGCTCTGCTGGGAGGTTGAGGGGAGACCTCCAGAGAAAGGGGGCAGAAGCTGCCAGACCTCCCATTCCAGGAGCCTGACCCTGTGTGCTGGGGGAGCCTCAGTCATGCATTGTTGGAAAACACAAAGTCAGCTTGCCTTTTTTTCCCAAATAACATGCATAGACCCATATGAAACGCTGCTCCTGGGGGTGAGAGGTGGTTTCAGATAGTCAAGTTCTTAGCTTCAATGTGATGTTGCTATGTGGATACGTGCACAGATGCATGATCCGTATCTACACATGTGCTTTACGTGTGCAGCTTACTTGGATATGTTTTTGTGATTTCTTCTAGAGCTGATTCTAAGGTTTTCTTTTCCTGAAATAATGTTCAGGACCGAGAAAAGATGACCAACACCCATTATGTGTCTTAAAGGAGAACAAATTCACTAATACTAATATCAAGATACTTAATTTTAATAATTATTAATCTAATAATAATAAATTTCTTATTAAAGTTAATCTGTGAGCTTCACTTTGACACATGCGCACCCTGGTGCATCTGGGCACATCCTTGCTTTAATGAATGTCAATTTAAAAATCTTTGTCAACAAAGGAATAAAGAAAGACAGCTTTAAGTAGTACATTTTCAATGTTTTGACACACATGATATTTTCTATGATTACATATTAATCCTTGTCTTGACTTTTTTTCCTTCAGGTAGGTTAATATTAACTAAAAATTAGTTTGTTTCCTCAGAAAAATATATTAATGGCAAGCAGAAGCAGGGTAAGTCCATGAGATATGCTGGCTGGCTAGTAGTGAAAATAACAAGAAATTGCCATGGGTGTAATGTTTGTGCAACCAAGAAAACAAACCCATTTGAACAAAACTTTAACTGTGTTTCCTCAGCCTCAGGCTGCAGGCTTTGGTGCCGTTCAAGTTGAAGTGTGCAGGACAATTTTGAGCCCTCACCACATTTAGGTAGCAGGAACCTGAGTAGAACGAGAAGTAACTGCCAGAGGAGAGTCTGTCCTCTCCCAAAGCATTCAGATATCCAGAAGAGACTGAAACCTTCCAAGCTGTTGGGGTCATTAAGTCACAGCTTGATGTATTTTAACCTTGTCTTTCTGGACGTTTAAACATTTACGTTCATTTCGATCACGTACTTAAGTACCTCCACTAAAGCAGCAGTTCTCGAAGCATAGGTGTGCAGGGCTGCAACATCAGTGACCTCTGGAAACTTGTTAGCAGTGCAGATGTTCAAACCTGTGCCATCCGCTCAAGCAGAGACTCAGAGGGGGTTCTTAGGAACCTGTGCTAACAAGATCCCCAGCGGGGTTTGTTGTCTGCTCTAATTTCTAGTCTTTGTAGGATTGAGCTCATTTTCTTTTAAGAAATGAAATATTTTTTAAAGATTTATTTATTTATTTGAGAGGCAGAGTTACAGGCAGAGGGAGACACACACACACACACACACACACACACACACACACAGAGAGAGAGAGAGAGAGAGAGATCTTCCATCTACCGGTTCACTTTCCAAATGGCTGCAATGGCTAGAGCAGGCTTGATCTGAAGCCAGGAGACAGGAGCTTCTTCCGGTCTCCCATGAAAGTGCAGGAGTCCAAGCACCTAAGACAGCTTCCACTGCGTTCCCCTGGGTGCATTGGCAGTGAGCTGGATCGGAAGTGGAGCAGCTGGGACTCGATCCGGCACCCAGGCAGAGGCTTAATCTGTGCCACAGTGCCAGCCTCAAGTTCATTTTCTAAATATTTCTGAACACAACATCCTTGCGACACTGATTTGCACATGGATTCTGTTTTCCTTCATGATGCCCTTTCTTGTGTCATTCCAAGAAATTAGCTGGATATGTGTGCCTTCTTCTTGGGTATGCTTTTGTTACTGATCTCAAATGAAGGTCACTGGAAGAGAGGGCTCCTGGGGGCTTTTGTTCTGGAAGTGTCAGCCCACATGGACCACTGGTCCCCGCTGCGGAGGGACCAGCATGCTGCCCCCACACAACATCTGGAGGAGGCAGCAGGACCCAGGAGTGAGGGACCAGGTCTTAGACTTGCGGGCATCGGCTGCTGGGTGAGATGCTGAGGGGTCTTGTGCTCAAGTCTATGTGGAGGCAGCTCTAGCTCTCCTCACTCCCAGAAGCCACACCCCAGAGGGAATGTGCACATCTGTGGCCAGGGAAGGAAGCAGATTGGGAAGTCTCTAACCGCTCTAACCCCTGTCCATGGGGCCCATGGGACAGGCTTTACCTACCAGACGCTACTGAAAAAATGTCAATCTTAGCTTGAGCAAATAAGTGCTCCTGATCTGCTCCAGACTGGGTCAGGTTTACTTTTCTTCCTTCCTCCTTTCCTCCCTTCCTCCCTCCCTCCCTATCTATCTTTCTATGCACACACATATATATTTAAATTTGAGGTAGATAGGTAGATCTCCCATCTACTGCTTTACTCTGCAGATGCTCATGATGGCTGACACTGGGTAGAAGCCAGATGCCAGGAACTCAATCCAGGTCTCCCACATGGGAGGCAGGAACCCAACTACATTAGCAGGAAGCTGGAGTCAGGAGCCAGAGGTGGGTAACAAACCCAGGTATTCTGACATGGCTACAGGTGTCTTAACCAGCGTCTTGACTACCAGGCTGAACACCCACCCCATTTGAGGAGTATATTTAATGCATGTGCTAACTGATGACTGTCCCATGAGAAAAGGATTACTCAGTGTCTTTCACATCGGTGTCCTTGGCATATAATATGTCCCGAACAAATCTTTGTAGATTGAGCAGGCAGGACAATAACAGTACGAACAGCTGATGGTTTATTTATATCCATTTAGACTTGTATTTGAAGGTATTTGTTGTTGTTGGGCTATCATGCTTATGGTGTTTTCTGTATGTATGAATTATGGACTATGGTTGAAATAGCAAAGAACAAAATTAGAGGCTTTGACTATTATAATGCATGTTGAAACTATCCTAAGACTAATTACTTACTAGTTGCTTTGATTTAAAATGATTTTTTTGGGGGGCTGGGTGTTTTAGCCTGCAAGTTTAGATGCCCACAGCACACATTTGAGTGCTTGGGATTGATACATCCCCCCAGCTCCTGACTCCAGTCTCCTGCTAGTGCAGATCCTAGGAGGTCACATTGATGGCTCAATTAATTGGGTTCCTGCCAACCCTGTGAGAGATCTGAAGTATGTTCCCAGCGCCAGCTCCAGCCTGGCCCAAACTTGGCCATCATAGGCATTTGGGGAGTGCTCTCTCTGTCTCCTTCCCTCTGTTTCCTTCTCCCTGACTCTGCCTCTCAAATGAAAAGTAACAAAAATAATTTAGGGGCTGATGCTGTGGCACAGTAGCATACGCCTCTGTCTGCGGGGCCTGAATCCCATATGGGAGCCAGTTTGAGCCTCAGCTGCTGCTCTTCTGATCCAGCTCTCTGCTATGGCCTGGCAAAGCATTGGAAGATGGCCCAAGTCCTTGGGTCCCTGTACCTTCGTGGGAGACCTGGAAGAAGCTCCTGGCTCCTGGCTTCAGATTGGCCCAGATCCAACAGTTGTGGCCATTTAGGGAGTAAACCAGTCGATGGAAGACCTTTCTTTCTATCTCTCCCGCTCTCTGTCTTAACTCAACCTCTTAAATAAATAAATAAAATCTTCTAAAAATTTAAATTTAAAAATTATTTTGGAAAAATTTTAAACCCCCAGAATAGAAAAACAGCACTCAAAGGTAGACTGCACACATGACACTACATGTATGCAACTATATTCTTATGCAATTACATTATTCCTCAAACTAAGAAATCAGCCTTCATCCAGTAACTTGAGTTTACTGGTTTCTAAATAAGAGCTTCGGCTTTATACAAGACCCTTAATGACCACAGAAAACAAAAAACTGCTTAATTTTCAGCAAATCTTTCATTTTGTACCAGAGATTTTGTCTCCATCCACGTTTTCAACATGGAATCAGTGCATGAGGTCTGATCTCCCCAAGTGGCTCTCACAGTTCCAAGAAGCCTTAGGCTCCATGCAGATGGCCCCAGAGACCAGGGTAGGGGGCAGGAATCTGGACGCAAACTTGAGTGAGTCCCTTCTTCCCTGGTCTGGATTCCCATCACCAGCCACAGTGACTTGGTTCTCCCTTTTTGTTATCAGAACTATACTTCATGATTTTCTTATTATTATCCTTCAATTTATGTCTTCAACTTTAGGGCTAATATGTTTAGTTTCTTTAAGAATTGTGGCTTGTTTTCACATTAAGGTAGAAGTAATTTGATAAAAGGTTTGTTAATTGAAAAAATTAGTTGAGGTGAAGAAACAAAAGCAGATAAACACAAGACATTTCATTTCAAGCAAAATATATGAATGCATATTAATTCTTCAATCGTGTGAGGCAGTCCAGGTCTCTTCTTTGGAAATGAGCCCACATTTGAAGTTGTTAACACTATTTGTGCTAAATTAACCAGCACATTGTGGCCATTGGCAATTTTCAGATTTAGTGTTTTAGTTAATTGCTTAAAAATATGTGGGTATAGCATCCTCATGGATATTAACCTAGTATTTCTCTTTTAAAATGCTATCCTAATCCGGCACCATGGCTCAATAGGTTAATCCTCTGCCTGTGGTGCTGGCACCCCAGGTTCTAGTCCCGGTCGGGATGCCAGATTCTGTCCCGGTTGCTCTTCTTCCAGTCCAGCTCTCTGCTGTGGCCAGGGAGGGCAGTGGAGGATGGCCCAAGTGCTTGGCCCCTGCACCTGCATGGGAGACCAGGAGAAGCACCTGGCTCCTGGCTTCAGATCAGTGCGGTGCGCCGGTCGCAGTGCGCCGGCTGTGGCGGCCATTTGGGGGGTGAATGAATGGAAAAAAGGAAGACCTTTCTCTCTATCTCTCTCTCTCACTGTCCAC